GGGGGGGGGGGGGCTCGAGAAAAAGCACAGTCTGGGGCACGAGGGTCAAGAAAGTATATATACCAATAGTAAAAAGGTAATTACTTGGTCAAAAAGAATGTGGGGAGAGGTCCGAGCAAAATGAACGATCTGAATTTTTTTTTCCCGGGTCGGCGTTAGGCCCGAGGACTGAGTACCACAGCGTTAGCCTCTTGTAAGGACTCTTATATTGCAATTGTACAGTCGATACCCTCTCAGCGGTATATACAAGCGCACAATTAAGAGTGGTGAAGCATCGTGGAAGGATGAAGGACGATCAGGAGAGTCAGTGCCATGACGACATAAAATCCTGGAGGAGCGCTAGTCGCTTATGTAAATCATAGAGGGCGGGCCAGCCAATCAGACATCGCACGTCGCTGAGGCGCCGGCTCCGGTCAATCCGACACTCTGGATCAGTGCACCTCACTAACTTTTTAATAGCATGGATACTATAGGGAGAAAGGAATTTTGACCATTGAGACAGCTGAACAGACAGTAAATCAGTATTCGTATTGCAAAGACACCCATTCTCTAAAACTCCTTTTGTTTCGTTCCTGCGCCAATTCATACTCTCCAGGAGTGCGTACGTTCGTGACTTTTAAAAAAAACTGAACCCGAAGAATGCAACTCAGCTGACTCGCAGCATGAGCAGAAATTGACTGTTCCATGATCCACATGAATTGTTCTTTTGTTGACCGGGGTTAACAAACATAGGATGAATCAAATCACAGAGAACGATAAGGGATATGTGCGTAAGATAGCATGATATCCGTTAATGAGAATGATTGTACATGAAGACACCAAATCAATAGTCTATACATATATCGAGAAAAAACAAATTGAAGGTAAGACCAGCCGGAAGCCCGTGGACTCCAAGTAGGATCTCCGAAGAAGTAAAACGACCGAGGTTAGAGCAAGCGCTAGAACAGCGCTTACTTAGATGGACCACGACACGGTGATACGTCCGGCATCAAAGCTGGCGAGATCGCCAAACATAGCGCGCGACATATCGATGGACTTGGCGTCACATCCCGCGCACTTGTCGACGACAATACCGGTGGCAGTATTGCCCTTGTAGGAAACAGTGATCTTAGCGCCGCAGAGAGACTGGTCCATGATTGCATGAGAGAGGGCGACGACGTTCTCGGTGGAACCGTCGTTAGCAGTGCCACAGTAGCTGGGAGCAGCCAAGGAGGTAGCAGTGTCGTAGTAGGTGCCGTCACCAGTGCCAGAAAGACCGGAGCCGCTAGAGCTACCAGCAGGGGCGGTTGAAGCAGGGGCGGGAGGAGTGGAAGTGGTGGTGGGAGCTGGAGGAGTGGAAGTGGTAGTAGGAGCTGGAGGAGCGACAGTGGTAGTAGGAACTGGAGCTGCAGTGGTGGTGGTTGGAGGAGCTGCTGCTTCCTGAACAGGAGGAGGGGATGGCGACTGGGTGGGAGTAGTAGAGGTAGTGGTGGTAGGAGGAGCAGGAGGAGCCTGAGTGGGAGTAGTGGTGGTCTCGGCAACGGGAGCGGGAGAAGGAGCAACAGTGCTGGTAGGAACGGCAGCAGGAGTAGTCGAAGTGACGACTGCCTCAGTGGTGTAGACAGCGGCGGCAACAGCAGGAGTAGGCTCGCCGGGGAAGACGGTGATGGTCGTGTCGATGGTGGTAACGTCAACCTCGGTCACGGTCTCGTAGACGACAGCGCGCCTCTGGTTGACAGGGGCAGCGGCAGTCAAGGTAGCGAAGATCGCAGCAAGAGCGAAAGCCTTGGAGAAGACCATTTTGAATATATGCCGAGGAAGATGACTCGATATTGGTGTCTCGAAGGATTTTTTTTTTGGAAGTCTCGTTGACTCAAAGTGTGTTGGTAGCTGAAGAGCGACTGGAATCGAGCTAGCGATTTCCGATTGACGATGAGCTGTGGATAAGATTGCTTTAAGGAGTGGTAGCAATGTCCGCACAGCAGATGCAAATGAGGGAAAAGACAGTTACACGAAGGAGCGTGTGCAAGTGTTGAGGGAATGACTGGTAGTGGATGGGAATACGAAGGGAGAGAAAAAGTACGGGGGAGGATGGGCAGTTAAATATTGAATCGGTAGCGGCCCTTAGTGTGCGCTCCAGACTTGCCCACTGGAGCCCAAGAGTGGATGCATCCCGGACGCCACGCCAGTCTGTTCCTGACCATCATTAGCGCCATTCCTCGCTATGATTGGATGGCACAGGCGGACAAACACGAATCGACCCGATGCGCTGTTTGGCGTTCATTGTTTCATTGTCCACTCGGACCATATTGAGAATAGCAACCATATGATCTATTGCATCCGTCCTACTCTTGCGGTTTATTTCCATCTCAGCGTGCCATGTCATCGTGTGTATCCCACAAATCCCTCGGTGACACGAAAAGGGGGGAAAGCGTTAGACTCAGGCTAGAGAATGGTGCGACCGATCGGCAGCCAATGACAGACAGGCTACTGCAGGTTCAATTTATTGGTGTGGCTGATCGGGGCTGTGAGTGGTCAGCCTTGAAACAATACGATGTTGGCTGACCAGTCAGAAACCAATGTTTTAGTTATTGTGGAGACATCTCGCTAACTCAAAAGAAAAATCGGCTGTGTAGAGCCTTGATCTCCGATTGGCGGGTCATCGAGTGGTGCCTGAAAGAACAGGCTGACCCACTGTTGCGTATATCCTCATCGCGAAGACTTACCAACTCCGGCGATTTTTGTACGGTCTAAATGCCTCATCTTTTTTTTTTGCCCTTGATTTTGCCATGTGCAAGCCTTTACCACGGATTCTTTGGTTCTGATGAGTTTCATGGTTCTGGACCAAAGTATCCTGTCGCGTGGTACACTCAGCAGCAGGAACGTACCACAAGTGGGAAGACGGTGAGATTAAGCTTATCTAATCGATAACCTTGCCATCAATCGAAATATTTGTAAGATGAAAGATCTCTGGAATGTGATTGATCATCATTTTGCTTGAGAAGCCTATATCGTCACTGTATCCATGTCGCGTACGCGTCAACTTTGATTTGATGACTGCAAGTCATGATAGATATCGCGTCCGCCAGTCTCATCCAATGGAACACAATTCAATTGCTTTCGGCCTTGGTGTCCTCCAATCTTTGTTATCGAAAGTCTGGAACAAGGCACGATTCAAACCACGAACAGTGTATCTGGATGAACGGATGAGGGGGTAAACCGGGTTCGGTGAGAACTCGTTCTTGCCACCGTTGGATGGATACGTTCTAGAACGATATGGACACGATGAAAAAAGTCTTCACTTGATTTTTAATATAATCCATGAATTCACATTGGCGCCATGCAACTCACCTCCCAGGCACACAATTAATTTTTTGACTGACATGTGTGTGACTCTTATGTAACTATTGCCAGGATTTCATTGCCCCTCGGCTATCTCACTCAATCCGGCGATGCCTGTGGACCTCTTTGCCCTATATTGCCTGTCAGCGGAATTGCCGTTATAGGAAATATTGCTATATCATGCAAGTCACTCGTCCATCACGGCGAGATAGATAGTGTTGTAGTTTCTCTAGTATCTCTACGTTGGCTATTACCCTATTACCTTCGTCTAGATAACACTGCTTGCTCGTGTTCTCGCAAAGATGTGATAAGTATAGACAGCTCATAGCCTCATACATGCATGAAGTCACATGATACGGCCAGCCATAGAGGGCAGGAAATGGGACATGATGGCCAATCAATCTTGCTAGCCTTGTTTATCAGGCTGAGTTGAGAAAGTCGCCGCACAGCTTATTTGATGCTGCAGCTTCAGACAAAAATCTCCAGGAGACCCGTCATATTTGGGAGGCCGCAGGCAGTATCACAATTTGCAGGACAGGGGCAGCGGACGTGAAAATAGAGCTGCACCAACAGGAGCAACCGGGAAGTGACAGGGCCAAGCGTTCCTCTCGACCACGATCCAGTTGACTGAAAAGCGGTAAACTACTCCTTTTCTGGTTGAGAGGGGAAGAATCTAGTGAAACAGAGATTCTGAGTTCGTCCAAAGTCAATATCTCCTTAGAGAATCAGAGAAATGAAGACATTCGACTTGCGCTGATCACTCATATATCATGCTACATACGCAAATAACTCGTCATATCGATTGGACGATGATAATATCAGCCTGGAACGATTTTGGACACCGCCTCATATATCGGGACGACTGTGATTCGCTATTTACAAATCAGTGTCTTTCAATTTTTCTTCTCCTTGGATGGACTTCTCTTGTTGAACTTTCGGGATATCACAACGTACGGACGCCCAAGATAAAGGAATTGGACGGATTTATGCTTATTTTTCCAAAAACGGCCTCCCTGGCTAACCCGCCGTCTTTGCATGTCGTATGGAGTAACTCGAAGGTGATATCATGGATGAATAGCTGAGCACTTCCAGTCTGGAGTTGCAGCTTATTCTGACCAGCGACCCCTCTGGATGTCTGGATGTAATTTTCTTATTGGACGTCACTTCTATTAGGCAGTAAGTTGACTGATAGGTACATTAAAGGATCAGCTAGCTATCACTTTACGGGGAACCCTGGAAGAGAGAGCTACATAGCTATGGATGAATGAAATATAACAGATATAGAATTACTGCCACTATATCGAATAAGAAGATACACATGATAAACACTATAAGACGGGAAAAAACGCCAAGTATCGAATCGAATCAACAGGAAAAACAAACATGATGGGTGATGCAAACATTCAAAAATCGTAAGACGCGTTTCAATCTCTTCGGTGCGGTTTGGAGGAAACAAATACAGGGAGGATAAGGGGAATACTAAAATACAAAAGGAAAAAAGAAAAAAGATGATCAAGAATCTAGTACTCTTAACCGCTGCACATGATGCAGGCTTCCTTGTTCTCAATGCTGCATTGAAGAACCTTCTGAGCGTAAATGTCTTGCTCCGAGTCACCATTCTCACCGGCTTCTTCCTCAGTTTCGGATTCTGCCTTGTCCTGGGCAACCTCAACAGGCTGAGATGAACCGTTAACACGAGAAGCGGAGATGGGCTGTAATGGGTCTGGGACACCGTTTCCATTTGAAATAGGAACGATAGGCTTCTGATCGTACATGGGACGAGGAACAGAAGCATAAGAGTTGTTGAATGCAGCTGGTGCTGGTGAACGCTTCTTGCTAATACCATTGGCGCGAGCAACGTTGGTATCTTGTACCTTCAATTGCTCCTGGTCAACAGTGAATTGAATGGGTGCGCTAGCAGCCATTGTACGCAAGTAGTACATTCCGGTCTTCAGGCCCATCTTCCAGCCAGCAAAGTGCATGCTGGTGATCTTGCCCATGGTGGGTTCCTTCATGTGAATGTTGAGAGATTGTGATTGATCAATGAAGGCACCACGGTCAGCAGCCATCTGAAGGATCGATCGCTGAGAGATTTCCCAGACCGTCTTATAAAGAGCCTTGATGTCAGCGGGAATGTTGGGGATGTTCTGGACGGATCCGCCCTCAGCGATGATTCGGTTCTTCATGTTGTCAGACCAGAGACCAAGGTCTACAAGATCCTTGAGCAACCATGGGTTGACGACTTGGAACTCCCCAGCCAAGACACGACGGGAGTAGATGTTCGAGGTGTAGGGCTCGAAGCACTCATTGAAACCAAGAATCTGACTGGTACTAGCAGTAGGCATAGGAGCAACGAGAAGACTGTTGCGGATACCATGCTCACGAATCTGTGCCTTGAGTGCATCCCAGTCCCAAAGGTCTGTAGGAGTGCGGTCCCACATGTCGTATTGCAGGATACCCTGAGAGACAGGAGAACCTTCGTAGGTCTCGTATGTGCCGTACTCCTTAGCAAGCTCAATGGAGGCTGTCAATGCACCGTGGTAGATGGTCTCAAAGATCTGAATGTTCAACTGCTTGGCCTCTGGAGAGTCGAAGGGAAGGCGGAGAGCAAGGAAAGCGTCAGCCAGACCATTTACACCAACTGCAATGGGACGGTGACGGAAGTTGCTCTTCTTGGCCTCGGGTACAGGATAATAGTTAATGTCGATAATCTTGTTAAGGTTTCGGACAAGAACCTGAGTGACTTCGTGCAATTTGCCAAAGTCATACTCGCCACGAGCGGTGTCAACAAAGGTAGGAAGAGCAAGGGAAGCCAAGTTGCAGACAGCAACCTCATCAGGAGCACAGTATTCAATGATTTCTGTGCAAAGGTTGGAGCTGCGGATAGTTCCAAGGTTCTTCTGGTTGCTCTTCTTGTTGCAAGCGTCCTTGTAGAGCATGAAGGGGTTACCAGTCTCAGTCTGGGCTTCAAGAATGGCGTACCAGAGCTTCTGAGCCTTGACGGTTCGGCGACCACGACCTTCCTTTTCATACTTCTCGTAAAGAGCATCGAACTCTTCACCGTAGACGTCAGCAAGACCAGGAGCCTCGTTAGGGCAGAACAAGGTCCAGTCCTGGTTGGCCTCCACACGACGCATGAAGAGATCAGGAGTCCACAAGGCGTAGAACAAATCACGAGCACGGACTTCTTCTTTACCGTGGTTTTTGCGAAGGTCCAGGAACTCAAAGACATCCGAGTGCCATGGTTCAAGGTAGATGGCAAAAGCACCAGGGCGCTTGTTACCTCCTTGGTCAACATATCTAGCAGTATTGTTGAACACTCTAAGCATAGGTACAAGACCGTTTGAGGTACCATTGGTTCCTCCAATGTAAGAACCAGTGGAACGGATGCGGTGAACATTGAGACCGATACCACCGGCAGACTTGGAAATCATAGCACAAGTCTTAAGAGTATCATAGATACCCTCAATACTGTCCTCCTTCATATCCACAAGGAAGCAAGAAGCGAGTTGTGGTCGAGGAGTACCCGCGTTGAACAGTGTAGGAGAGGCGTGTGTGAAATATTTCTGGGACATCAAGTTGTATGTCTCAATGGCTTTTTCAATATTCTCGCCATGGATACCCACGGCAACACGCATAATCATGTGTTGAGGACGCTCGGCAACCTTACCGTTGATTCGGAGCAGGTAGGAGCGTTCAAGTGTCTTGAAACCGAAATATTGATAGTTGAAGTCTCGATCATAAACAATGGCGGAGTTCAGCTCATCAGCGTGTTTCATGACAGTCTCATACATCTCAGGAGAGATCATGGGAGCCGCTTTATTGTTTTTGGGATTGACATAATGATACAGATCTTCGATCACAGCAGAAAACTGCTTCTTTGTCTGCTTGTGTAGGTTGGAGACCGCAATACGAGCGGCGAGGACAGCGTAATCGGGGTGAGTGACGGTCATGTATGCGGCGGTCTCAGCAGCCTGTTGATATTTTTAGTATATGCTCTAGTTTCGAGAATACGTTGCAGTGACACTTACCAAGTTGTCCAATTCCACTGTGGTCACACCCTGGTACACACCAGAGATGACCTTTTGTGTGATGGCAGCAGCATCGACATGGTCAGGGTCTAGACCGTAACACAATCTCGACACACGAGCTGTGATCTTGTCGAATTGTACGCGTTCCTTGCGTCCATCTACAGGTCGTTAGTAAGCTTTTCACCAGCAGGAATTCACGACAGGACAGTATGATATTGTGATATCAAGATGCTGCGGTCATTAAGGAATGAAGATTGTTCTTACCTCTCTTGAACACATACATATTTGATATGTTCCTCACGCGTATCGACGTGGTTGGACTTTCTTCAACAAGGCACCAGGAGAACGAAAGTGTCGGGGGTATCAGTTATCCAAATGATGATTCTTTAGAAGAAGAGTGGCAAGGGTAATGAGATAAAAGAGTAGAGGAACTAAGAAGATGCTATCGAAAAACTGGAAGATGCCTGGAGAAGGGAGAACAAAGAGGAAATTCAAAGTTGAAATAGGCTGAGAGGGGCAGAAAACATGTTATTTTTGATTCCTAAGCACAGGACGCGTCTATCACCTGGGAAGACGCGATTTCGTGTTTGGAGCTTTTTTATTGATTTCGCTAAGTGGCGGCGCTACGCGCCTCGCGGTCACGTGAGGCGGATAACTTTACATAACACTTTAACTTGAAGAAGAAGGCGGTCAATCATACTACCATAGGAACAAAGGGGCAACGGCCCCTTTGGGAAGTCTCCCGCGGCAGAATAGAGTCACGTGACTACAAGTTCATACAAGTATATGATTGGCTAATTATTGGGGTCAGACATACATCCCATAATCCCACACATCCAAAGGAGGCTTGGTTGTGTCTGATAATAGATGAAATATATCTGTCCATCAGGAACCACTAATCATGATGTTGGGCCCATACGGCTGCCGTTGGCCGCAGTAACAGGACCCTAAACTGAGAACTTCTCGTCAAATGTACTGACAATAACCTCATCCACCGGCAACCTGAAATCCACAATCTCCTGCCCATTCAACAAATCATTCTCTCTCGCCCTCTTATCCGCCTCTTCTTCGTTCTTCGCAATCCCCGCCTCGACATGTCGTTTAATCAATCTCTGCCTCGCAATCTCAAAATCCACCTCTACAAACCACAGTTCATCCATAAGTGCCGCAGCTTGATTCCAGGGATCTTTGTTTAGGCTCAAATAATTCCCTTCAAAGATTAAGACACGCGCTGTAGCGAGGATTGGTATATCATTTTCCACGGGATCTTTGACTGCATGATCAAAGCTCGGGGCATATACTGTACTTGTCGTTGCCGTCAATGGCTCCCGCAGGAGCTTGACTAGTTGCAAGAATTTGTCCGCATTGAATGTGAAATGTGCTCCTCTTCGAGCTGCTGCAAATACCGGGTCTGGCATAGCAGCGAGTTCGGCTCGTGTTAAATGATAGCCATCCATGGGCACGAATGCAGCGATAGGTGGAGATCCGGGGGAGTGCTCTGCATATAGTTCATTGATTCGTTTTGTGATAGCTATTGCTAACGATGTTTTTCCAGATCCTGGCACGCCACTGATGGCAATCATGAGACGGGATGTCTCTGGTGTGGATAGGAACTTGTCTGGATGGCTTTATTAGTATCATGATATAAAGTTACTGTCGTATGAGGTTTATATCTGTCTCCATCAAAGGAAATCAGATGCGCCTACCCCATGTTTTCTTCACTAATCTGTTCACCTGCTCCTCCATCTCGAACCAGACTGAACAATTACGTCCGTCGAATTTTATAATGACAAGGCCTGATTCAAGGTTTGGATGATATGATCTTATAGGCCGTTCTATGGAATCTCTTTTTAATGTCAGCCAGGAGCTTGTAAGGCAGTGAGAAGTGCCTAGGCGTTACGTTACTATAGTGGGGTGATGGGATGAGAGTTTAGGAATATCGGACGAGACTGCGCCGTCCGGTGGATTCTAAAGAGGTCGCCTGTATTCCGTAACTAGTCCAAAGATATGGAGTGTGCGTGGAGTGCGTGGAGCTGGACTATGTACGTACGAAGTTTGCAACTAAGTTCAAGGTCAGGTCAAGAAACGCTTCTAACTTGATCAATGTGGGGAATTAAGTTGGTCACCTGATGCATATAAATTTGTGACACAGAACAAAAATTTACACTCAAACATCGCGCTGGACTTTTGTCGTACAACATGGATCAAAATAGCTCAAAAGAGGAACACCGCAACGGATTATAGAAACAACACCATAAACGCCGCCCAATGCACGTGCTCTCAGCCCACATTGTCGCTGATAACTGTACAATCCCGCCAGGAGATATGAAGTAGAAAGGAAATAATTAGTAGTGGCTCATGGTTCATCAGCTGCATTTGTGGGACCGTCGCTGCCGTGACCTGGAGAGACATCACCGACATCGAGTTGACGACCTATAGTGCGAGGTAATCCTGCTGCTGCCCACCACCCGTCGGGAACATGTTCCCGTTGAGCTAAGCGATCAACAATAGCCTGCATATCTACACCGGACGACAGATCGTGTGAAACGACAGAGAGTGAATGTAGCGACGATGCTCCGGGCATCCTTGACAGCGGAGGCTGGCTGTCTTGAGTAGTACCAATCGGTAACGTAGAGTCAAGCAGTCGGGCTCGTGGGTCCTGACGTCGAGGGAAAGACCCCAGACGACGTAAGTCCAACTCCGACTCTGCTTCGGTATCTGAATCCGTAGCATGATCTGGAATATCACAGGGATTGAAGAAATCGGGGTATGGTTCCAAAATCATATGCACTGTAGCGGACGGTCCAGACTGCGTTTGTTGTGTCTGAGACTGCCGGGAAGACTCGGAAGCGCGGTTGGAGCTGGTAGCAGCATTGGATGTGAATGAAGACTCCGTGCTAGGCAAGTTGGGATCCGGGGTGAGAGTAGTCAGAAGAGTTTCCCATGCGTTGTCCAAGTCATCGTCAGGGCTAGCACTACGTTGCCGGTCACCTAAGCCATCAATTCCTTGTTGCAAGGAGGTTATATTTCCATTGTTCTCGCTAACCGATCGATGACCGACACGGCGCAGATACCGCAAACCAGGTGCTGGTCCATCTTCTATCATATGCGTTGGTAGTCGTCCAACCGCTGGCGGGGGTGACCTCCGTTCGGTACGGGCTGAAGTGCCGCTATCGCGAGCATATGCAGGAGCAAATCTAGGCGAAAAGCTGTCTGGTGTCTGTCGAATCCTGGCGTAATCTCCCAAAGACGAACGTTGAAGTGTTTCGCTAGGCGACCATGGAGGAGTGGGCATCTCAAAGCGCAAAGACGATTCGCGTGGAATGCGAAGACGCCGACCAGGTTGACGATGTCGCAGCGCATCCCGTAGCAATCGCGAGCCCTCCTCTCGTCGAGCAGTATCATTCAGGGCAGGGGAGTCCCTCGACCAGTCAAACAGAGAAGCATCGCTTTGTGATAAGCTCTGTCGAGAAGGCAAACCCTCGATAAGACTCTCTAGTTGGGCCAAAGAAGTGGACAAAGGAGTGCGAGGAGATATATTGCTAGAACTTGTCTGCGACACAACATGTCGCACGGCTCCTCTGCGACGAATAGATGAGCGTGAGTGGGCGCAAGGGTCGCTTTTGACGGAACTCTTGGGTTCGGGAGGAGAGGGCGGACGCCACAAACTACATATTACACGATGATTGTTAGTTGAGACTCGCGATCAAGAGAATCGAATCTTGTTGCTGGGCAGCCGGATCAGGCTCCAAGGCAAACACGCTGGCGCGAGTACGTGGGCCGCGACACCGCGCGAATCAACTTACGGAATACCCATAATGAAGACCAAAAAAAGAACAACACGAAAAGTCTTGAAGGAGAAGGAAAAGATAATAGTTATACAATATTTACGCACTCAAAGGGCGCGAAGAAAACCCACCAAGATTTGAATGATGGTGAAGGATCATGGAAGGGGATATGTATTGGCAGAAATACCAGAGAGAAAGAGGGAAGGTGGCTGGCAAAATCGGCGGGCGAGTTGCGACGGTGATCTGGCGGATCTGCTGGAGGAGACGCTTACACCGCAAAAAAAAGAATGGCGCCAGCCAATCAGAGTGTTTGGACGCGGATTTGCTGGCAGTCGTAGAGTATCTTACAGCTCGGTGGTGATCATTCGCTAGAAGCCTGCAAGATGAAGTCTAGCACCTTTTTTCACTCGCAATAGTCGCTGGTATCCTTGGAGATGTTGCACATTGGACGTCCTGAAGCGATTCTTAAACAGGACATAATCTCGTCCAACTTGGAGTCACGTGATATGGGTTTGTCTTGTTTGCATCCATAAGGCAGGCACCTTGCCCCTTGGATCATCTACAACTGCTAACTAACAAACAACTCCAGACCATGAAATAAGTAAGTTCTCTCTCTCTAATATGTATGCTCATATACCTATATATAGGGCAAGTACATTTGCCATACTTGCTAAAAGGGCTCACCCATCTATCAAAGCTCCACAAGCCTGCCACAATCAAACAAAGCCGGTGCTGATCAAGAAGCTCACATCATTGTTGAACGAAGCAGTGGCATCGAACGTCTGCACTCCGCCATTGCTGGCAGCGTATAGTACGTTGTTGTAATGACGGAAATAGCGTGTGGGATAACTCCAGCTTCGAAGCGAACTGCCCTTGCCGTTAAGGCCTGATTGTGGGCAGAATGTGGCGTCTTCATGGAACTGCTTGGTGCCGTCGTTCGCATCGAGCATGAGCTCGAAGTTATAGTGCCGTATGAAACTCCCCGGGGTGTCAACCGACTCGAAAGAGAAGCATGCGCTATTGCCTAGACCGGTACGAACCGTCCAGCTAGCTTCTTTTTTGAGGGTACTGGAACTGGACGACGAAACTACCTCGGTGTTGACGGTGGTATCGTTGTGCGCGATATATCTAGTCGTGTATCCGGGAGTGGTTACCTGGAACGATATGGAGGAACCAACGTTGAGCGCTGGACCGCTAGCTAACGACGTCGTAGCATATTTTGCAGCCACGATGTTCGCTTGCACTGCATTTTCGGTGGCGTCAGAAGGGTACCCAGACGTCATAACGCCTTCGTAAAACGTTCCCTGAGCACCGTTGCTGTTATCACCACCAATACCGAGAATGATGGCACCTTCTTTGGCCATCGGGTTGTATCCAGACACGCTTGGGCGCGCCCCGTCATAGAACGTTGACAACGAGCCGGACGCTGAGTTGCCGCCGCGAATTGCCCAATGATTTGGTTCACCTTTAACAGCCGCAGTGACGAATCGATAAGAGATTGACGGGTCACCGGTATTTTGCTTGGGGCTGGAACCGGAGAACAGGCCGTTCTCAAGATCAGCCATGATCCATGGGCCGCTTCCAGATCCAGTCCCCCAGAAGGTGCTGTCCCCATAATAGATGGCCTCCATATGGCCATTGCCCGTGTCAGTACTGCTGGTCTCGGCGTTGCCGTAATCAAAGCAGCACTGACCGTTGTAATGAGTTCCATCGAGCACTGCATACATGCCCTCTGCCGCATCTCCGGTAGCTGTGCCGCTGGCACGGTTGTTACGATAACCGGTACCTGGTGAGATGAAGACACCGTACGCTTTCTGGCCGTTCAGTGTGACTGGAGCACCAATTGCGCTAGCTAGATTATCGTAGCCGTTGGATTCTGGACCATTGAAGCCGCCAGGCGGAGCCTGGGTAAGGTGGTTACCTCGACCGGATTGGTCATAGATTATTGTGATAACACAGGTCGTGTTAGCACAAAAGCTATCTTGAGCGGCGGCGTTGGCGACACCTCCGGCAGAAAGTGGTGAGATGGTAGTTGTAGCACCGTCGGAACCACGTTTAACTTGATAAAGTGCACCACTATAGGAGGCATAAAGGGCGCGAGTGGTACTGTGCGCGGCAACGCAGGGTGTGCCCCCTGAAGCATAAATGTCGCAGGGCCCAGTAGCGGCGACAAGGGAACTTGAGGCGACAAGGCCAAGAGCCAGAATTCTAGCGCTCTCGGGGCTCAGCCGTGGAAACATGGTTACTCCTTGTAATACGGCACACCTGTGAGGGCTGCAAATTGATCGACAAGAAGCTTAGATGACAACTGAAGCAGAAAGGGTCTCAAGCTCGGTTGCCTCTCTTTTTATAGTCGTTTCAATCTGTCGAGTCTTAACATCTTTCGGATTAAGACCCGCACATGGTATGAAGCTCCGCCAACAATGAGAGACTCATATATTACGTTTAAGCTATTGATATTTACCGATATGCGGGGTGCATTCAGGATACTCTGAATTACTGCCATAAACATGATGCTTTCCCTCTTCGGCGTTGCATAAACAAGAACATGTGACGTATGCAAGGCTATTCTGTCTCAGGGGATCATGCAAGTAGATTAAATGATTCGGATGGATCACAATTGGGAGGAACGTCTGAAGATTTGATTCGGTTCTGTCTATAGAATCCCCGAGTAATTGCCTAATTCGATCCAATTCACTGAGGGGGATGAAGCTTGTCCGAAAAGAAAAGAGAAATCCGCTTGTGTACGATCTTCAGCTTGTATACAGTCAATGCGGAGGCCGGATCGACCAATTATTTAATCATGGCACTAGAACCCCGGATTTTCGCATATAAGCTTAAAAAGGCCTTTATTCTTACACTCGGACATTCGACGCACCAACAGACGACAAGACCTATTGTTACCGAGGTCTATCTATCAGGAATTATCCGTGTTGCGTTGCAGTTAATCAACTCTAATGTTCACTTAGAGGAAGATCCACGTTTCGTTTCCACCAACTATAATGGGCTCGGAATATTAGTGAATGTGTCATATAGCTTTTACCCTTTTAACCGATTTTGATCCTCCCAACTTCCAAGTAAGTCACAGAATCCCAGGTGTGTAGCAAGGAGGGGGGTTTAGGTGGTAGCTTTATCACAGCTCAATCAACTCGCCTCTGAGTCTCACCTTCACTTTAACAGTCATGAAAGCAATCTTTTATCTTCAGGCCAGTGAATCTTGTACTTTGCCCATTTTACATATCAAAAGGGCGCAATATCTTACGAGTGCAATGCATATTTGCACGCCGCTGTCTGATTGGTCGAACTAAACAGTGAATTTGTGGCCTGATTCTTCAGGCATAAAATACAAATCTTATCGCCGATACCCACCAACCGCTCCAGGATTGAACTTCAAATAATTTGTCATGAGTCAGGTCACGATGCAGAACCTAACGCCTTGAGCTGCGACTTCTTACTCGAGTTCTCGCCCTGGTGAGCATAGATGTGTTTCTAGTTCTTTTCCGACACGAGTGGTACTAATATTCATGGTTGGGATAGATACCGAACAATGATTGTATCATACGGACAATCACCGAGAACTACATGCCCTTGACCGAGTTCAAATCACACAGACAGAGGCATGATTGAGCTAGGTCTCTCCCGGATCTCACGTCTTGTCCAATACACAGCGTTTACCTGGAAAGCAATCCATGTTGCTGGGACAAATGGTAAAGGTTCCATCACATCTTACGTCTCCGGCCTCTTGACAGCCGCCGGCGTTCGATGCGGTCGGTTTACGTCGCCTCATCTGATCGACCGGTGGGACTGTATTACTATCAATGATAAAACCGTCCCGGAATCTTTGTTTCGTCAAGTCGAGGAACAGATTAAGCAACGCAATCAATCGTTGGGTGTGGACGCTTCCGAATTCGAGCTGCTTACCGCAACGGCCTTTGAAATATTCGATCGTGAACATGTGGAGATAGGTGTTGTGGAAGTTGGAATGGGTGGACGTCTCGACGCTACCAATATACTTTCAAATGTGCTTGTATCCGTCATCGCCAAAATCGGTCGCGACCACGAGGCATTTCTCGGAAACTCCATGGAGGCCATCGCCAATGAGAAGGCAGGAATTTTGAAAGACGGCGTGCCTTGTGTCGTTGACGGTACTAACGACGCCGAGGTACTCCAGGTAATACAGTCTCGCATCAAGGAACTCGGCATTGATGCCACAATAGCAACGCCGGATATAGCAAGTCGACGGTTTCCGAGGCTCGTTTCGCTGTTCAACGATCTTGATCTAGAGCCTCACCAACGAACCAATATTGCATGCGCAACTCTAGCACTACAGAAGGCTTTTGAACAAACCCAATACCATCTAAATGTGGATGACCTCGTTCCGAGGTTATCCAAAATCGAATGGCCTGGTCGCTTACAACTTCTTTCCATGAGACCTCTGATCAATCGCGAAGAGCCTGTGCTTATTGACGGAGCCCATAACGGGCAATCAGCGAATGTTCTTGCCGGTTACGTGAACCGTAAATTGCGCCGGCAAGGCGTGCCAGTGACCTGGGTGATTGCTGTTTCCCATGGAAAAGATCTGTCCGAGATCTTGCAGCCTCTAATGCAGTCTGGGGACAATGCTGCAATTGTCGCTTTTGGGCCGGTTGATGGTATGCCTTGGGTCAAAGCTACGGATACAGAACGGGTTGCCGAGCATATTAAGTCAATAAGCAACATAGGGAAAGTCGAGGCTTTTGGTACTGATATTCTCTCTGCACTAACGTGGGCCTCGCAATCCGCTAAACAAGGACCGTTTGTGATTGCCGGTAGCTTGTATTTGGTATCCGATGTCTTTCGGCTCCTCCGTTCCAAGGAATAGGTGTATATGTGTATAATCGCTGATATAGTTGGATAGAAAGCATTTTTACTACCTTATAGTAACTGATGAGATTACCAAGGGGTATACTTAGAAGTATAGACTTGGTACCTCAGTGACGCAGTTCAATGAAACTCCAGAACACACGGGACCAAAAAGTACTTTATTTCTTAATATTATATACACTAAAAGGGGTGAAAGAATAGCCAATGGTGCACTCATTTGGACGGTCATCGCCGACAAATTGCATACTAATTGCGCCCTGTGGGCTTTTAGGGCTGAGTTTTTGGCTTGGGCAATGTTTACCGGCCTGCCGTGATGTCAGCTAGTTAGTGCGGAGAACACACCTTCCAATTTACGACTTTTCTATTAAAACTTCCAAGGCCTCTTTTCGTCTTATTTATGACTCGATGGATAGAGTGTTTCAACAGAAGAAACATCTACTAATTGTGTGAGCTGTGTGCTCTTTATTTCAAACTTGTGATGACAGGAAACCAGCTCCCAAAAGGAGTCTCAGCTATACGCCCAACTGTTTTGATCACAACCACCCCTCGCCGAGCCGCCGTACGACGATTCATGACCCTTCACGATCTGTTTACGGCATTGTACGGCAGTACCAATTTTCCTCGAGACCAGGAAATTTGAATCGAGCGATAATCTGAACATACTGCGTTACGATTATTGCTGACCTCCTACATGATATGCCTCTTCCCCGCGTGTTTACACTCTTCCCGCATTCTGCCTCTTTCATTCGGAGATACGGCCAACGACTGGGATTTCGCCAACACAGGACACCATAGCTGGTATATAGATTGAAACTCGGGTTTCCACGCCCTTGGATCAAAGAAAATGGTCAGCCGCTCAAATGACGGCGAGGAATCGCTCCTCCTCTCATCTCGCACACCAGGAACACCGGCGAAGACACGATTAGCAAGATCGGGGACGAGCCCAACAAAAAGGGATGACAAGTTGTCAAAATCGCTATCGAAGGATGATTCAGAACTCAAGGATTACGTATGCAGCATTGACATATCAACTTCTATTAAATCATACTAACGGAATTGAAGCAATTGGGAGATTGTCTAGGCAAGGGTGCGTTTGGATCGGTGTATCGAGCCCTCAATTGGAATACGGGAGAGACAGTTGCAGTGAAGCAGATCAAATTGGCGGATCTCCCGAAGAGCGAATTGAGGGTGATCATGGTATGTGTTTAATTTACCATTCAAGTCTTATCTATACATATAGGGTCCAGCTATTGACTGAGTATGCCTACAGCTCGAAATTGATCTCCTAAAAGCTTTAGACGTAAGTTGGCGTCTGGCAATATACTCGTGGCTCATTTATTTGACGGATTTCTAGCATCCCAATATTGTGAAATATCATGGTTTTGTGAAAACCCCAGATACACTAAACATCATCCTCGAGTATATCCTCCAACCTAGTCATCGAACGATATATGCTGATTTCTAGTAGGTACTGTGAAAATGGATCGTTACATAGTATTGCAAAGAACTTTGGCCGCTTTCCCGAGAATCTTGTGGCCCTTTATATGTCGCAGGTCTTACAGGGACTCTTATACCTTCACGACCAAGGTGTGATTCATCGAGATATAAAAGGTGCAAACATCCTCACGACCAAGCAGGGACTAGTGAAGCTAGCAGATTTTGGTGTGGCTAGTCGCACAACTGGTTTACATGAGTCAAGTGTTGTCGGCACCCCATATTGGATGGCGCCGGAAGTTATCGAACTTTCAGGAGCGACGACAGCGTCGGATATCTGGAGTCTTGGTTGTACAGTGATCGAGCTCCTTGATGGGAAACCTCCATACCACAAATTGCAGCCTATGCCGGCTCTTTTCCGTATAGTGAATGATGATCATCCTCCACTCCCTCAAGGAGCATCACCTGTATGCAAATCCCCCTCTTTCTATGATGGCGATATAATTACTCACGAACTTTACAGGGAGTTAAAGACTTCTTGATGCAATGTTTCCAAAAAGACCCCAATCTTCGCGTATCAGCTCGCAAACTTTTGAGACACCCTTGGATTATTACGGCTCATCGATCCGAATCTGTTGTCCCAAAGAAACCCACTGAGTATGAAGAGGCAGTGAAGAGTGTTCAAGAGTGGAATGAGGCTCTTCGTTCTCCGGACTCGACCACAGTTAGGAGACCAGGCCGGGCCGATCATCAAGGTCCCAGTCATCCACGGCTTGATCCTATAAATATAGGATTACGACCAAAGGACTTGACTGCCCCTAGGAGTTTGTCAGGAAAAGGCCGCTCTCCAGATCCGGAAGATAATTGGGACGACGATTTTGACTCTGCTATTTCGCCTCGTGCGCTTGATCTACCGCATTTGAGACCGCATGATCATCTCGGAGGAATACTCTCTTCGGAACGACTGAAAGCATTTGCTTCCTTTGATGGGACCACAGTGAGGGATACGTCAGGAAGTTTTTCAGGGAGTGACAATTCGTTGGGGATCACTGACTCGGATCCGCTAGAAACGATTCGACCACTGCCGCGGAAAGTGATAGAGGAAAATAAGCAGCATACGAAGAGTCGGTCGCGCCACAGATCGAGTCAAAGTGTTCCTGCTGTTTCAGGTGTACAAATACTCGGCAATAAGCCCGGGGCTCCCCCATCAAAGCCATTACGCCAGTCCCGCCCAGCAGCTTTCTATACAGAAAGCGCGGACGAGGATTATTCGGATATCATAGTTGCAAATGACGATGTTTTGGAGCGTAAGCTTGGAATTTTTTCGGTAAGTTATTAATCCAGTTAAATTTACGGACGAATCCGCTTCCTTACACAATATCAGGAGGTTGATGACAATGCACCAAAGACTGCGTTGCTGATCCCGGCCCAGAGGAAGCAATCAACCAGCAGCATCGACTCACGCGACACTAAAGCGAGCTTTCCCACTCGGTCGAAAGCTAGGGACTCCTTCAAACGTAGCAATTCTGCCATTGAGATACAGAAGTTTACTGAGGATGAGCATGATGAGGACTTTTCTGACATATTCGGCAACGAAGAAAATGCCCTTGCAAAGCCGGCCAGTGAGCATGGCTCGGAAAAGAGCACATTCTTGCTACAGTCCAAACTTTCCAATAATTCATGGCTAGGAGACCAAGACGACGAGGACGATCCCTTCGCCCAGCTGGAGGAAGGATTCGATGAAATGGATCTGGAAGCAAACATTGCCCGAGATAAATACGCCCGCCTACGTAATCAGGTTGAGGGACTCGTCAGCTCTCTGAAGACTTCACAGGATGACGATGTGCTCGCCGACATCTCGGAACAATTGTTAGTCACTTTCTGTGATCTACCAGAAACAAAGGCAATCATCATTGGGGCCCACGGCATGCTTCCTATGCTGGAGATATTAGAAGGCTGTCGGCGACGGGACATCATATTCAACTTGCTCAAGATTATCAACTTGATCATTTTTAATGACTATGAGGTACAAGAAAATCTATGTTTCGTCGGCGGTATACCCATCATCAATGAATTTGCATCAAAAAAGTACCCCCAGGAAATTCGACTAGAGGCAGCAACATTTGTGCAACAGATGTATCAGTCGTCGACTCTGACGTTGCAAATGTTTGTTAGTGCCGGTGGTCTGAATGTCTTGGTTGACTTCCTTGAGGACGACTACGAAGATGAGCGAGATCTTGTCTTGATTGGTGTCAACGGCATATGGAGCGTTTTTGAGCTTCAAGTAAGTATTGGCAAATAAACTGTTGGGTCATAGTGCTGACGACATAGGGATCAACTCCAAAAAATGATTTCTGTAGAATTTTGTCCCGAAATTCGGTGTTGGACCCGTTATCGCTCGTGCTAAGCAGAGTTCTAGATGAAGATGAAGAACTGGCGAAGATAAGTGAGGGTCGCATTGCCAATATCTTTTTCATATTCTCTCAAGCAGAGAATCATGTCAAGGAGATGGTTGCGGAAAGAGCGGTGTTGCATAGTAGGTTAATAATGGCTATACCGGAATTGCAGGAGCTAACAAGTACAACAGGAGTACTCAAGGAGTTGAGACGTATGACCCCAGTTCATCAGATCACAATGCTCAAGTTTATCAAAAATCTCTCCATGCTTTCTACAACACTGGAATCATTACAAAACTCCAATGCGATCGATGTCCTTACAGAACTTTTGCGATCGACCATGAAGCAGCCTCATTTCAGAGAGGTTTCGAATCAGATTCTCAACACCATATATAACATGTGCCGACTCAGCAAACCACGGCAAGAGGATGCGGCTTTGAATGGAATCATTCCTCTTCTGCAGAAGATTGTGAAAACAGAGCGTCCGCTGAAAGAATTCGCACTTCCCATACTGTGTGATATGGCTCACTCGGGGAGAGTTGGTCGTCGTGAACTTTGGCGCAATAAGGGATTGCCATTTTATATATCGCTGTTGTCTGATCCGTACTGGCAAGTTACTGCGTTGGACGCGATTTTTGCATGGTAAGTACTCCTTTTGTACTGGAAGTGTCATAATGAGGAACTGACAAGGTGATATAGGCTGCAAGAAGAGACCGCTAAGGTCGAGGAAAATCTACTGGAAGACCGTGCTGACGGCATGTCTTTCACTGATGCGATTGTCAAATGTCTAACAATTTCGAAAGCGAATGCTTTCGAAAACTTGCTCGAGCCTCTACAGAAACTCCTACGATTAAGCCCTCCCGTCGCTTCAACACTCGCTCGACCAGATCTCTTCACTCGCATTCGCCAAAAGCTTCATCATAACAAAGCCGCTGTACGATTGAATCTGCTCCGCATTCTTTCCAGTATTTGTGACTCGACAGAGGCACAGGGCGATTTACTTGCACGTTGTGGTCTGCTGGATGCTATCAGAGAGCTTGAAAATGACCCAGCAATTCTTGTGAGAGACATGGCTGGCAAACTACTCAAATCCAACGAGCATCTTGAGAATCTGTCGGGTGCAAAACGGAGACCTCTGATAAGACGGACAAGCACTTCTGCTCTCTCTCAGACATCTGGGGGCAACCTTTCACGACCCACTACCCCTAATCTTAGACCCGGGCAGTCTAGAGGACTATTCGAAGTTTCTGATTCCCCCCGCCATCGGCGCAAGAGTCTACGACCTGCGACTCGAGATGGCAGCACGTCAGTAGTAGGATCGAATGATAGTATCGGACAAGCGACTGCCCGTAGTCGCGTGCCCCGGGTCATGAACAGTCGACTATCCTTACTCAGCCCCTTACCATCAGAAGAAATAAGATCTCCTACTTCTTCAAATCGGCCACCGTCGGCGATCGCTCGACGAAGACGCCAAACGAATAATGACATTGAGTGGGCTTGAGACAATGTCCCATTGCAATCTCTCCTTTCTTTCTTTTACATTCCTTTTATAACTAATACCCTTCCGCCCCGAGGACTTTTTTCTTTTTCAATTGGACATGATATGTTTATACATTTTACTTTCTTTTGCATAGAACGGCGTCGTGGTACTGAGCGGATGCTTGGATTATTGGATGTGTCTATTCAAGAGGGCGATTGAAACACAATATGTAGATGGCAATTAGGCCCTGCGAATACAATAGCTTTATTCTACTAGAAATTGAAGCACATGGACTTGGTATACATAGTGCCATGCGACGTTAAAAAAAGATGCGTGGTACCCCAAAAACACTACTTAACCCTTTCTGGTTACTGCAACTTTTCTGTCCGTCCCGAGGCCGAAATCCTAGAATCAGTGGCCAATTTTGTTGAGAGAACTTTGCGACTGATTTGTTTTGTTCTTTTTCTTTAAATTCAATTCCTGATTGTATATAATACCTTTTTCTCTGATGAACTATTGCGACCATTTGCGCCAACCGACGCCGTTGCCTTGACTTTTCTGCGAATTTCGGAACTTTTCGAAACACATGATTTCATCCTCACGGGATCGTCTTTACTTTGATTGAGAACATTCTACACCTTAACGATCGGTTGTTCGGTCAGTTTGGAGACATAAATATTGCGCCATTGTCGACAACAGTGGTTCATGGAAAGACCATGAGATCCGCTCTCCCTCGTCCGATAACGACAGCGTTTCGCTCCCCGACATCCTTACCACGTACTCGCAATACGGCATGGTCCCCGTTTTGTAGTCGATGCTGGACAAATGAGCGGGCATACCAGACATCAATTCAGAGGAGCTTCCGCTCGACTCCCTCTCAGCGACTAGACGCGGCGCAATTGAAGAATGGGTCTAGCTCCAACGGCTCGAAAAGGAGTTCAAGAAGACGAACGGCTATACGATTTGCGGCCGCTGGAGGGACTGTAGGTGTGGCGGTAATAGGGTTCTGGGACGATATAAAACATGGCTATGCGGCTGCGGAGAGAAGTGCTAGAGTTGCTACCACTCTTGCAATCTGTATCAATGAGTACGTTTGACCTTAATCACCCACATGGGCAGATTGAATCTGACACGGGGAATTTTTGTCAGTTACCGAACAACTCTCAACCAAACAAGTGGGACACCAAAAGAACAAGAAGAATTGCTAAAAGCATGCCACAAGCGCTGCGCAGAACGTACACTCGTCGTTCTCGAAAAGAATGGATCCATATTCATCAAATTAGGTCAACATCTAAGCAGTATGGGTTATTTGCTTCCTCTAGAATGGACGACGACTTTTATCCCTTTACAAGACAAATGCCCCGTGTCTTCCTTCGAGTCGGTACAGAAAATGTTTCTTGCGGATACGGGTAAACGCATTGATGAGGTATTCTCAGAGTTCAGTCCTACACCTATAGGCGCCGCATCGCTTGCGCAAGTCCACGTCGCAACTCTACGGGAAACGGGTCAGAAAGTGGCTGTCAAAATCCAACATCCTGCATTGGCTGAATGGGTGCCACTGGATTTGGCATTGACTCGATTTACGTTCTCTACACTGAAACGCTTCTTTCCGGAGTATGACCTAGAATGGCTCTCAAATGAGATGGATCTGTCGTTACCAATGGAGCTTGATTTTAGGCATGAAGCTGAGAATGCGATGCGGACAAAGGAGTATTTTAAGCGACACTCTGATGCGCCATTGGTCATTCCTCAAGGTGAGTCTTCTTCCCTTCGTCTTGGAGTTCTTATCTAACGCTTCATAGTAATGTCGGCCGAAAAAAGAATTCTAGTCATGGATTTCATTTCTGGCGCTCGTCCCGATGACTTGGAATTCCTCGATAAGAGCGGAATCGACCGCGACGAAGTATCAGCCGCGTTTGCACACATCTTCAACGAAATGATCTTCGGAGATAATGCGCCTCTACACTGCGACCCCCACGGCGGTAATATTGCCATCCGAAAGAACGACAGCCGTCGCAAACCAAACTTTGACATCATCCTATATGACCACGGTCTATACCGCGACATTCCTCAGGACTTACGTCGGAGTTATGCGAAACTGTGGCTCTCTGTCATTGAAGGTGACGAGAAGAAGATGCGCAAATATGCATATGAGGTAGCCGGAGTCACCGATGAGCTGTTCCCCATCTTTGCGAGCGCGATCACTGGACGAGATTTCACGGTTATCTCTCAAAATAAGATTGTATCGTCGCGGGATAGTGAGCAGGAGAAGAGCAACGTTACCAGTGCCTTGAGTCATGGCTTACTTCAGCAATTGGTCGATATGCTCGGGCGAGTTCCTCGGATTATCCTGTTGATTCTAAAGACGAATGATCTTAGTAAGCGTACCTTCTAAATATGCTACGTGCATGAAAATATTAACCGCTCATCCAGCTCGAAGTCTCGACGAAAACCTACACACCCGTCAAGGTCCAGTGCGCACATTCCTCATCCTCGCCCGATACGCCACTAGAACCGTATTCGAAGAACAAATGGAATTCGTGTCTCAGAACGGCAGTCTCTTACGACCAAGCAATCTGTTCCGCTTTCTATCTGCTTTTACGGCATACGTGCGCGTTGAATTGAAGTTGTTGGCTTATGAAAAGTGGCTTTCTGTGAAGAGTACGTTTGGCATTGTAGCGTGAGCATGATATAGTATATGATGTGGTCTGGCTTTTGTATAGAATACTATAGATCTTGTTTCAGTGTTAACATGTAATACAGCGACGTGTGAGTTTACATCTTGCCCTTCGTCGAGGACCAAGTAGGCGCTGCACACAATACTCTATATTTCTTCATTTCATGGTTGTTCCTTGATGAGAATAGCAACCTACCCTTTCATTAGCACCGCCTCATGCCTATATCTTTCAATCCGAGCAAAGAAGAAAACAGAAACTTACAGGAATAATCTGCACCTTCTCCAAATCCCACACATCCCCCTTATTGTAAACATCGTTATTAAGAATCTCACGCACTTCTGCTTCAGTCTCCGCCCGGAAGACCATTACGCTTCCCTTGAATTTCGGGTCGCCATCATTGTGGGCGTGGAACATTGGTCCTTTACCAGTCAGCTCCTTGAAGAATACTTTATGTAAGGGGAAAGGGGGACATACCACCGGTAACGACCTTTTTAGCCTCAATAAGCGGTTTGAGGTTACCGAGGTGAGTCCTACCATTTTCATATCAGCACAACCCTACTCTTAACAAGTTACCTAGGTAGGAATGACATACGCTCGGATTTCAAGCCTCTTCTCCTGCTTTCCCGGCTTATCGGGGATTAGGCACAGCCATTCCCTCTTCTCAGGTGGGATGCTCATGACTGATCGAGTTGCCGTCTGATATAAACCTAAACCCCTTGAAATAATGATTCGTGGCCTTGTACCGGTATGAGAGAGAATTGAAGGTCGAAATGCTCGTAGAGAAGCCAGTTTGAAAGATTCTAGTTCCTTTCGACGGATGAATTGACTTAGTAGCGTGTGGGGAGAGGTGGAAATAAGGATGTTGGGGGATGTGGTACAAAGTCAAATTATCTGAGGATGCCAGGGCTGATGATATAGTGTGGGGTTTGTCTGGTGGGTGCGCTCTGTGACAAAAGATGAATACTCCTGACAAGAATATTGATTGGTAATCAATTTATCTAGCATGACTGAAGAAATGAAAGGTGTATATGCCTTGATCCAAAATAGTATACAAAACAAGGCACCGGTTAGTCAGGGCCGAGACCAACGTCCAGGTGGAATAGCCAGAGAGTCCTAGACAATGACATACATCAAGCATGGAAATGAAATTAATGACCGGAAATTAAAGAGATTCCATGAGAATCGACGGACCATGGATAATAATAAGAATTGAACAATCGAAACAAGTAATTCAATGCCATCATTTCCCCCGAGCGCCAACCAATAAAACAAAAAGTACAAACAACCCAGAAACAGCTCAGAATCCTACAGTCAAACACAAAAGTAAAATGAAAGTCTTTATATTACCATATCATTATATCGCGGCTTGCTCCGCGTATGCTTATCGCACAGTGTGAAAAATGCCAGGTATAAACAAGCCTGTATCGTTTCGACGTTGGTGGGTGGGGTTATTCGACATCGGTCTGAAACGGTAGGCAATGTAAAATCATGGCGGGATTGGCTTTCTCCCCCGTTCTTTTCAAGAAGTATGATGAATAAACATGTTCGTAAGGTGATTAATATGCTTTGCGTCCGCCGAGGTTTCCGGGCTTCTCTTCGGTATCAATGTGCCAGACGACATAGTTAGGGAGACCAACGACCTGATAGCCAGCTCGTTTGGCCATCTTGGCAAACCCTTCGGTTTCGGCTTGGTTCTCAAATGCATAAGCCGGGAAGTTGATGCCTATTGGAGTCAGAATGTGGATCCGTGAAAAAAAAAAAAAAAAAAAGACATACCTGCTCGGTGGACATCAGCTTTAACCAAGATGTTCACTCCACCTACTCCGTCAAGTTCAACCTCCTCGTCCTTGTTATTTCGCCAGTCACCAAGTTTCACCAGATATGTACGACCTGTGTCGTATTCTTTGTAACCTTCGGCCAAGATTGTGTCTTTGGGAAGAGATTCTGCCAATCGACGGCCTTTGTCTGATTCAATCCACGAGTTATAGTCGACTGCAACCTAGTTAGCTATGAAGATAAAAAGAAAACAAAAGAGAACGTACATTTGCCCTCGATGTCATGACCATCTGCATCGTATCGATGGAACCAGATATCTACCACAATTGTCAGTAATGCCATGTGACAAGCATTCTTTCGAAACACATACTTGGAACAAGAATGTCTTTATCATGGGCCATAAAGTCCTCCAGAATCTTGTCAGGGCTATCCACGATATCGACGTCCCTCCAGTAGACCCAAGAATGCTCGGGTTTCAATGCGGAGTAGAGAAGAAAGTTTCGAGCCCGCGCAATCGCCTTTCGACGGGGTCCTTGGGCTTCAAAGGAATGTTTCTCTTTGATATCCATATCAATGTCCGAGCCAAAGTCCTTCTGAACAATCGTAGCACTGTGGAATGCAACCTTCTGTTCAGCCTGATTCTGAACTCGGTCAAGTTCCTTGCTCAGCACGCCCAGAGTGTCATCCGTCGAGTCACCAACGAGAAAAGCAAGATCGATGAGGTCGTGCGGGTATGTCAATTGGACAAGAAGGTCGAAATATTTTTGGAGAAAAGGGGCGGCATCACGCAACGGCGTAAGAATCAGTACACGTTCTCCGTTGCTGGCAGCCTTGGGTGTGGTCTTTATAGGGTTGAGATCGACGAATGATATTGACGTCGCATTCACGTCGATTGGTTCGTGATGATTGAAATTGACAGGTGTCTGTAAATGTGCGTTCCACTCGTTCATCTCGTTGATGGTCATGTGCATTGGTGATTTCGAAGGTCCGTAGCAGTAAAAGCTATTCGACTTAGCTTCAGCTGTTATACTCGGCTTTGTCGGAAAAAGTATGAACAAACCTTTGCATGTCTGCAGCAGAACTGCTAATACCGCGCCAGAGAAGAACCACCAACCCAGTAACGGCAATGGATACCAGAAATCGTGTGCGTGTCAACAAGATAAGAACTGCCCGCCATGGTGGTAACCTTGACCGAGCCGATTTCCAGTTGACGCCACCTTTAGAGAGCAACATGATGCAATATTTTGTTAGATATCGTTCCGCGACTCGTCACCGCCAACCACGAGACCAGAAACTTGTAGTGAGGGGTCACCAATTGCGTAGAAAGCCGTTCGCAATTTATTCGATTAGTCTGGTGACGCTCCGATAAGTGGCGTTTATGGATCGATCTATAAGGCCCGCGCTGACAAAGAAGTATGCTGTATTCAATCAAGCGAGCGACTAGGGAAGTAAAGGGAGTTTGAAACAATCGGATTGTTGCGGATATAGACACACGGTATAGGTCAGATGACGGAGTGGGCGGGGAGAAGAGCCCGTCACGTAGAGAAAAGAAAGCAGAAGGAGAAAAGAAAAGAAAAGTATCTAGAATTGAAGCAAAAGAGTGATACGTGCAACGTAAACTCGGGATGGAGGGGATGAGCAGGAAAGGGAGCATGATAACTTGGAATCAGTGGCTGGCCTTGGCATGGCGTCCGCTAACCGGATCTGGCTGACTAAGTGGTTCCTCAACTGACAGAAGATCTGCCTGATCTAACCACTAGACTTACTTAGACTCACTAAAGAGAAGCATCAAGTCTATATCGTTAATATCAATTATCAAGTGTGCTAACGACGTCTTAAGACTACATTGACATTCTTTTCCAAGTACCGTATGTCTTGAATGCATCAAACTGAGCCCCTTGTCGCATACACCTGCGTAGACATGCTCTGCCAAGTGATTGCCCCAACCCAAGACATCAATTATGGCTTGGCCATAGCCTGAACCCTCCAGTGGCTAGAAATAATAATAAATAGAGGCCATTGAGCCAGGGGTTCCGGAAAATAATGCGTATGGGATTCAGAGTCTCGGGTTGTAGCGTCAAAAAAATTTAATGCCTAAGGCATAAAGAATTAGGGCTAGGGCTAAAGCTTGCACCCAACATCCTGATCGACTGTCACCTCGCATCATGACTTCAACAAACCATTGAGAAGATTTCATGTCACAAATTATGCCATAGATACCTCGTCCACCGCTGCATTTCACTTCGTGCTCAAGGACATGGTCTCGTTTAATTTCATGCTCTCCGAATCCGATCCGATGTCTTTCCTCCGAACTTGCATACTCCGTACATGGACATGCAAACTAGAAAAGCTAAATGTATACTTCTTTAAAATAATAGCAGTCCTGATTCGTGTGTGGAGTCCTATTTCTCTGAGTGGTCCATGGCTCGCCGAATTTACGAGATTAGTGTTCGGATTTTGTGTCTATCTCCTCCGTACGGTTGGTTACATGGGCATGTAGTTGACTGTGACATGGTCGAATTGATTGGAGGTACAGCATCATGTATCAGCACGTCTAATTAGTCAATTAGCTACTCTAGGCATCAGTATTTACCGATCTATCTCAACAGTGCATATGGATTATTTCGAATCAAGGACAAGATCCATCGCCACAACCCTAACCACATAGTCCATACGAGTACAAATTTAGTTGCCTCAGATTATTTCTCCTGACTAGGCCTCTGCAGCAAACCTAATTACTATGCAATACGTATTCTGCGTGCGTATCTCGCGTCGAATCGGTACCACTACCTAGGTTGAGCTCGAATGCAAGGGATGAAGACACTATTGTCGTCCTACCTACCCGGCTCTACACACATGAGAAAAATTCCTATTCTCCATCTCTGTGCGTATCTCCTCGGTGGAGTTCATTCAGGGGTATGCTATGTATCTTTTTTTTTTTTTTTTCAGTCTGCACCCATCTGCCAGGTACGAGTCTCTCCCACGTTTTTGTTCGCTTTCAATTCAACAACATCAATCAAATTGCTTCTCGTTTCTATCTTCAAAGAAAATGAATAGATATAAACACCTGAACATATAGCATAACCATATATATAATGAAAAGTATTATTGATAAGCTCAGTATTGTATCAAGACGTAAAAAAACCGAACTGATATGAAAGAGAATAGACAGATATTGTTTTATACTTACAAAGGAAATAGAAATAAGTTCAACGAAAGATAAGAAAATTGTCCATCCAAAAAGAAAAAGCCAATGATAGAAGAAAAAGGGTCATGAGTTAATAGTACAAGGGGATTCGCACAAGGAAGAAAGCTGCTTCCAGAGTCAAAACAAATCATCATTCATTAGATGTCATGAAACATTCATCGTCTCACAACGTATGATTCAAAGACTCGCGTCGAGAAGATGGTAAAGACGAGTGTGAGAAAGATGACGATGGCGTAAGGCACATTGGTGAGGAAGGTCGTGTAGTCATTGGCGACATAATAGCGCGTGGGATAACGTCGAGGTTGGAACTGGAAGATGTGGAGTTTGTAGTGTTTGATGTCTCGGAAGAGAAGGAACAATCAGGACTCATGCCGGGAATCTCACTACATAGGACTCGTAGACCTAGTAATGTTTTCTTCTCTTGTTGGTTTGCTGATGCGGTTCCCGGTGCTGATGCCCCATGGGGTATCGTAGTCATGGGCAGAGGTGTAACAACTTCTGGCTTCGGCGATCGAAAGACCTGATCATAAGACTTGAGTTTAAACTCTAAGGCCCGATGTCTATCCAAAAGATCATCATATTCTTGCTTCAAAGCTCGGATCTGATACTGCATAGCTTGATTCTGGGACTGCAAGCTCGAAACAAGTTGCTGTAATTGCATACTTCGTAGTTGACCTTGCAGATTCTCCGATAGTTGAGGCGGGATATTCTTCTCCTGACCCATCAAAAACACGACAATGGCAAGTAAGAAATCAATCAGGTAAATCGCGCCCTGAACAATATGTTCCTTGGACTGGGGCAGACTCTTGCTGGGGTTCCATCCGGCACGCTCCAAGAAAAAATCATGTAGCCGGTTATCGAGTTCTCGGTGAAGTTGACTGAGATTCTTGCGTCGGTTTCCCTCCGCGATACGATGTTTCTCTCGTTGATCGTCTTGGTCACTTGCGGACGAAGTCATGGTATCGTTCTTGCGTTTACGGCCACATAGCTGTTGCAATGGTGGCTTCCGGTTGATGTTGCGTGGTTGAACGAGGGCCATGATCTCAGAATAGGAGAGATCATTGGGCCAGCCGAATGCCTTTTGAGTTGAGAACGTTTCTTTAAGAGAGAAATCTACTGAGCTGACTGGTGAAGGTGGGGAGATGGTAGTATACTTGTGCTCCCCCCCATGCCATCCTGATGATTTTAGACTGGTTGGAAAAGTATCTTGAGAGCTTGGAGGGCTCTGAACGTGGGAACTGAGTGTGAACGGGTTGTTGAATGGACCCGGAGGCAGAGGCTCAACGGGAGGTAGTGGAGGTAGGCGGCGCATTGGAGTATCTTCTTGTCGGTCTGCTTCACAGCGGAATGTGAATGAGTTTAGTGTGCTGGTTCAGTGTCAGTACCACTAAACCCGATTACTGCCTGAATAGGAGAGCTTACGGCAATGAGCAACCCCGCGACGCATCGTTACCCCAAGTATCTTCAAGCATGATGAGATATATAAGGTTGTAGAGCAAGAGAGAATTATGTCCAGGGAGAGAAAGAAAACTAAAAGAGAAATAGAAAGTTCTCGGACTTGCTTGTGCACTAAAGAGTAGCTATTGATGCAATGCATGGAGAGACTGGCAAGTCCGAAGCGAAACGACCATGGATATCTTGGAATCATGCAGGAAAGAAAACATGGAAATCAAGGGAGAGCGTGAGCACAGATTATATATTTCTCAAGAACAGTCTAAATGCCGAACCATCCCACACGCGTACACATACGCATGCCCCTTGCCCCTCGCTTTGGCCTCGAGTTTAGAGTAAAGGCTTCGTGCTCCTCAAAGCGGATATCAACATATTTGTCTGAGAAAAAAAAGTTCGAGTGCGGATGGATATGTTACAAATTATGCATGTACTATCTGCAAACATCGCGAGAGGCGGAGTATAAAGCCCACGCAGAATTGGAAAGCTAAAGTAGCAGATATGCAGGCAATGTACAAAAAATTTGATAGATGATCGAGGACCCAAAAAAAAAAAAAAAAAAAAAAAAACTATCGTGCATGGGAAACAGAGAGACAAAAGCCTGTTGGTCAGCAGAATATAGTCTTTTACACTGTTTGAAAATTGGAACCATGCCTAGGTAGTAGATCCACGCAACGAAACAGCTGAGGATACCACTATTTAGTGATCGAGTCAAAATAATTAAAGACTACCTACGCCTTATGATTCGTGCCCGGCCCCATTTGGTTGATGCATATAAAATGGATTCCCCTTGCATCTAAGAACTCTCCGAAAACCAATCGCAGACTTGGATCAGCTCCTGTTAGGCAATTATAGCCATTGGTAAATTTGCCATCGTAAATGACTATTTGATTTGATTTGATTTAGTCTAGAGGCAACTGGGGATGTTGTGCTGCGATAACTTGAATCTTCAAGAGAGGGGAGATAGATTTTGAAAGCTTCATCTAGTCATAACGCCACGCCGAGATCTCGCTTGACCAAAGCATGGGCGAGTCCAAAAACCAAAAAGAAGATGTGGCCAAAGCGTGGTCCGGATCTTGAAACTTTCATTCCATGACCCTAGTCATCCTTATAGTAAGATTCTATTATCAAATCACGAGCTCAACCAGACACACTGACTGACTGACTAGTACGTAGTGAGTATTGGCTACCAACTCCGAGTCATAATAAAGTGATCTCGAGCCGTCTGGGCCGATATTTTATGATCTATGATCCATGTTGTTGTAGTATTTGTGCGTTGTGGACACTATACCTACCCATAGATAGATACCGGATAGTTCAACACGACTGAACCTTCCTTACAGCCGCTGCTGTGCTTCAGCGGGTCTTATTTCCATCATATAAGAAGAAACAAGAAGATACGTGCGATGTAGAAAGTGGGATGGTAATATAGCATCGACCCACATTGACCAGAGAGATCATATCACGTAGATCTATACTTCACGTAGGTACCCTTCTCATTACCCCTCAAATCTGCGAGGGGGTGTTCTGTATGCCATATAGTGTCGAACTATATAGGCCAAGTATGTCTCGTTGTTCGAGATCTGATACTATTAAGTATGCGTCTGTAGATACGTAGTTCGTAGTATGTAGTGTCAGTTACACGGATAGCAAGCAAGGCTACTCAAATAGCTCCAACCAAGGCCTACTGAGCCACCGAGTCACTAGAATTACCGGGATAGGTAGTTTTCAATCTCTTGCAGTCAAGATCGGTGCATGCACCGACTTAGCCAGACGCCTAAAATCGGCATACATTGCTAGTACCTACTGAGCAATTTCAAGTAGTTGCCTGCATAGTTAGACTCCGAATCGTGGCAATTTTAGCGGGGTTTAGCGAGCAAGATACAGAACCATATGGCTGGGATGGTCGCATGTCTTCGAATCTTCCAACCATATGATTCTTGATCATTATTCGGAGTGAGACGTCTTAAAGGCTAGGACGAATCCACCAGATCGAGCTCCGATTGCTGGAATTATTCGATATGATAGTAGCGATACCTACGGCTAACGAGATGACTAACATAGATCCTTAGTAAGTTACTCCGTAGAATATAGTCAATTAGGAGCTGTCATATTTCTTCTGTACGAGTCCTCAACCTTGGTCTGATGTGTAAAATCTTGTAGGTTTAGTGTTGTGTCTGAGCGTTTGTTAGGTTTAGGGCTAAAGGGGGCTGGGCTTGAGGCCTTGGCTTTCAGGCTAACTGTTTTACCCACAGGAGGCGTTCTTCTCACACGTTCAAGAACCGAATCCTTGCTGAAAACGACTTTTATCGATATGCTATGTAATTGAGGAACGGACTACCGTTCCCCTTTTGGTTGTAAATTGCTGCTCATGGCAACCGTGAGAACCGTTATATCACATTGAACCAATTCCCTTGTTCGAGGCGCGTATACATCTACCACCTGAGCAGTCGCACTGCACTGTTCCATAGACTTAGTCCGTATCTGTCATGTACGTATCTAGGATCTGGCATCTACCGATAAACTCTCACAAGGGTACATTCTGCTGGTACGCTTGACTCAGTCTTGGGTGATTTTTTTTTCTCTCAACAAGACCCGCACACGGGTGTGACGGATGAGCCATCCGGGAGTGTCAAGAGGGGGGTATCCTGTCATTCTAAAGAAACAGCCTGACTCTATCGATGAATCGTTCGTATCGAGGATCGGCGCCCACAAATATGGCATTGCGTAAACCTCCCAAATCTCTGGGTCTGGTGCATGTGAGTACACGGCTGTATGTATGCGGTGCATGTCCTTTGCTGCTTCCTGGTGAGTGCCATTACCTATATCATATCTAATATCTATCTGTTAGAATTACTTGGATACGACAAGGTATTGAATGCCTGCTGCTAAGCAATTGGAGATTGAAGCTCTCTTGAGAGCACAAATGCCTCATCGCAGACCAAGCCCTAGGATTAGCCTTAAACCAATGCCCACAATGACAAATACAAATAAACACAGCACAGACTGACGATCCAAACCCATACTCATGGACCCCATCGATAAGACCCGATGAACCATTACGCACAAACCAACTACCAGTTACTAAGTGACTACTCAGTCTTTGACTTTTGAGACGCATGCAAGTGGACCATGGAAGTGAGAAGATACATCCGCGCGAATGAACCGGTGGATTTGAAAAGTGGGAAAGAAAGTGTAAATAGGAAGATGCTAGCAGAGAATTGGAAATAGCACATGCTGTGGTTAGGGCATGAGGGGGGTCACGATTTCCTAATTGGGACGACGGCATGAAAGACACAAAAAAAAGAGGTAAATACTAGGTACGTAGTATACGCTACGAAATAACTCAAACTTGTGTAGGTATCCGGGTATTCCGTCTCCGGGTGTTCGGCGCATCTCGCATGGTTAGAGGATGGACGGCGCAAAAGTATGTGCCCAGGTAGAAGGTATCTAGATACATGATATCTGAGATTCCCCTCAGTAAAGGCATAGATAGAATCAATGATTATAGTATCAAGGAAGAGGGGCAAATATACACCCCCTCTTCTGACAAATTGACTGATTGATTAGATTGACATCAGTCTTTTCACATGTAACATAACGAAGACATGAGCCGGATGATCTGATTGTGTATCTTACTCTCGAACCGAACCTCTGGATACTTGATACGATAAAGTTACCTATGGACCAAGTTAGTCTCCAGTCCATTGGGAAGACATCGGGGCCAACCTAACCATTCCTTCCGTAACCAAGGCTTGGACACTTCCATGTGCGATTCTCGAACTATAACCTACCATGTTATAACTTAGATGTCGGAAAAAATGGACTTAGTAAGATTCTCACTCATAACGTTATAACTAAGAAATGAAAGTCTACGTCATTGTAGTCGAAAATAAAAGTCAACGGGACTAGACATGATCACTGTGCGACAGTTGTACAATCTATGCATGAATCATGGAGATGGACCGATCTAACGGTTCTAGTATTATATAGCTACGCAAATGTCGAATATACAAGAAAATGTATCAATGCATTCAGGCTGTAGCAACTAACAGTAGGCCATCTAATGTACAGGCCGGGACTCAACGACAAGGAAATTAAAGGAAAGAATCGATTATTATCATAAGTTGCACACGAGTAAAAAAACAATTTTCCGCGAGATGGGGAGCAGAACAGCGTCCGAAGCAGCAGCGTAGAAATAAACAGTACAGAAAGTCGAGCACAAGTCGCCGATTACCAGCCCTTTACAAAGACGTCCAAATAGATTGACCGACAGGAATAGAAAACATCACAGTGCGCTCATGGAATCCCTTTACATCAAGAGAGACAAGAGAGCACCCACGAGAGCGGTGATGCCGACGGAGGGAACAGCCATGTTAGCAACAGCAGCACCCTTGGATGTGGCGGAGGAGGAAGAGCTGCTGCTAGTGGTAGAGCTGCCAGAGCCGCCGTCCATGGTAGTGGGGTGGGAGGTCTGGGTGCAGTTGTAGGTTCCAGAGATGACATTGTTCTTGCGGAGGTCGTCAAAGGCACTGCAGGAGAAGTTGCCGGTGCTCTCGGCGTTGAATCCACCCTTGACTTCGGTAAGAGCAGGCAGGCTCACGCTATGGAATAGTTAGTATTGCGATTATAATAAGTCACGTGTCCAAACTTACTTGGTGTAGTCTCCAGTAAGGTCAATAGCACCCTGGACCTTGGCAAGCTTGGGCAAGGAGATAACGTCAAGCTTGCCGTTGTTGGAGATGGCAAGACCACCAGTGAGGGTGGTGAGCTGAGGCAGATCGATCTCGGTCAAAGCGCCGTTACCATCGAAATCCAAGTCGGCGCATCGGGTCAAGTTGGGAGCAGAGAAGTTGGAAATGTAGTTACCGAAGAGACCCAATTCACCAGTGAGGTTGGCCAAAGAGGGGACGGAGATGGAGCTGGTGTTACGGAAGGTCAAGTTCTGGGCAGAGACCAAGTTGGGGAACTCGATGTTCAATTGGTTGTTGTTGGCAGAAATAATCAAGGTACCAGTGATGTTCTTGATGTCGTTAACATTGATCGACTTGAGAGCAGTGTTGGCAGTCAAGTCAAAGTCACCGACAGAGGTGAGCTCAATACCAGCCAGGGAAGTCAAACCAGTGTTGGTGATGCTGACACTGCCGGCCTTGCTAACACCTTTGTTGAAGGTCAAAGCCTGCAAGTTGGGAAGAGCCTGGAAGTCGATGGAACCAACAGAGGTGAGCTCAGGGAAATTGAGTGAGGTCAAGAGAATGATGCCGGACAAGCTGAACTTGTTGCCAATAGAAGTCAAATCAGGAGCGCCGATGGAGGTGACGTTGGTGGCACCGTCGGCGATCAGGCTACCGGCAATCTGCTGGATGCCGTTGAAGGTGATGCCACTGGCGGCTTGGGGCAAGATGACAACGTCACCCTGGACAGTCTCACAGCTGGAGAGGTTATCGGCATCGGCCTGGGCGGTGATGTTGGTGATAGAGCCAGCTTTACCGCAGTTGTCTAAGGGCGAACGGTTAGTTCCTGTTTCTTTTCGTATGTACGACGCCCAACTCACTCGAGGCAGCATAGGCGGCGCCAGAGGCCATTAAGGCAGGCACAATGTACTTGGAGAAAGCCATTGCGTAAGGTCGTGGGAACGGATCTGGTCGAGCAAGAGGGAAACCGTTAGCTGACGATTCAAGAGGTTGAGTTGAAAATCAAGGAAAGAGAGTGTTTATGTGTTTGTTTGGTCCTGGTTTGCCCGCATTCCAAGGGGCATCGATACGGACGCGGAGCTCCAGTTCCAACACGTAACACAACAGACGTGAATGGAAGAATCAACGGTATGCTGCTCTCCTTGTTGTCGATTGTTCGTCGGGATGCCGGTTGACGATGGGACTTTGTGCGACGTGTAGAGAGAAACTCACCAAAAAATGCTCGAGTAACGGGTGCGGTATATTAAGGCTGGAGTGATGTATACTAGACAGCGCAGTCAGAACGGAAGTCGACCAAGTGGAATGGGAAGCAAGACGTACAGTAGAAAAACAACACAACAAAGATGGGATGAACGAGTGAAAAAGAAGGAAGAAGAAGAAGAATTGCTTCAACGAGGGAGAAGCTGACAAAGTGTGACAAGAAGAAGTTGCGAGAGGGAAGTCGCGACTTGGCAGCAGGCACGTTTTGAGTTTCTCTCGGGGCAGGAAGAAGATTTGAGAAAAGGAAGGAGCGATGGGCGAAGGAAGCCCCCCGTTTTTTAAAAAGGGCAGGAGGAATGGTGAGACCAATATGAGCGTGAGCCAATCAGAACGCCGGAATAGGTGCACTAGAGTGAATTGGGCTGGAGCCAAGTGGGGCTTGCAGGGGGACGTAAACAGGGAAAACTGAGACGATACGTATTTGGAGATACGTAAATTACGCTTACGATGATACACTAAGAGTCTAGGCTTTGTATGTTGAATACTCCGTACTGAATGTAACCTGGCATGTTACTAGTAAGACTCTGCTCTATCAAAATGTCTCTCTATCAAATGGCATACATTCATATAGAGAGTATTCCAGGGCCCGATGTCAATGGACAATTAGCCTGTACAAGCCTTTGACATCAACAACACACATATCTACTGTCTGTGTACGTGGTCAAACCCTGGAAACCTCGTCAACCAAGCTGCTGATTGGCTGGCCCGGCCTCATGTCGTCCAATCTTGGAACGAGGTCGTTGATTGGATTGAGATAGCATCACTTCTGCACCTCAATTACTTGGAACTGATATTTATATTGATGATTATGTATCCATCGAATGTGCACTGACTGCACTGACTGCATTGACAATCAGCAATTGCAATCTGCAAAGATGACCAGATACTCCATTGCTACGTACTGGGTTCGCACGCTAGCCGGATCAGTGATCTTCATTGCTTATGTCGATGAGCTGTCTGAATCCCAACCGAGAATCTGAATCTTGCATCTATCTACATGTGCTATCTATCAACCACTAATAATCAATATCAATCAGATGCTCCCGTTATTCTTGTCCTATAGACCGAGTTTTCGATTCCATATGTCTGACAGACTCAATGCCAAGTGCGGCATAGTTGCGGTAGATTAAAGCGTACCGGTACGCCCATGGAGCACTAGTACGCACTAGTCTTATGGTAATCTCTCACGAGCCACTCCTATTTATTTCTTACGCATCGTCTCTCGATTTCCTAGACGTGGAGAGAGAGAAGCACTCGATGAATCATTGATCTGCTATTCTACCAGGTTTATGTCATTGCGAGAGAGCGCTCAGCTTCTGACAAACATTTGCTGGTAGTGGTACGAGCACATCAACCAGCATACATATCAGTGTGGCTGAGGTGATGCATTATGACACGGCCCGCGTGATATTCAATGTCTTAACTCGCAGTGGCCGAGGCTTGAAACTGTCGTAGATCATAATTCAAGGGGACGGGGCTAAGCTTTGCATAAAGTCAAGATTTTCTGGTAACTATGTTACACGTGGTACTTACCATCGATATGCCGTGGAGCGGTCCTTGGTTCTATGCTAGGAATATCAAAAGCTTGAACAGCTCCAATTCCATAGATTCGGCTCAGGTAACCACTGTGATGTTCATGCTCACTCCAAAGTGTGGTGTCGAACTTTGAGAGTCAAGTGTATTGACAATGTATCCCAAAAAAGGCTAGATTGCTCTTTGAGCACGGGACTACGCGCCTCTTGGCGTGCAACAACGCGATGGGCGCCTGGACATCACGTCAGATTGTATCAACAAATCGAGTGTACAGCTTAAACCCCCCGTCTGATTACTTTTGACAGATAAAATATACAAACTGGCTTTATTCCAGTACATCGAAGTTGCATCATATACCTTCAGACAGGCCTTGAATAGGCCGCGACTTCTCTCAGCATATATGGCACCCAGACGCTCAGCCAGAATCAGCTCGTTGGCCGACCAGAAACCATTAGAAGCGGCAACTGCAATTTCCAAGGTCAACAAGAGCAGCAAAAGCAAGAATAAAGCCAGCAAAGAAAATGGCATAACCAAGGAACAGAAGGAATCGCCAACTAGAAAGGCTCAAAAGAAGACGAAAAAAGAGGCTGCTGCTTCCGCTGCAGAAAAGGCCTTGACCACACCGCAAACACCACCAAGAAAACAGAAAGGTGTCACTTCAGTAGCAGACAATCACAATCTCAGACTAACTCCGCCTCCTTCACGACTAGACCGTCCCGTCGAACCTCACAGGACAAATGCTACTCTAGTCACACCAAGAGGAAGTTCAGTCGTCGCCTATCCATCTCTTGAAGACACCTCACCCAGCAAAACAGGTCTTCCACGACCTATTGCAACAACAGGAAACTTGCTGGAAAAGGCACTTGAGCATCTGACCAGCGTCGATGCCCGACTCAAACCTCTCATCGAGCAGCATCATTGCCGAATCTTCTCGCCGGAAGGACTTGCAGAGCAAATTGACCCCTTTGACAGTCTGATTAGTAGTATAATGGCCCAACAAGTCTCCGGCGCAGCGGCAAAGTCAATTAAGAATAAATTCCTGGATTTATTTGACAGCAGCAAGGACGTCCAGACGGACGCAGAAGGGAAAAGACGCTTTCCAACCCCAGCTCAAGTAGCGAAATTAGACATCCCAACTCTCCGCACAGCTGGTCTCTCGCAACGCAAAGCAGAATACGTCCAGGGTCTAGCGGAGAAATTCGCTAGCGGCGAACTATCAACCCAGAAACTACTGCGAGCCTCTGATGAGGAGGTCATGGAGATGCTCATTGCTGTGCGAGGATTGGGCCGTTGGTCTGTCGAAATGTTTTCGTGTTTTGCGTTGAAGAGGACGGACGTCTTTTCGACGGGGGATTTGGGTGTGCAGTATGTTTTCCTTTCTTCTTCCGAAGTGAATCTTGGAGGTATATACTGATTGAGCACAGACGAGGCTGTGCCGCATTCGTCGGCAAAGACGTGAATAAACTCAAAGCCAAGGGAGGGAAATTCAAATACATGTCTGAAAGCGACATGTTGGAACTAGCTGAGAAGTTCCGTCCATATAGGTATGTTCTCGTTTCTGATAAAAGATAGTGGCCGTGATTTGACGATTTCGATATAGGAGTCTTTTCATGTGGTATATGTGGAGGGTGGAGGAGGTAGATGTTGCGGTATTGAATGCTTGATATACAGACCATTACCAGAGAATATGTATATGAGATTATGCCGTGTTGTATGTTGATTTGTATAAAGTAGTTAGGGAACACGTGCTGTGTATCATCTAACAAAGGAAATAAGAAGGTTGATTCTTTGTACAGCTATTGAGTACACAAGTCGTAGAAGACGACTAAAAGAAGAAACGTCTGGTTATCACATCTCCATCCCCACAAGAATCACGACCACTATAGCATGCAAGATCAAATACGATAATCGAATCTGCAGACAACACTCTATATTGTTTTTGTCATCCCACCCTTGTCGTTGGTTTATTTTCGCTTCACGATCAAGTTGTCCAGATCCTCGCGTTCTTGGGCTTCCTTCTGGAGTTCGCGGATGATGGGGCTGAGGTATTCGACGTCCTGGGGTAGATGTGTGGTTAGTTGTCGGTCTACATGCAATACCATCTTCAGTGGTCATGATGTAAAGCGAGCTGAAAGAATCTTATATCATAGGTATTGGTATGATCGAACGATATCGACTCACCTCTTCAGGCTTTGTTTGTTCCGCGGCAGGGAGAAGAGTGTGAGAAATGGAGCACTAAACAATGAATATTAGTATGGTGCCCTATAGCAATTAACGTACGCTTCCAGTCTACTGACCTGGAAAGCGCGGCGGAGACGGAAGACACGGTCATAGGCCTCCTTGGCAGGAAGACGCTTGATAGCTTGCTGAACAAGTTCACTCTCTTCGGGGATGAGATCGTCAGCCCTGAATAGCAAGTTGTTAGCCCTCAATTCTGAAAACTTAACTAGCCTATTTGTCCCGAATCGTCATATCCGGGCGGACTGATTCTGCGGCATAACCACTATGACCAGCGTCGACCGAGCAAGTATCAAGCGCATTGAGCCTATTGCTCCCCGATATCCACGATTGGAACAATACTAGTATCAATTTGATGGTGGTCATACCTCAACCCGAGACGGCGGTATCCAGCAGCGTTGGTGTACCATTCAGCAATGGGCTGGAGCCAGCGCTTGAGGTATGGTCGCTTAACGACGTAGCTGGTGAGAGAAGGGACAGACATGATGTGTATGGTCTCGGTGATTCCCAATTGATCGATATGTTGGGGGTGAGGTGAGAAGGGTAGCGACAGCTGGAGCTTCAAGGATTGCTTCGTCGTTGCTCGTTTGACGTTTTGGCGTCGGGACGCTAGTGCGGGAAAAGCCCGTTGGGGCCTGAGGCAGGCATCGGGTCTAAGGCATCAATCTGACTTTGCCGGGTCGACCCGACTGAGATAGAGGGGACAATATAACTAGGCAAAGTCGTTGGCAAAGATACTTAATTTCTTCTCAATTGAACGTTATATCACATGTTTAATGTATGGCAACGATGTCTGCAATATTTCAGACATGTGCTCGTGCCAATTGCAGTATTCGTTAGGGCTCATTGTCTGCTCTGGAGCCCGTCCCATGCGGTAGTACCATAAGCGTCCACTATTCATTGCTTTGTACTCGTAGATGAGTAACATCGATCACTAATCAAGATCACTCATCTATCCAATATCATAAAGGTAGCGTTGCATGTCTTCTTCAACAGATTCGGCGTTAAGAGCGTTCGGCCAGGACGCACGCTATTGGCCCATTTAGCCGTCAATTGAGGCAGCTCAAACTCCGAGAAGAGAAGCAAAGAAAAAAGCTAACTTGTTCACGAGACCATCTATTGTAGCGCCATTGCTGATCCAGCCAATTCGATTTCTCATCCTTCAACAACTTTTTTACAGATTTTACTTCGTCCCAGATACAGTCTGCTGCATGCAACTCGTGTCCGAGCACAGAGGAAAAAAGAAAGACCCCGCGCTACGACTTCTGCTTCGTATCAAATCTCACCCGGGCCGTGACGACGGACTTGCCGGTACACACTAAAAAGGAACTACGTCGAGCTCCACCTTGGATTATTCACTTTCAATTTTCTATCAATCTGCCCTCTCAACCACCATTTCTGTCGCGTTTCATCTCCGTCACAACCGGAAAAGAAAGACTTCCTTTGACTGACCGGCTATCGTCGCACATTCTGGCTCTCTTATCTAGTCCAGGGATATCGTGAAAGGGCAACACCGGTGTCTGCGTTCCGGGTTCGAGCAGTCCGTTATGCTCGAATCCGTGAATCGCCGGTGACCAAGACGGACATCTCGCCTGCCCTGAGCGCTGTATAAGTAATAACCAGTCAGATCCAGATATGATAATGGCGTCCGACGACAGCGCACGCAGGCCGGTTGTTCGCCCCGAGCAGCATCAAGACTTGTACCACGAGCACCATACCTCGACACACCTCCCCAAGTCGCCGACGACGCCCTACAGCAAGATGCTAGCACGCCTCGAGATCGCTTCAACGCACATTCCGAGTTTCTATATCACCCCTTTCTGTGGCGCAATGGCCGGCGTGGCTTCGGGCATCGTGACATGTCCTCTCGACGTCATCAAAACCAAGTTACAGGCACAAGGTGGTTTTTTACGCAGACGCAGCGCCCATCGAACAGAGACCGCCGAAATATACAGAGGAATGATTGGGACTGGAAAGACGATATGGAAAAACCAAGGGATTCGAGGGTTATATCAAGGGCTGGGACCTATGTTACTTGGGTATCTACCAACGTGGGCCGTCTACCTTACTGTGTATGACAAGTCAAGGTCATTTTGGGAAACAAAGACAGGTAATTTCACTGAAACCAAAGTCGATCGCGATTTGCTAACGGTGTTGAAGATAATTGGTGGCTATCAAGGACATATGCATCCGTTACCGCCGGTGCATGCTCAACCGTAGTAACGAACCCTATTTGGGTAATCAAGACGAGATTGATGTCGCAAAGTGGTAGGGTCTCTGGAGATGGATTCATTCCGTGGCATTACCGAAACTCATGGGACGCCGCACGGAAGATGTACATGACCGAAGGTATTCGAGCATTTTATTCAGGCCTCACGCCGGCCCTATTGGGTTTATCGCATGTGGCCATCCAATTCCCACTGTATGAATATTTCAAAATGGCGTTTACAGGCTACGGCATTGGCGAGCACCCGGATGAAGGTGACTCACACTGGGTCGGGATTTCTTTAGCAACTTTTCTCAGCAAAGTTTGCGCCAGTACCGCTACATATCCGCACGAAGTGCTGCGCACACGACTACAAACCCAGCAACGACATCCGCCGGCATCATCTCCCGAAGAGATCGCATTCCGTGGGGGACTCGATCACCCAGTCAATCGTGGACGACCACCTGGTGCGGCATCATCGGACGGTATGCCAAACAGACCCCGTTATGCCGGTGCATGGCGTACATGTCAAACCATCCTACGCGAGGAAGGATGGCGCGCATTCTACTCGGGAATCGGCGTAAACCTGATCCGCGCCGTCCCTGCAGCGATGACTACTATGCTTACATACGAATATCTCCGAAAAACGATCAATACACTCCAGCATGAGGGACAGAAAAGGCTGGACGATGTAGATGTGTCAGGTGATACCCTTGTTTAGCTTTCTGACCCAGGTCGGGGTTGTTACCAGTTAGAAAAAAAAAAATGGGATGGCCTTAAATTCCTCTGCTCTTTTTCTTTTCTCCGTTTTATCATGCTCGACATCCTCCGACTATATCTGGTCACGATCAACTCAGGCGTTCTTTATTTTCCTGCCACTCGTGTTACTTTAGAACGGTCTTTTCTGCCTCGGTCTCGTTTACGGGCTCGTTCTTTCAATTTTTGTCATTGTAGATTATGATGGTTTCGTCATTCCAGCATTATGTCGAGGCATGATGATTAGTACATATATCTATACATACATACATGATATACACATACATGATATACCAACTACTTTAAAGCAATGTCTGTAAAATCGCCAAGTTCCATATGGGCTCGGACCTGAAATAGATCTAGGTCTCTCAACAACTAAACGCATAAATGCACGTGATACGGCGCGGCACTAGCTCACTACTTGGGATTGCGGAACAATTGGCTAGTGGGAATTTCTAAGGACAACTCATTTTGTTTTGATAGTGTCACGACTTGCTGGCCGATTTAAGAAATAATCTTCATGTCGGGACAATTAATTGCTGGGAGAGAGATCGGCGATTTAATATGAGACGCGATTGATATGCTTGTGACGAAAACAAGTAACTAACCTATCAACCGATCAAAACCATGCCTCACATGCTAACTATGATTTAATTGAGCGTTTATTAGCATCCGCAACCATGTTTTCATCAGCGCTCAAATCCTTCAGTTCCAACATTTCCTCTCACTATCAAATCTCCCCCGAGCCAGCTTTCATATCAGGCCCATGGAAGGTCCATGATGGAACTAAAAAATCCACAGGCACTGCGGCCTCTATATTCATCTTTGACCGAAAGACGATAGAGCCGAGGACAGGTGGATTTGGCCGGTCGGCTAGTGCTTCGTCGCTGAAGAAGATTCATGAAGAGGTGGTTGAGAGATTGAAGCGGGAGGTCAGTAGTTTGACACGTCTACGTCATCCTTCAATTCTTCAGATTCTGGAACCGGTTGAAGAGACTCGGAACGGCGGGTTGATGTTCGCTACGGAGCCGATTACGGCTTCCCTTGATGGTCTTCTTAAGGAGAAAGACTCTCAGGAAGGAGGAGGTGGTGGTGGTTCAAGACCCAGTCGTTATACGATAGAGTCTCCAGATGGGACCAGAAGGCGTCGAGAGGTGGAAATTGATGAACTCGAAATTCAAAAGGGCTTACTCCAGATCGCTAAAGGGTTGGAATTTTTACATGAATCTGCTGGTCTTGTTCACGGAAATTTGAATCCGGAAGCAATATATATCAATATCAAATCAGACTGGAAGATAGCTGGGTTGTCATTTGCTGGCCCACCTGATACTTCCACGACTCAATCCTCACTTCCGCCTTTGGCGCTTTCGGAGGTTTTATATCAGGATCCTCGACTACCGCCCTCTGTTCAGTTGAATATAGATTATACATCGCCGGATTTCGTGATGGATTCGAACGTGTCGCCTGCAGCTGATCTGTTTTCTCTTGGACTAATCATTGTTGCTCTTTATAATTCGCCGCATATCTCTCCTATACAAGCACATTCCAATACCTCTACATATAAGAAGCTTCTCACTACCCCTTCCACCACACCTTCCCAAGCAAACAGCTTCCTTTGCACACGTCCCATCCCCAAGGATCTTCTTAATAGCGTCCTACCAAGACTTATTACCAGAAGACCTGCCCAGCGCTTGAATGCGCGCGAATTCCAACAATCAGCATATTTTGACAATATTCTCGTGTCTACAATCCGCTTCTTAGAATCTTTACCAGCAAAGACCCAGAATGAAAAGTCTCAATTCATGCGAGGGTTGCAACGGGTCATACCCGAGTTTCCTCCATCGGTACTCGAGAAGAAAGTGCTTGGTGCACTCTTGGAAGAAACAAAGGACCGAGATCTGCTATCTCCTATATTACAGAATATTTTCCACATTTTGAAGAAAGTGCCGAACGGACGACGTGTTTGTCCTGAATTGATCATTCCAAAGCTCAAAGAGATATTTTTGGCTACCGGTGGTAAAGGTGCTGCGCAAGAACGGGATACAACGAGAGACGCTGGTCTCATGGTTGTACTCGAGAACCTGAGTGTTATCGCCGAAAACTGTTCAGGCAAAGATTTCAAAGAAGGTCAGTAGTTGCCGGTAGGATTTTATAAGGGCGTGTGCTAATTTGTGTTTCAGACATTCTTCCTCTGGTTCAGCTTGCCATGGACTCCAGCACACATTCTCTCGTAGACGCAGCTATGAAAACACTCCCTGTCATGCTTCCAGTCCTAGACTTCAGTACTGTCAAAAATGACATATTCCCTCCGATTGCGTCTACGTTCAGCAAGACGAACAGTTTAAACATCAAAATCAGAGCTCTGGAGGCATTTGTTGTTCTCTGTGGTGGTGCTGACGACAAAGATGTAGAGCCTGTGGACGACTTATCTGGTATAGTCGAAGACAAGAAGAAAGTGAAAAAGTCCTCTCCATCGATACTTGACAAATATACCGTACAAGAGAAGCTCGTTCCGCTTTTGAAAGCCATCAAGACGAAAGAACCAGGTGTTATGATGGCTGCTTTGGCAGTTTTCCGGCAAGTTGGGAAGATTGTCGACACTGATTTCGTGGCGCTTGAGGTGTTACCGGTATTGTGGGCTTTCAGCCTTGGGCCGTTGTTGAATATTCAACAATTCGAACAGTTCATGGCACTGATAAAATCTCTATCAACGAAAGTTGAACGAGAGCAGTTACGGAAACTCCGCGAGCTTTCATCAAGAGAGGACTCGTCTGTCACCCGTCAGACCACAGGAGGTGCACTCGGAGTCAGTGCACCTTCTGGTGCTGATGACGCCTCGGATGATTTTGAACAGCTCGTCCTCGGACGTAAAGGCACTGGCACCATTAATGGGGACGGTGGTTGGGGTAGCTTGGCAGCTCACCACACACCAATTAAACCGGCAACACAAGTAACATCACCGACATTTTCGTGGTCATCTAATGTATCACAACCCGTCAACAGGGCTAGTGTTGGTGGACTGTCGTCTACAGGACAAAACTCTCGCTCTATTACTCCAGATAGCAATGCTGGAGTCTTCCCATCGCTTGAGCCGAATCGCCAGAGGTCTTCTGGTACATCGGCCTTTGGAGTATTGCAACCGCAACAGCCGCAGTCATGGAATACATCTCAACAGGTCAATCGACCGTCACTCCCGCAAAGTTTTGGTTCTTCTCCCTCAAGTTCAACTGCTACCAATACCACATCTTTCCCTTCCCCTGGGGGAACAACACTGCAGTCGGGGCCTAATTACTCTGCATTCTCTATTCCGCCCCCTCCCTCTACTCAAACACAATACCAGCCAAAACCCCCTTCAGTCACGCAGTCGAATCCTTGGGCTTCTAGTGGTATATCTAATACCACAGCTCAAGCAGCACAACAACCGCCTGGACAGCAAAAGGGTGGTCTAGACAAATATGCTAGCTTATTGTAGATGGAAGTCTATCGGCTTTAATATAATTCTTTGTATATACCATTCGTCATAGCGTTGGTGTATAAACATACTCTGTAGTTATACTAGTACGTAAATGTTCTATCTACAATCTGACACTAAGCTACCGTAGGGAAGCTCTTCCGGCGATAAGCGTTCTGCGGAACAAACAAACAACCAACCAGCTCCCCCACACCTACTCATCCTACGTAACATCCAATGACCCCTCTTTATCGAGCTTCTCTCTTGATGAGGAAAACCCCTCTCATCTCATCATCAGCAGTATCGTCTCTCCCCAGATTGTTACAGCTCATCAACCGTACAGCACCAATAAAACTAACAGTCACATTTGCTACATCTACAGCGTCTGCAGTGCATGCAAACATGGATGCTCAGACTAGACAGCACTATTTGGCTGACTCGCCGCCTAGTGTTGTAAGACTTGAGATCAAGCAGCATTTCGAGGCTTTGAAGGATGAGAGCTTAAAGCGTTATGCCCATTTTATGAGCAGGTGAGTATTCTATCATATGCGGCTATCTATCAGGCAATGCTTGCCATAGTGTCGGATACGAGCTAACACGAACGTACTGATAGAGCTGCGTTTCAAGGTACTCGAATTACCTTGCGTCAAGTATCCCCCGAATCAGAGCCTATCTACGACCTAATCATCTCGCTCTACAAAGCAGCTGCCGGCAACTGGCACTCGCTCGCAGAAAAGACCGGCGTAGAATCCCAAGACTTACAATATTTCCTCGAATACGCGGCGCAATTCCTCGGCAATTGTGGCAACTACAAGGGATTCGGAGACTCCAAATTCATCCCCAGACTTAGTGTTGATGCTCTCAAGAACCTTGCATCTATCACACCGGAAACACAAGCGGCCTTTGAGAAGGCGAATGGCACTGGTGGTGGAATCTACGAGACAAGCAATGTCGGTCTGATGCATTTGGGTTATCCTGACAAAGGCCACATGACTACCTATTACCCTGATTCTCCCCACATCACCAAGGATGAGATCACGGCCGTAGGAGACTTTTTGGAGAAAAAAGGTCTTCCGATCGAAAATACAAGACTGCGCAAAACTGCAGAGGGAAATTTCGAGCTTCTGATTGCCTCGGGTCTCTCTTCTCCTCCAGCTCGGGATCGGGATTTGGGAGAGGAAGATTCTTGGGTGTTGGAGGGAGGGGCGGTTGCTGGTAAAAAGCTCAGCCTTGTGTTCGGTGACTATCAGAATGAAATGGCCAAGATTGCCCATAGTATCAAGCAAGCCGAATTGAATGCTGCCAATGAAACACAGAAGAAGATGTTGGAGCAATATGCCAAATCGTTTGGCACCGGATCCATTGAAGCGTACAAGGAAAGTCAACGCCTTTGGGTCAAGGATCAGAAGCCCGCAGTTGAGACGGACTTGGGCTTTGTGGAGACCTACCGAGATCCCCATGGTGTCCGAGGAGAGTGGGAAGGGTTTGTCAGTATGGTAAGTTCTGATCCTTCTTAGTATCCTTGAATGAAGAGACGACTGATGTGGATGCAATTGCGTAGGTCAATCTGGTACGCACAAGGACATTCAGTGACCTTGTAAACGGTGCATCACAATATATCGTTCGCCTGCCATGGGACAAAGAATTTGAGAAAGACAAATTCCTAAGCCCGGATTTTACATCCCTAGAAGTCTTGACTTTTGCTGGTTCCGGTATTCCAGCTGGAATTAATATTCCTAATTACGATGATATTCGCCAGAATCTCGGCTTCAAGAATGTGTCACTGGGCAATGTTCTAAGCGCAAAGGCACCAAACGAACCAGTTCCGTTCATTGCCGAGAAAGATTTGGAAAAATATCAGAAATATCGAGACGAGGCATTTGAGGTTCAGGTAGGCCTCCACGAGCTGCTTGGACATGGTACCGGTAAACTCCTTCAGGAGACAGCTCCAGGGGTATACAATTTCGATGTCAAAAACCCTCCCATTAGCCCTATTACGAAGAAACCCATCTCAACCTGGTACAAGCCCGGTCAGACCTGGAGCTCAGTTTTTGGCGCTATTGCTTCGTCATACGAAGAGTGCCGTGCGGAATGTGTAGCCATGGCTTTGAGCTGCGATTTCGATATTCTCAAGATCTTCGGCCACGGAGACGGCGAGACAGATATTAACAATGAAGCAGGTGACGTGCTCTACGTAGCATACTTGCAGATGGCACGAGCTGGAGTTGTCGCCCTAGAGTTCTGGGATCCCAAGAGTCGTAAATGGGGGCAGGCTCATATGCAAGCTCGCTACAGTATTCTACGTACTTTTCTTGATGCAGGAGATGATTTCGTCAAGCTGGTACATACCAAGGAAGATCTGTCTGACCTTGAAATTCACCTGGACCGTTCCAAGATCCTTAGTCATGGCCGACCGGCGGTTGAGAAATATTTGCAGAAACTCCACGTCTACAAGTCTACAGCCGATGTGATTGCCGGTACACAGCTTTACAATGATATCACCTCTGTCGACGACTGGTGGGGATCCAAGGTACGAAACATTGTGCTGCAGAAGAAGGTACCCAGGAAGGTGTTTGTACAGGCAAACACCCAACTTGAAGGCGACAAGGTGGTGTTGAAGGAATATGAACCGACTCTCGAAGGCATGATTCAGAGCTATGCTGAACGTGATGTCTAGATAAGGAATACCGTTAGGCAACGTATAATCAGTCTACTGATAACCTTAAGAATATGGCAATAGATCATCAGATTATTTGGACTAAATATATTCGTTGCAAGCGTGTACTATGCAGAAGTATCCCAATGTTGGCGATGTCGGGATGCTCCACTTAAGGCCGAGCCTGAGGCTAACCTTGGCTGATGATTTGTGGTTCTCTAAGCGCCCTCCTTGGCGTTCTTATCACATCAAAGAGCAATCCGCCAGCCATCATCTACCTGCCCATCTCAGTTACTGAATTCATTCAATGATTCTTGTGCACTTCAGGGATATTTCAGATGAAAGCGATCATTTGAGTGTCCATTCCGCCTTGTCCTCTCCAGCTCCAGCTCACGCCACATGATTTCCCCACTTTGCGCCATCCCAGATAGCTCTCTGCGAGCCTAGCCTTACTCACTTACCCCTTATCAGAAGTTCACCACGCAAATTCAGACCCGAGCTCTTTGACTCAGAAAATAAAACAGCTTTGACAAACTCATACAAGACCGGTGGCACGCCCCAAACGGCGCTGCCTTGTTTAGAATCTACTGCCACCGTGGAGGACTTTTCGTACACATCCCCCCCAGCTCTCCCGCCTCTCTCGGAGGCCTCCTCGTCATCATCCCAGGCCTCTACTCGACCCCCGCCCTTCTCGTCGCTGTACATTGAACCAGATTCAGAAGTCAATTGGACCAAAGGAGCTGTAACTGAGGCCGCAGGTGCCTCGTCCTTACCCGCGTTCGCCCCTCCGCCATCACCGTCGCTATTTCTACCGCAGGTACCTCCATCAGAAGACGTAGACGAATCTTCTTCTGTTGTCGCGGATACTAAAGCTGCACTTGAGAGTGTAGAGAAGAAGGGCGAGTCGTCTGGGAAGACTACAGACGATAGAGAACCTCCGCCTCCTTATACGGAAGGTTACAGTCCTCTTCAGTCGTTCTCGTACGTCATGGCAGCTGCAGGTGGTGCTGCGAGCATCATTACTCAGGTCCAACAGACGGGCGGTCCTCCAATAAACACTCTAGGAGGTATGCGATACGATACAGTTTTCTAGACCGGGGGGTTTACTGATGTTTGATCTTGCAGACGTAAACGGAGATGAGCACATAACGCTAGATCTCAGGTAAGCCTGACCTCCAATGCGCTGAAAGAGGGCTAAGCTAATGAAAGATATGCATGTAGGGGCACTCGTTTTACACTTTCTCGAGATGAGTTGCTGACACTCCCGGAGTTCGTGTTGCTCTCTTTGTTCCCTAATGGCCTACTTCCCGATGGCCAGATGGGTGGCTTCCATGATGGTGATATCTATCCTGTAGATGTGAGTCTCTACAACTACGATCCTCCTTACTCCAGTCAGCTAATGTATTTGCTATTAGTACGATCCAAATTCGCTCCAGTACATGTTAGACTTCTTTCGCACTGTCGCGCAATCAATCCCGTCTGCATCCCCTTCCCCTTCTGGCTCCCCCGATATGGATGCAAGCGATTCAATGTACAGCTCAACACGAGACATGCTACAAGACCGGGCAGGCATAATTGTGCTCCGAGAAGATCTTGACTTCTATGTTATCCCACCACGACCCAACATAGGGCAAGCTGAAATGATGACTGTCAAACGTGCTGCGGCCCAAGTCCTCCTGAGACAGGATGGGATCTTCTCTGGTCTCCGGAAAAGCGATGAAGTAGGCAGCACTGAACAGCATCTAATTGAGATGTTGACTGCAGGGTGAGTCTTCCTATCTTTAAATCAAAAAGTGTGGTGGTTTCAATTCACTAATACTATACGCAAAAAGCAGTGGCTTTAACCATGAAGATTCTTGGGGCCACCGAGCTCCAGAGCCTAACAAAGCAGTGATTTGCAGTTTGGCATTGGCAAAATTGCGAACGGATATAAGGGGTGATATCAATAGCAATGCTTCGGTGGGCATGGCCCAGAAGCTTTTACTTTTTTGGAGGAAGCCTGCTAGACGTTGTTGGTGGGAAGGTATCGAGTTGGAGGACGTTGATGGCGTGGAGGGGAAACTAAAAGTCTGGATTCGCCGAGTGTGGACTCTTGAGATGGTAAGAATATCTCTTCTAGCAAGATCATATATTTCCATGACTAATATCTCCACGAACAGAGTGTTATCGGTCTGAGATGATGCTCGACTCAACTCAGCAATTCCAAATAGTTTTCTTTTGTGTGTGTTCGTCCTTTCAGCCATAGATCTGATAGGATGGCGACAGTTGTTTTGTCTCTTTTAGCGCGTTCATTCCTCCTTCATCTCATTTACTACCCCCTCAAGCAGTCTTCCGATATCCAAGAATGTTGTGTCCATCTTTTCAATCATTTCAACTAGCCTCATCCTACCAAGTATTCTTTGGAAAAGAATGCCCTGGCGTCCTGCGAGTATATACATAGCTTCTGTTGATGTGCGGGATACATGTTCACATCAATCAATCAATTGTGCTTTCAATATGTCTTTCAATAGCAATTGTCCTGTCAATGGTCAATAGTCAGAATCTGAAGCCTTCTATTGGCTCTTTTTATCTCCAAATGTATCACGTGACTGGGCATCTACTACGGCATATTATTGGCCCGTCAGACCCGCTCCTGCTGTAAGAAAACACGCGCCGGTGACAATGAGGAAGGAGAGAGTCTGAATTATTCTATCACTAATCCATTACTGATGCCCTGGCTAAGGCGCCTTCTCATCTGTGTTTTCTCATAAATCGCATTCCTCTGCATAGAGTGGTGGTCCTCAAGTCGCAGATTCACGCGGGACTGCAGTCTATCTCTCTGCGTTCCTGGCAAGCTTCTATCCAGGAAAGGGCTAGCGACATCAGCGACTGTCACCAGCTCATTGCGCAACAACGATAAAATCCCACGCCAGTATCAGTTTGCAAACTGATTGATCCCTCAGGGTCATGCGTTGAGTGGCTCTGAATATCACTCGTTATCATCATGTCTCCCGCCAGAGGCTATATAACCTCTTACGCTCCACGCCTCCGACAATATAGCAACGCGTTACTTACTCCCGTTATCCCCCCCTCACAAGTCGGACCGTCGCGAACTACGAAACGTGGTACTACAGCCATCAATTACGCGGAAGATGGCTTTGACGATGATGACTTTGAAGAGAGCGATGGACCGCGACGACCTACAGGGCTGCGAAGTCTGAGACGAGAGGATTCAAATGTGGATAGAGTTCCGTTGTCGGAGAAAGTAGGCAAGGAGGCTTCTGCGCCAGTTGAAGTTCAAGGTATATTTAGGGAATGGATGATAAGGCGACTTCTCCGCCCAGAGTAAGCATTCATAATGGGCAGCAATTGCTTTGTGCGGAGTCTTTTCGCGATGCTAACTTTGTTCGTTCGTCTAGTAATGCAGATCAGTTACAGACGCAGTCGCATTTACCTTTGACGCTCGTCCCCATCCGAATCGACCTTGAGGTTCCTGCACATCAACCACTTGAACCATTCCCAATCCCTCGATCTTCCACAGACCCGGGATTCAGTTCAACCCTCCCAGCTTACCGACGACCAGATCCTGTTCCGGCTTATCGCATCAAAGACACTTTTCTCTGGAATTTACATGAAGCTATCGCTACTCCCGACGAGTTTGCGATCACCTTTGTCCGTGAACTCGATTTACCTGACCAAGCAAGGCTAGCTGATGCTATTTCGGGGCAAATCCGATCACAACTAGAAGAATATGCAGGTGTAGCATTACATCCTCTGTTTCAGCAGGCTCAGGTTGCGCCCAATCCGACGGACCAAGCTACGGGAATCTCTAGAGATGTTTCTAGTACTCCCGCGCCCGCAAATGCTCCGACACCCAGTACTCCCGGTCCAAATAACACTGTGACTATTACAAAAGATCCTCTTGTGAATGATAGCCTCCTCAACCCGGATGATGCTTATCGATGCGTGCTCAATCTGAATATCAACCTACAGAACAAACTTTACACTGATAAGTTTGAATGGTCCCTACTCCATCCTCCAGGAATGGCCGAAGAATTCGCCAAAATTACTTGCGCAGACTTAGGCTTGGGAGGTGAATGGGTTAGCGCAATATCGCATGGTATTTATGAGGCAGTATTGAAGCTCAAGAAAGAAGTTTGTGAAAGTGGTGGCATGGTCAGTGGTATCGGAGCTTATGGGAACGAAATTGACAACCAAGCCGCCAATGGTGCTGAAGCTGGATGGCGATATGATCCAGAAGGCCTCGGTGATGAATGGGAACCAAAAGTTGAAACATTGTCCAAGGAGGAAATCGAAAAACGTGAGGGAGACAGAGAAAGACAAATTCGACGTCTACGAAGAGAAACTGCCCGATTCTCATCCACAGCTGGCATCACGCCGGAACTATCTAGAACGAACTACTTTGATATTGACAGTGAGGCGCCTCTTGGAAGAGGTGAGAGGAGCAAGCGAAAGCGACGCTTCCGTAGTCTTAGTCCGGCGGGCCGCTCTGGGACTCCTGGAGGTCGTGGCACACCTGACACTAGCTCAGGGGCAGGATATGGCGGCGGCGGTGGTACGCTGTTGGAGAGGTACGTTAGCATGTTAGGTAGCAGTGATATTCAAAAGTTAACCTTTTTTCCTAGTGAACGTGGTCATTGGCGGTGCTACAATTGTGGAGTCTTTGGTCATGCAGTCTGGACTGTACGAGACGGGCCTACTGGTCCAAGGGTGAGTACTCCTTTTCATGCCGCAGTATATTCACTCACTTACTCTTCTCATAGACACTCTGTCATAACTGTGGCCTTCTGTATGAACGTGACAAGCGTCTTCCCGATTGGGCTAGAGGTCTTCATAGACACGATATCCCTATAAGCCGTCCTTAATCCATTCAATCGCCTCCACAATGCTATATTTCCATTACTCGTTCTCGAAAATTCACCTGCCTGCCTTCCTCCCCCCGTTTTTTTTTTTCCCCTTCCTATCCACACCTTTCGAAATGATGTATGACTGGGTCAACTTGTTCTTTCCATATTTCTCTTATCTTCTTCATCTTTTACCTGGAGATCTTTTGGTGCCGGCGTTTTGCTTTTCTCCATAAAAAGAGGGACTTTCAGACTTATGTTTACTATTATTTACTAGTATTGTCTCTTTTTTTCATTTCCTTCTTTGGAGGATTGGAATTTATTTATCCATGTACAACAGCTCGAACATTGATATGTGTGGTTCTGGGAGAAGTTGATGTTACCTGTAAAGATAATATCTACTTACTCAGGTACTTATTAAAGGATTATATCTTCGTCCTAGCAACAGCATAAAATTGACAGAACCTTGTACTCTATAGGAAAAGGTAATCCATTATATAACTATTCGTGATTCATATACCGGGTACCTACTAGAATATCGTGACTCAAGATGTTCGTCACAAACCAATGTATTCATGCGTATGTAGGCAATGAGTCCATCCTTCGCTTACTATTTTCGATCGCTTGCAAAATGGACGCAGTGCCATGAATATTACATACATGAAACTTCAGAAAAGACCATCATATGGTATAAAAATGCAGTTCACCGAAGAGAGCGCTCTGTGTTCTGAATGACTGGCAGAACGCATAGTGCTAAGTCCATCTGCATTCGTTGGGCTAGATGACGAAGCAATCTGGGGTATCGAATCGCTAAAAGTGCGCAAACCGACTGTGTTGGGTATATCTCCATCCGATGCTGTCATCTCAGCGGCAAACCCGCCAAAACGTTCTGTGTCGTGATCCTGATGCTATTCTGGGCCTATAAATGTATGAGCGGCATTAGCGAGAATTCAATGTGCATATTGAGGCGAGTGCAGAGGCCAACGTACGCAGCTGATTGGGGGCCGAGCCTCCAGCCTTGCGTTTTCCAGGATAATCCTTTCCACCTGGGTGTAAGGGCTGCTGTATCTATGAGAATTATCAGCACGGCCGTGGATGACACAGATATATGAGAAATACCGGCGGCAATGCCACCCTTCCGAGAAAATGAAATTTTTCATTATTATACGAAAATTTACGGAAGGGAACTGACTTCGCGAAACTCGTCGCCCTCGATTTGTACTTCGCGATCTCGGATGCGACGCATTAGGGCGAGAAAGCTGCTTTCCTTGAATTTTTGACTCGTATCATGGCTCACACTGTCGAGAAGATGACCCGCAGTTTTCGCCAGTTCATCAGGGTCTTCTTTACGGCCCTGAGCAGGCGTTTCATCCGTAACTCCAATCAAATCAGAGCCTATTCGTATTTGCTCGGTGGATTCGGCTTCTACCGTAAGCTCAACTTCTTTTGACTGTATATCTTCTCCTAATACTTGATGTTGCTCAGAAACTGCCATCTCATGCTCATGCATGTCGGCTTGGGCTTGGTTGAAAGCAGCCTCAAAGGCGGATTCGTCAAAAACCGCTGGGACAGTGGATGTCGTTTGTAATGATCCTTGGTCTGGCGGTGCAGGTGCTACCATACCATTCATGCCTTGGTAATTCGGCATGAAAGAAGGTTGAAAACTCGTCATTGGACCCTGTCGAAATTGGGGCTGACTGTTCTGCTGTGGTTGATGTTGCTGATGTTGCATGAATTCATTTTGCCAGCCATTGATAGTAGCTGGACGGAATGCCTGGTTTGACATAATATGACCTTGTTGGATGTTTGTAGAGGGGCCAGAAACTTGCAGCTTTTGGAAATCGGACGCCCAGTGGCCGCCATCAGTCGCAGCGAATGCAGGTACCGGTTGTGAGTGGATTGGAGCGCCAAAAGCAGGGCCGCCAGGTCTTAATTGAGGGACCGCATTTCCAGCAAGATTATTCTCAAAAGCTTCAAACTCGGGATCAAGGACGGCGGCATTGTGATGTTGTGATCGGAAACCCTAGATGATGTGAGTATTGTCGTAGCACAGGACAAGCTCAGAAGACAACAATACCTGAGCAGATGGATGACGATTCACTATACGATCCTGTTGTAGAGTCCGATCAACAGCAGTATGTTTTTGAAAGTTCTGCAGCGCATTTGATGGGCCACATAGAGCGTCCGCCATGACGGCAACTTTCAATAGCCGACGGCCTGCGAACTGTAGAATGCGACTTCACCAAGGCCAACTGTATATGCAAAGAAAGACAGACGGAGAATATTTGAGTAAGTGGACGTTGTGCCTGCCGGAAAGTAATTCGATTAAATCAAGAGTGATGTTGGGCTTGAAGACGGAGGTTGCATTCGAGTTATAAATCATGTGTAGGGCCAGCCGAGGCAGTGGCACCAGAAGGCGGCCGAGGGGCGTGGGGAAAGTTGCCTTGCTGCCTTGTTGCCTTAGAATCTAGCGATAAGATAAGGTGTACTTTATGCCTTGTTTTTAAGGCTCCTGATCATAAACTATGTTTTGGATCAGTGCGGCCAGGTTGCCCGCAAGTTGCTATATAGCAACTGCTATACTCGAGTATACCAACACAGCTTGCCAATTACTCAGACCACCTCAATTGCCTGCGATACCTACGTGTAGCTGCAGGGAGCATTTGCGGGTATTTGACATTTAGTAAATATTTCCAATCATGGTTCGTGTCGATGCTCTACTGCCAATCTGACCTGACAGATTCGCTAACCAGCCGTGTGAATTATAGGCGCAGGTTATTGCCAACTCTGGCCATGATGACATGATTGTACGTGTGCTGTCAATACTCCAGATTTATTTGACCAGCTTCACACTCCTTTCTCCTTGCGTGAAGCTCCTAACTGATGTCGATTTGCTTAGCACGATGCCAGCCTCGATTATTACGGGCGACGATTGGCGACATGTTCTTCCGACAAAACAATCAAAATCTTCGAGGTTGAAGGAGAGACACAGAGATTAGTTGATACGTTGAAAGGGTGAGCATGGACTCATTTTCATGTCTGGCTATACTCGACTCTAATGTATCATGAAACAGACACGAAGGTGCCGTGTGGTGTGTGGCTTGGGTACGTCAACCTCGATTCCGCCTCCGTTTCTGATCCATAACTCATATATTTTTCAGGCGCATCCGAAATTTGGCACAATCCTTGCTTCCTCCTCCTACGATGGCAAAGTCTTGATCTGGCGCGAACAACCTTCCAGTGCCTCAACCAACGGAAGCCCATGGACCAAGGTCTTCGACTTCTCTCTCCATACCGCATCAGTGAATATCGTGTCATGGGCGCCTCATGAAAGTGGCTGTCTTCTTGCTTGTGCCTCGTCGGACGGTCAAGTTAGCGTGTTGGAGTTCCAGGACAACAGCTGGACACATCAGATGTTCCATGCCCATGGCATGGGCGTCAACTCTGTGAGCTGGGCACCAGCAGCATCTCCAGGCAGTCTCATAAGCGCAAATCCTGGGCCGGGTCAACAACGGAGGTTTGTCACTGGTGGAAGCGATAATCTTGTCAAAATCTGGGACTATAGGTACGGCACATTACCGATTATAATATTATAAGCTCAAGGCACTAATAAATTTGATAGCCCCGAGTCCAAGGCATACAACCCCGTTCAGACATTAGAAGGCCATACCGATTGGGTCCGGGATGTCGCTTGGTCGCCCAGCATTCTCTCCAAATCATACATCGCTTCCGCTTCACAGGACAAGACAGTCCGGATCTGGACATCCGATGCCTCAGCTCCCGGTCAGTGGACGAGCACCGTGCTTGAATTCGATTCTGTCCTGTGGCGTGTCAGCTGGAGTTTGAGCGGCAATATCTTGGCTGTGAGCGGAGGCGACAACAAAGTGACATTGTGGAAAGAAAACCTCAAGGGTCAGTGGGAGAAAGTGAAAGACATTGACGAATAGGTCAAGGTTTTGTCAAAGGTGCTGGTGGCTTAAAATGATCTTACGTCCATAATCCTATATTCTTTTTCTTTTTTGTTCTTTTTTTTTTTTAGAGCAATCTTTTCTTTCCCATTCTGCTAGTAATATTATTTCTGGCTATCGTTTCTTAATAACGTACAGTCAAGTTTCGAAAGGAGACAACTTGTTATCAACTTGGCGAGAGTCCCACTAAACTCGGGAAAAAAGATTTCCTATGGACTTCCCCCAGCACTTCTATCATATATTTGTCCTATAAGGCTATGATTTATGTAGCCGTAGGTCGTTCCGTTGACTTTAATATGACTATTCTTCTGCAGCTTGACTCCCTGCGGGCGACGAAAACATAGTAAGAAAGGGATAATCGATGCTCTGTGAAACAGACATAATATCCAGCACATCACCCAAGTGAGTATGCTCCCAGTAGATGCACGGTCCGCGTTCACATTCCTCATCACCTTCTGACTGTACATCAAAGTACTTTCCCAACAGGATCTTTCCCCCGGGGATTAGAATACCTTCGAAGCCGTAAATTCGATCAAAGTCACTGGTAAAATCGTAATCATCCCAGTCTTTGGCGTCGGGCTGATCTCGGCTTTCAAGGTCGTCGGCGAGAAGATAACTGACGAAGCAGATACGCAGCCATCCGAAGATCCCTTCCTGAGGATATGGAAAGTCTTGGTAGAATCCCCGAATGCGATAGTGCAGCGACATGTCACCCTGGAAACCTTCGCTACCAATGAAGTACTTCCTGGGACACAGGTCGATATTTTCAGGAAAATGTTCGTCAAGTCTCGTCGGCCAGCTCTTGCGATTAGCGTCAATAAGCATCATGGTCTAGATAGTTCCCAGCATATTAGTCTTCTTCAATACCTAAGGAAACCTGGTGATTTCTTACCATCACAGCGGCCTGGTGATCAGGATCATCACTTAGAGCAGCACAGGTCTGTAGCTCTTCCAGAATCCTAGGAGTCTCTGGATAAGGATGGAGACAAGCTGTGGAAGATAATTGTGTTAGCTCGTCGTGCATGGTAGTGAGAGTAAAATGGAAAACTACTAACAGTAATAGCCATTCCAGAAACCCATAACAGTAACTTTAGCTTCCAAAGGCTGAACCCATTCTCTCGGCCTCCGCGTAACATTCCCATACGACGAGGCGTAGGAGTTCTCCCGAGCGCTAAGGAGATGCCTCTGCCAGAAGTTGCGGATGTGGAGCAAAGTATCAAAGCAAATCATACCATTTTCGTCAATAAGAGAATGATGAAACTCATGGTGGTAGGAGTAGACTTCTGTAATATCATAGTTGCTTCGCAGACATGGCCCTGGACCAAGTGGATCGAAACACATATGACTGAGGCACTGCGATTAAACTTTAGTAATTTTATCCCAATCAAAGGCCGCAGTAAGCTGGAGTAGACTAACCAGTTGGACCGCGCAAAACAGAGTAGACGGGTTCATGTGTGTCTGCCTGCCATTCCTAACCATTGGTCTACTGAGAAAGTTGGTCTTTTGAACTGCTTCAGCAATTCTCAACATATTTTTTGAACGCGATGTCTGCTTATCTCCAGGCTTGTTCATGTATGATTCGACCAAAAGAGTTTGGATGGCCTTCAACCATGCGTGTTCCAGGGGCCCCTCGAAGGGTCGAAGAAACACATCCAGTTGAAGCAGCGTGGCACGAGTTCTGTACTCGTTGCCCAGTTCCTCCGAACTATGTTGCCATCCTGCGTCGTATTTGTTATTGAACCGTTCCCTCCAGACTCCTGAAAGAGGTGAGAGAATGCATTTTGCAATCCCATGGCATGTGAGAGCGAACGAGATCAAGTCAGTATCAGACTCAATGTGAATGGCGATGCGTTCAATGAGCTGTGAGATAACTGTCAGTAAAGTTCACAGTGAAGGTCAGTTTGGGTCGTGAATTTGGGTCTTACTTCAACTGGAAATTGACAAAAGAGAGTTGTACGATATCCCCTCTTGCGTAACAGATGCCTTGAGGTGAGATACTCATAGTATCTGGGAGACCGTTCTGACATGGCTACCAAAATATAAGGGCAGCTAAGGAATGACGATCGTGGAATAAGATGGGATGTGAGAAGGAACGCCAGACTGGAGACAAGTGATGAATTTATCTAGTCTGGGCACAATGACAAACGCCCTGCTCACCCAGGCTTGGGAAGCTAGGTGGACAAAGCAAAATCGAGCAAATATTACATGTGATGCATAGTCTTCAGTGCAGGCAGGGCAAGAAAGTAAAAAGTTATTCCTATTTTGAATAGATTTCTCCTGAAAATATCATTAGCCCAAGAGCCACTAGAAACATCATTAACTAGAAACTTCCTCAAGATATTATCAACCAGAAGGCTCCTGAAGATATCATTGACCGGAGAACTCCGAAAGATATTAGTAACTAGAAGGACCCTGAAGTTATAATTGACCAGAGAGCTTCTAAAGATATTATCAACTAGAAGGCTCCCAGGGATATCATTAACTGGAGGGTCCAAGAATATCCAAGGCAATCAGGACACTCACCAGCATTAATCACAGCCACTCTAAAGTTCAATGTTCAGAAGACTCGGAAGCTTGTGTTTCAGTGAAGTTCGAAGCCATATACAACGACCACAGCAACAAAGTCATGTATCTCGGGACTCGTGTCTTCTGACACTATCCCTGACACCCCAACCATCACTTAACAGGTCCTTGACTTCCTCAAGACTCATACCACTCATTTCAGGATAAATGAACCATACACTAATCCAACCAAGAGCACACACTAACGCGTAAATGACAAATGTCCATCTTGGAGTCAATGTCTCCATCATAGGCAAGAAAGTCAGACCCACGATGAAGTTGGACCCCCAATTCGTAGCCGTAGCTAAAGCTGATCCAAGAGAGCGAACAGAAAGGGGAAACAATTCCGATTGTTGCCAAGGAACATTCCCAATACCTGACGCATACGCTGCTGTGTATACAGTAAGACAAATCAGAATGGCAACAGACATGGAAGATGCACTTGACGATGGCTGAGATTGACCATCTTTGGGTGAGGACACTGAATGTACCCATCTCAGGTGTGAGAAGGCCAAGGCACATCCAAGCAACGCAGTAATCATAAAAGGAATAGAGTACAAAAGAATACGTCGACGACCTACACAGTCAATGAGCGAGAACGCTAGTAACGTAAACAAAAAGTTGGTCCCGGCGACTGTCAAGGATGTAAGTGTTGGAGAAGAGAACGAGAGAGACTCAAAAATCGTGGCAGAGAAGTACATCAAGCTGTTGAAACCACACAGCTGCTGAAGACCCTGCAGCATCATAGCAATGATGAGCGCGCGTCTGTTGCCGTCAATGCTGCAAAGTTCGGCCATAGTCCGCAAAGCTCGCTGAAAGTTACTGTCGGATTTGTTATGACTGAGTTGGGCTGCTTCAGCAGCGACGTCTTCTTCGATAGCTCGCAACACGGCACTGGCCTTGTATCCAGCCTGCGAGTCTGAACCAAAAACCTTGATCAGGACCGCCTTCGCTTCAGCAATGTAGCCGGCCTGTACGAGCCATCGAGGTGATTCCGGTAGGAAAAGGAGAGTCATAAGCTGCAAAATCGCGGGAATCGCGCCTAGGCCGACAATCCAGCGCCAGTCTCCAGGGGTTGATGAGAACAGCCAACCGATTATGTACGCAACGACTTGACCTGCAGTGATGAAGAGACATAGTATCGTAACTAGTCTTCCCCGCAAATGCGATGGCGCAAGTTCAGATATATATCTAGTCATTCTTATGAGCATGCCGAATCTGGGGAGATGAGCGAAGAAAGGTGACTTACAACGATGAAACCATGCTAGCAGAACCCACCGCCAGTCCAACAAGACTACGTCCAAGAACCATGCCAAGAACAGTAGAAGTAAATGCTTGACATAGTGCACCAATCGTGAAAAGAACATCTGCCACCAGCAGAACTTTCTTCCGCCCAATGCTATCGGCATAAACACCAGCCAAGGGACTAGCAAAAAGGGCGAATAGACTAGTGCACGAAGTAATGATACTCTTGTCCATGGTCGTCAGAAGTTTTCCTGAAAGGTCTGTCTTGATAGAGACAAGAGTGGCAGAAATGACACCAGTGCTGTATAAGGTTAGTAAAGTAAACTCTATGAAGGATGGGATCCGGTGTGTCTCATACTCATAACCGAAAAGCAGACCACTTATTCCTGCAGCAAAGGTAAGAGCCCATATAAACAGGCCACCTAGTCCTTCGGCAGACACGCCCGAAGACTCATATTGAGCATCGCTGTGGGTATGACTGTCGTCTGCCAAAAGTGGCTGGTCTGCATCGTTGTGCTCCATGTTCTGTCACCTGAATATTCCACACTCTCGCAACATTTGACAAGCAACTCTCGGTAATACTATAGATAAACCCGGTAATATACTTTCAAAACATATCGCTCATCATTCGATGCTCTCAGGAGGAAGGATATGGAGAATAAGTTAGAGACCTACTATGTTGGTGGTTGAACAATTGCAGATGTCATTGGTGGACATATGACCCGCTCAGTCCTTAACACTTCTCATTGGTCAGAATACTAGAAACCGTCAAAGTATATACAACGTGGTTGTGTATTATACAATCTAATCTAGTACTGTGCCCTAGCCACTCCTGCAGCATCTGCTTGAGCGGAAATTTTCTTCTTATAAGCCTTCACGTCTCCATCGAACTTCTCAACCCGACCATTGTCGCAGACCCAGAGACTCGTGCACACGTTTTGCAGCATGGTCACGTCGTGGGATACCATGAGTACACCGCCTTGGAAATTCTTCAAAGCCTCCGACAAAGCATCCATAGCTTCAATATCAAGATGGTTAGAAGGTTCGTCGAGAACGAGAATATGGGGATTGGTAAGCGATAGGCAGGCAAATGCTACACGGGACTTTTGACCTCCGGAAAGTAAGCCAAGTTTCTGGAGACCCGTCATTCCGGTGATACCGAAACTGTTCGTTATCGTTAGTTTACTTTGCGGTGACCCTAAGATTTATTTCGAATGGACGAGAGTACTCACGCTCCGAGATGTCGGCGGTATTCTTCATCAGTTTTGCCTGGGTAGTTCTTCGTCATGAAGCCCACAGCACTATCATTGAGGTCTAAAGCATCAACGTGGTGTTGAGCAAAGTAGCCAATTCTTAAACGCGGGTTTTGAGAAATAAGACCACTGGTAGGTTGCAATTGTCCAATAAGCAGTTTCAACACCGTCGTTTTGCCAGCACCGTTGGGTCCTACAATACCGATACGAGAGTCGAGTTGCACGTCCAAGTCGACATTGCTAAGGAGGGGCTTGTCTTTGGTATAGCCAAAAGCAACTCCGGTCATTTGGATAATAGGAGGAGAGAGTTTTTCGACTTCAGGAAACTTGAAGTGGACAACATATTCGTTCTCTGGTGGTTCGAGCACTGGCATGCGCTCTAATTTCTTGATTCTTGACTGTGCTTCCGACGACTTGGCTGCATTGTATCGGAACTTGTCGATAAAGGCTACGGATGTGTTAGACAGGTCAGACAGTGAGTTGCGGACAGTAGCATACCCTGCAAATGTGCTCGTTGTGCCATCTGGTTCTCATATTCGCGCTTAGCGTTCTTTCTGCGTTCTTCCTTGGTTGCATAGAACGAATCTATCCGGATGCAATTAGTAAAGTTCAGCAGGCTCTATAGAGTAAGGGGAAAGTAATGATACCGAAATTGGCTCCCTTATAGTAATCGAGTCTTTCCGAATGCTGATGAATGATATCGGTTGCGACTTCGTTCAAGAATGCACGATCGTGAGAGACAACCAGGACTGTGCTTGGATATGACTGAAGGTAGTTTGCTAAGAAAGTAATAGATGGGACGTCCAACATATTTGACGGTTCTATAGCAATGTCAGTCTCCAGAAGTACGAGCTACTAGGCCTTACTGACCGTCGAGTAAGAGCAAATCTGGTTCACAGAAGAGGGCACGAGCAAGAGCCAATCTCATTCTCCAGCCACCAGAAAACGTCTTGGTGGCGAACTTTTGACGTTCTGGTGAGAAACCCAGGCCAGCAAGAATACTTGCGGCACGAGACTCGGCCTTGTCTGATTCCATTTCCGCAAGTTTTGCGTGTATATCAGTGAGCGTTATGTCTAAGCCGTCTCTTTCTTTGTCCAATCTTGCAGCATCTTTTGATGTATCGGCCATTGATGATCTTTCGGCATCAATGTCAGCCAGTTGTTTGGTGATTTTCTATTTAAATGGTCAGCTATAGCCTATGTACATAACGCGGAGGTAGGGATCAGGGGTAAGACTCACTTCTTGCTCTTGAAGTAAGTGCTTACGCCACACGTCGGCATCTAGAACGGCTTGAAGTGCAGGAGTATCGTCACCGGTAATCTGCAGTACTTGATCAGTATCTCAATATGAAAGACCACCAAGTGTACTAACCTCTTGTTCAACGTGCAAGATCGAGATGTGAGTGGGAATTGCGACTTCACGACGACTCAAGGCACGGAGAAGTGTAGACTTTCCGATACCGTTCTGACCGACCAGACCGTATCTTCGACCGTAAGCCATTGATAACGAAGCATCCGTGAGGATTCTCTTTCCACCGATAGAAATATCTATACCGTCCACCTTGATATCTTTGCTCTTGGACTGAGCATCCGCTCCTAGTTGAAGAGGATTAACAGCCATGAAGAACTCTTCATACGATTGAGTGCTATCCGGTTGATCAAGCAGTCTTGATGCTTCGTATTGAACGTTCTTAACCAACTTCTTGTCTTGCTTAGCCCTAATCTTCCGTTCTGCCTTTTCGAGCTTCTTCCGATCGACTCGGGACTCTACTTTTCGTGTAGAGGCGGACTCCAGATCCACACCTCCGCCGACCAACCCAAGCGTTGACGACATGTTTCTTTGTGCGCCGACATTGATCGTCTGATCGAGCTTCTTTGCAGCAAAGGGCATTTGCCGCCGTTCTGCATCGATGCCGTCAGCGGCATTCAGCGATGAAATAAACTTTTCCACTAGGTTGCGAATAGCCAGCTCGTTTTCGGATGAAAAGTCGCCAGAGGCAGAGACAAGGAGTTCGGTCACGGTATCGGCGGCTTCGGCTAACGGCGAGGGTGCATTTGCGTCTGCCTCTTCGACGTAGGCATGGGAGGCGTGGGTAAGATAACCCTAATATACTGTGTCAGATTGCATCCTTTTGATGCCGAAGCAACAGCGGACATACCACGGAGTATTCAGAGATGACCCGGTCTATGCCCGGAATCTGCGCTTGTAGTTCCGCCTCCATATTGTAGCCTGTGGTGGATGTGGTCTAGCAAGCAAGGTATGAGGTTGTCTAGATATCGAAAGTGCCTGTTCGATATGGAATAAATTCGCGGTGGGGTTTGTCTGTGGGAGTACAGTCTAAGCCTCCTATTGGCTGCCGGGGGACTAATGACAGACAGCCAATCACAATTGTCTAATTCTACAAATTCGGAAAATGCAAAACATCCCAGAAAGTATGTCAAACTCACGGGAAACCGTAGGAACTGTTCGGAAACATGAAACAATACTTTTGTGTCGCAGCAGCACAGAGCTTTTCGATTGTGACCATGTTTGTCTTACCATGGCAACCAGCCGAAGGTTTTCATTCGGAGAGTACTACGGACATGGATGATCGTACAGTTTCTTGTTTCGCAGTGTTTGCTGGGTAGTGTGAGTACGAGTCCAGAACAGACATCGCAATCGACGCTAAGCTTAGGTTAGCAGCTCTCTACTTTCTTAGCAGCACAACCAGCCAGCCAAAGTTGTAATTTCCACAATTGACCCACCAGGCGTGACGCAAGTGAGAGAGATCTCGCCTGTCCACTTTCCAGTAAGAAACTTGGTTCTAGCCGCGATCCCAGAGAACGATCCTGGAAGCAGCACTACTGTTAGTCATTCCAGCTTGCTCCATCAGCAGCAACACATGTTTGCTTGGGCAATTCGTGGGTCTTGGAGCCGTTTCGGAAAATTTTCTGCAGAACCCCGGGGACATGCAAGTGCCCCAATAGCAGGACATTCAACGTTGCAAAGTAAAGAAAATATATGTTCCTCGCTTGCGGTTGACTGGACAGTGAGCGAATATATTATAGACGCAGTCGACTCGACAATAGCCGGGATATGAGAGAGATCGAAAATGGGTTGAACTTTCGAGAGGGCTGAGTAATAATATGAGATTTAATATTGGCGAGCGGGTCTCAGCCCCAGCGCATCATCGACATCGAGATTCGACGATATACGCCGTCCCAAAGGGCCAAGCGCGGAGAGCTCGGCCACATACTATAGGACGGACGGCCCTCTCAGTCAGCGAGCCGTTGGTGAGACGTACGAGAATCTAACAACGGTAAGGACTAGAAAATACGTACCATAAATTTCGATGTCTTTTAGTCTGGCCATCTTCGTATCCAGCGGACTCGGTGCTAGCAGTGATTGATCAATGATTGGCAAATGCTGAATTACTAACTAGTAAACCCATCTCGATCAGGAACCCACTCCCCCCCTGCAAATGCGGGCTGCGAGTCGAAGTAACTAGTGGCAGTAATCACACCTGGCGACGGCTGCTGTAAGGGATACACCTGTTCAATCCCACGACAAGCAATCAGCGAAAACTATTGACGCTTCAGCGGAACAGATCCAGGGACATACCGAGAACGATTGGCTCTTCTCTCGCTGCTGTCAGGGCCAGGCCTGTTGGCTGTCTGCACGGGGAATGCCAATAGCCGCTTATAAGCTCTCTCCATTTTCCGGTCTACCAGTTAGCATCTGCTCGTGCCGTGGATCTATCGATCCATAAATAGACGCATAGCGGTATAGACTCCTTGCAAGGATAATTTGAGTTGCATTGTCAATAAATTATAACTTGCGCAAGAGAAGTGTAAACAGAAGATCGCCAGATTGTGTTGTCGCGCGGGTTAGCTCAGCTTAGTGTAGTCCCGCTCCTGTCTCCGTTCCCAGCCCAGCCCAGCCCAGCGCCTTCCTTGTTGTGCTGTGTTGTTTGTGTCGGCCGTCCCTAGCGCGAGGTTTCCCCAGCCTTGTTCTCCTCGACTAGTATTCCACTCGTTCTCTTCCCTCTCTCTTTCTCTCCTACTGTTTACTCCTGCTCCCTTCTGTCCTTTCTTTCTCTCCAGCCAATGCGTCCCAGGCTCACTCTAACTCTTTCATCCCAGCTTTGAGTCCGGTCTCACCTGTCAAAGCATTTCCATTCCCTTCTTTCTCGGCCTGCCCCGCCTCCGTATCAATCGTTTGACCGGCCTCAGCACACAGCTCGTACTCAAGAATCACGGGAATACCGTTGCGCCGTTAGGTATTCCCCCATTAGAGCCTCCAATTACTCCGTCGCTCATTCGATATCGATCACAATGTGGAAAGGATTGGATGCGTGGATGCGTTCAATGCTTATTTGAGTCGGCAGCCTCGACTCGCTACGGGAGTCTCTGTCAGAATGGAGCACGTCTCTACGGTAAGTAATCATATATCTGTTTCCCTCCCGCACCCCTCGTGGAATTGACCATAGGCCAACTGGAGCTGGGTGCTCCGGGGCCTACAACGTCATGCTCAGGATATATATGTAGTTTATTCCCTATTCCGCCGTCACCGTCTGTTTGGACACCTGGATCAAAGACTAATTCGGAACTAGCTTTGTGCCGTAAGTACTGTTGGTATTGCTGCAACTGGTTTTGCTCTAGCACGGAGAGAGAACCGCACCGGATTGCAGTCATTATCCAGCTCGAGACACTCCACTATTCCACGCAATCTGCCAACGGACACGAACCCATTCCACTCCCAGGGCGCAATTGAACGACCGTCACAGGAGCGAACGGGATTTCAGCCGGTATCCACGGGTTCTGGGCAAAGCTTGGTGCTGTCACAACGGAGGAGAGAACGGCGGCGACGACAAACCGTAACGAATCCTCTTACTAAGTCAGTCGATGAGACCTCCACGCAGGACCACGGTGCAGGTAGCAGCCGGCCATCATCCTCGTGGCTGAGACGAATATCCATCATATCTTCAGCCACTGCTAGTTCGGTGTCGAGTCCAACCACGACGACCTCGTTTGCGAATGATTCACCTACCCAGGCACATACTCGACGTAATTCGACTGTCAAGACACCAAACAAGCTTATAAAACGCTCGGTGTCACAACGTTCTATCACGCAGTCAGGAAACGGCATCGGCCGGACCAGATCAACTACCCTTGGGTTGCGCCGTCCGGCGACAAGCCATCAGCGCTCTAGCGATATAGCTCACAGGTCAAGCGCCAGCCAGGGTCCGGACTTGTCAATTCCAGCCGCATTTCTAGAGAGTTCTTTGGCCAGGGAAAACGATTGCGCGGATCTGGACAGTCAATATTGGAGACCTTATTTTGGTTCTACAGTTGCCAGAAGACGAAAATCCTCAACCGGCAATGCTATAGTCACGATCAAACCCCACCGGTCCCCTAATCCGCGATATCCCATCAGTTATCCAACTTTGATACTCTCGTCCTCTGTTCAGACATCCAGTGCAAGCATTATGCCAGTAAAGCAAAGCTCCTCGCAATCACCATCCACAGCCACTGTTCCATTTATTGACCCTTTTTCACGACATAATAACGCCACGGATACCAAACATACGAGACCCATCCCTCATGAGAAACGCAGGACGGTGCGATCTTCATCCATTTCAGATTTATCTGTGACGAACCGCAAACCCCGAAACAGCCCAATGAAAGGTGATGTTAATAAAAGTCCTCTGACTGCGGTACGACTTCATGGCAAAGATAGGATTGTGTCAAATCCGTTACCACGAGAGTCAGGAAAAAGCGGAAGCCCTCGACTGCGACGGAAGAGAAATTTCACCATGTCCGACACGTTAAGTCGACCTCAGACCGCTCCCAATGCCAACTACTTTTACGACAAACCTCCGTATTCCGACGAGCCATTTCCCCAGGACCTTGCATCTTCCGTCGACCCGCTCAATTCAACAGAATCTTCGTTGGCTTATAGGAATGGGAGACATGATAACAGATCTTCTCCAATCAATTATCCTCCACCAGGCACTTCACCCCCGATTGTTCGCTATTCCCGGAACAAACGTCTTTCTGGAGCGACTTCTGACTGGGCATCCACTGTTATAGGTTCCGATGATACGCGGGTCTTCACTTCAGCTGACGAGGATGATCAGAGCGATTCAGTTTTTGACTCATTCCGCACAAGGATATCATCTAACGGCCACACGGGCCGCCGTGGCCCAAGAATTGAGACGATATTCTACGACGTTTCTTCAACCGACTTGAAGGATAAAGACTCTGTTTCCATTGAGGAACTTGGACTTGAGAACTTGCGCCTGTCGCAGTCCACCCCGAGGTCTTCTTTGAGCGACATAGACTCTAATACTACCCCACTGGCGCTATCGACTGCGAAGAATACAGATACAACACCGACAGCACCTGCGAGATATTCACACAAAGGCGCCCTCCATTCTTCCCCTTCAAAGAAGCCACAGGCACCCCATTCTCAAGAAGTAGTTTCCGGCTCTGATGAAGATGCAGTGCTGGATGATGGTGATGATGATTTTGATACATCATTTGGAGAAAACATCAATTTCTTTCAACCATATGGCGATCCTGATGATGTCTCTCCTTCATTGACACGGAAAAGCTCCGCAATTGGCACCAGGGCAAGCGTGTTTGATTGGTCTGAACAGACGTGGAGTGATCGTGATCCCCAAGCTCACGAGGTCCGCCCAAGTACCGTGCATGGGAAGCAAGGTCCTAATGCCAGAAGCACCCGTAGAGCGAATCGGAAAGCTCCAAGCACCATGCATCTCCGAAGCCAGAGCGTACCAGTATCTCGAGATGGTCCAGTACCCAGCGAGAGTCGGCAGCCGTCTGCCAAGTTCGGTACATGGGGCTTAGGCCAGAAAGGAGTGAGTGAGGACTGGGATGGTGACTTTGACTTTGGTGATGAAGATGAGGGTGACAATATGGAACTCGGTGATGGCACAACTTCGGCGGGGCGGTTGCATACTATGAAGGTACCACAGGCTATCATGGAAAGCCAAGCTAGTGTTCATGGACAGTACGGACAGGTTCAGGAATTGACCCTCCTAGTCGAAGAGTTGAAGCGTCTGCGGATTCAGGGCAATGCGTTACAAGTCATCAATGGACCTGCCAACGATCTCTGGAAGGAAGCAGATGGTATCGTCAACCTTGCAACATTTGAGGATGAGGAATCCAATTGGCAGGTCCCTGATTCACCATCATCTTGTGGGAGCTTTGATGATTTCGAAATCTCACCATCTCCGCCCCAGAAGGCATGGAGAAATAATGATAATGACATGAAACGACCACCCCTTACTCTATGGAGCGATATGGACCACAACTCAAAAGTTTCAGATAGGCAAGAGCCTGCAACAAAGGTCAAGTCTGTACTGGAAACCATCTATCAGCAACGGGAATCTTTGGACGCTCGTTCGATTGAAATTGCTAATCAACCGCCACAAAAGCTTCCATTTGACACACAGTCTCTCAAGGAACTAGTTGCTCGCGCCGGCGTTGTGACTCGTGCGTTGAAAGATGTTATACGTAAAGCAGAGGGTGTTACCACCAGCAACGATTCTGGTCCATCATCAGATCCCCCGTTCAGTCAAATATTCGCTCAAAGAACATGATTATTGAACATGTTGACTTATACGAGACACCGTCAGAAGCTAACGCCGAATGCTTCTTTAGCTCACTTCCTTGGCGTATACTCTTATAGCCATTCAACGGAGATATGACAACCAGTCTCTGTACATTCTTTCGATTCGTTGTATATTTTCTTACCAATATTAGCCATTGCATGCAGTCATCTGGGAGGAGATTGGAGTCCAACATTGATGTTCTTTGTTGGCTCTCCTGGTGTAGTAGCTCTTGGCCTTTTCATGTATTCTTCTCTTCTCGCTTTTCATTACTGGTATCCTCTATATTCTTCCTTCTATTCTTTTGTCGCGGGGCTCAGGCTTCATCTTCAAGACGACCAGTTTGATTTCATCTTGAAGAATTACGAATTACGTTACGACCAAAAAGAAACCTGGGACTGGATTATCCCGTTGTTGCTTGTTTTCTTTTCCTTTTTTTCATGAGCATTACTCTTCATACAAAAGTCCACTGAGCGAATGTCAGAGTAAGGACACGATGAGACAAAAGTGATGATTATATTCCTTTCTTCTTTTTTGCGGGTTTCCCTCCTGTCGATATTCCAATCCATCATTATCCAACGATGATGAACATGCATTCTTTCATGTTAAAATAGCGTCGTGACTTTTGGCATGCTTATTCAAGTCTGCCTCTTTTGTCGATACTATGTATTTATGGGCCTATGAATGATACAGGATAATATCTACGAGTTGTGTTTCTCGTAAACCTTATATCACAAACTTGGATGTAGACAATCTAGGCATGGTCTCCGGCCTCAGCGAATGGAGGCACTGCTCAATTGATCCATCCATGGATCTGACAATTAGACATATATATACAACTAGGTCGAGTAGAAAAGATATAAATATAAATAACTATACTTAGGTACAGTTACTACATCCGTTGGTAAACCTGCAGAGCTACTAAGTATTGATGTAAGCATCCATTGATTCTATTAATATATACTACCATCCTCTCCCCTGTGTATATACATTGGTCCAATGTTAACTTAGATCAGTATATACATCCATTCACAAGTATTATGTATAAATTATATGTACATACGTATGTACGCATGTAATTGACTTTCTCAAACCCCCCAGCCATTCGAACTCTGCTGTGGGAAAATAACGGGGTATACAATATTACTGCTCATCTTCATCGGCAGGTCTCTCCGGCGCAAAAGTGGGCGCAAATTTACTCTTTGCGCGGATCTTGTGACCTTGCATGTAGAAGAATACGGGGATTGGGACGAGCACTGCTGCGACGCAGCCAAGAAGTGTTCCGGCCCATTCGACGCCCATGCCTTTGAACTGTTGTTCAGGGTGGTCAGTTAAGGAATAGTTTGCGAGGTTAGTCGGGAAAAGGGTATACAAACCATGTATGATCCGAAGAGTGGGAAGCCTGCGCCAGCGAGAGAACGGAGGAACGTGTTTGCGGCAATGGCGGAGGCGGCGCTGTAAACAGATCAGTAAGAGACCCATAAAGAAAGGTAGAAATTGCGTACAAAAGAAGGTAGGCATCAACAAGGTAGTTGAGACACTGAAGGAAAATCGAAAGAAGACCAAAGCCCGTCAAGAGTCCCGACAGAGTAGGTACAATCCAATGAATGGATTCCTTATAACCAGACCAACCGAACCAGAACAGACCAGCAGCAAATGAGAATCCGCCGATGATTGCTGGTGGTAATCGCCATTCTGGGATGGGGATGTTGTTATTGGCCTCTAGTTTCTTGTTATAGGCCGGTACCTGACAGATGATGAAGATACCGGCGATCATCTCGCCAACAATCATTCCGAAGTACGGTAAACCGCCAACGCCCTTGTTGAAACCGTGGATTTGTTGAAAGACAATGGGGTAGGCGGTCATGAAGAGATAAAGAAGACCGTAGACGAAAGCCATGTAGATACTCAGCAGCAAAACGATGGGCTCCGAGATGAGGATCCTGATGGGACGACTGAAGTTCTTTGACACTAACTCACGGAAATCGACCTCAATTTCCTCCTGTTTTGCGTGAATGCCCCAGTTCCTTGTGCGACGACGAAGTTCTGCGGCCTTTTCGATGAGAACAACAGGTGGGTATGTCTCATCGAGGAAAAACACATCGAGAACAAGAGCTGCCGCAGCCATGATACCAACTAGATACTGGGTCCAACGCCAACCAAGGTAGCTGTCAACGATGAATCCGCCAATGAAAGGCGCAACAAGCGGTCCCATAAAGACCGTAATCGAGAACACGGTGATGGCTACCCCACGGAACCGATTGTCAAACATGTCGGAAAAGACGGCCGCAACAACTGCAATCGGGCAGGCACCGAAAAATCCGGCGAAGAATCGACAGATCAGGACCGTCTGCAAGTCCTTGCCGGTTGCCACGCCAAATTCAAAAATCGTCAGCCCAGTCATGCCGATCATGATGGGTAGTTTTCGACCACGAAGTTCCGATAGAGGAGCCCAGCATACTGGTCCAGTTGCAAAGCCGAGAACATATAGCGATAGACCGAGCAATGTAACTTCTGAATTAACGTGGTAGACCGACGCAATGGTGGTTGTGGCAGAAGAGAAGATGCTGCTTCCGAATGTCGATACGAGGGTTGTGTATGCCAACATGACACTGGTTAACACCCTGGAGGGGAAAAAACAATTGTTAGCAACATGACAGGACAGTGTAAAGCACTAGTAGAGCCGCATACTTCTTCTTGGTAGGCCAATTCATCGGGTGTAAAGGATCATCAGGGCCATCGAATTCCACGACATATGCTTCCTTTGCTGGCAAAGGTGGCGGATAAGGTTTTCCAGCACCGAATGGTGGTAGAGGTTTCTTCGATGCGCGCGACCTCAGACTGGCACCGACGGTACCGCTATGCTGACTGCGTTGTGTTGCAATTCGACTCAGGGCAGTTGGGTGTCTCTCCAGCGTATAGGATGTCTGAATGCGTTCCATTCTTGGCTCGTCGGCCCCTTCTGACGATGAACTGCTCGAGATTGAGGCCAAAGATGATAAGGTCCGCGACGGACTGAGGTTGAGTCCATCTTGAGCCTCTGTAGCCTGGCTGGGATGGCGGGCATCGATCTCAGCCTTCTCTAGATCCTGATCAACAATATCCATGTTCGTAGCTTAATTGCGAGTTGAACAGCAATTGAGAGTGACAAAGTCCAGATCCTCGAGCGCGACCAGGTGAAGAAACTCGCAGCTATGAGATACTGATCCTGCGGCTGCGAGATCGAGCATCCCGCGAGGTCTACGTCGCATTCCTCGCCCTTTTTCTATCGTCAATTTACGCTTTGCGGGGGTCCAGCGTCGGTCTTGGCGCCAATCATGGTCGGTCGTGGTGATGATGTAATCGGCTTCCCTCTGCTGACAGATCGCTCCAGTTGTACGAAGTACGTAAAGACTCAATGCCGCTGAATGAAGCATAGTACGTACTATAGTAGTATGAAGGGCCTGGCTGGACTCTGTAGGCTTGTTGTTTAATCAAAGCCTGTCGAATCTGGACGGCCGTACTCCGTAGATCTTCAGATGTTCTTCTATGCTTCTAGAACAAGCAATGGCTGAGTCTTCAGATGACTCGCAGCTACAGTCTCTCCCATTGGCTGCTAGTTTCATGAATGCATTGTGAACGTAGTGGTTGGTTGACACTGAAAGCGAACACTTACATCTCACTTATCCTGATGGCGTTGTCAAATGCACATCTTTGGAGTGGTCAGGCTAGCCTGTGCGATCGGCGGCAAGTCCGGATGAAAATTGTTGAGCGGTCTGGAACACATGAACCACCTCGATAGTAACTAGTCGTTAGCAGGTCATTATTAGTTACCTGAGGCCGAAGTTCCACAGAGTCATGGACTCATGATCAATATTTGCTGAGGTGGAAATATGTATCAGGTAGACGAACCACTTCCATAGCAATAACCAAGTTACACTGTACATAGTACAGGCTGTGTAGTATTGTCTTCAATACGGTAATATTACCGCAAATACTCTCAGCGATGGAGTATGCAATATGCGGCACTCATTGGCCACAGCGAATCTTGTTCCTGGCACTAAGCCTGTTAGGTGCCCCTGAAACACGCCCTTTCTCCATGTATTTTACCCCAAATACGGATACCCTTGAGTACTGTTCTCGATATTTGCAGACAGTATATTCCCCCCTTTTTTTTTTTTCTCTCTCTTTCTTCCAGCTTTTTCAGTCTTCAATCTCGTCAATTTATCATAGAGCAGAGGATTATTATATGGCACGTTGTACATTGAGCATGCATTTTTGTAGGACGATACTGTCAAGGAGTCCAGAGCATAAATACAATAACAAGAGCGGGCCACGTACGAGCTTGAAAGGTAATTTAAGGACTAGCGCCTCCGTGCTAACGGGGAAGCCTCAACTCATCTGCCCAGTCCGTGATCTCTCCTTCTTTTCTGCTTCTCCTCTTCTCTCTTCTTGTGTGCTGAACTCGCTCGCTCGACTCTCGTCTCTATTTTTGTCTTTTCAAGGGAGACTTCTCTCCTGACCGTTCTTTAACCACACTCCTTTTCATCTCTCAGACTTCTGAGATTCACTCTTTTCAGGGGAAGTTCTCCCAGCCGCTCATTAATCTACCGTCACCATCGCTTGTTTTCGATACTGTACTGCTCCTACGAAATTGTACTGGAAGTCTTGCTTCGACAACCATCGATCATATCGACAGAACATATAATCGTGTTTACTAGCCCATAATAAGGTCATCGTTCACGAACAGCCGGGTGCAATTAATCCAGATCGGATGTCTCGTCTCTGATTACTGCCAACGTTTACTACGGAATCAACCCTGCTGGGTCTTGACCACTCATAGCACTGGAAGATGCCACACCGACATGGCATTCACCATGTGCATCGCCGCAATGCAGAGAATCTTATCAAACTTGAGTCGTTGCCGTTAAAACCTGCTCCTACCATATCCGAGCCCCCTTCCGTCGTCCGGCGGGCTTCCTCAGAAACCTCAACATGTTCAGGAGCATCGTGTGAAAAGTCAAGTAGCTCCGGTCTCGTCAATACTTTGCCCGTTGTTCTCGGAGTAGTGTGAGTGCCCTCGGACGGAAATTCAGGTCTTGACTCCCTGCTAACATGCACATAGAATCCCGGTCGTGGCCGCCATAATTGTCTTGCTCATTTTACACAGACGCCATGTCCGGAAACTCCGCCAGGAGGATGCAAACGACAAACACAAGTCCTTGGATTTCGGTATGGAAGTTGTGCGAGCTGGTGGGGGGAATCCCAAGCAACCGGAAATGGGAGAAAAGCCTCACAAACACGGAATGTCCCTCGACATTATCGGCAGTCCTTACCTACTACCACCAGGATTACATAATTCCAAAGAGTCTCTGCGGTCTCTCACTAAGGTGATAAGCGTAGAAGACGACAAATACCGTGTTGCTGCCCAGAGTGACACTGCTTCACTGAGATCCCATCGCACAATGGGTAATGATGATGCATCGAGCTTTGGAGGATCTACCAGGCACGGGCCTATTCCCGACGATATGAACCAAGGATTGTTGCAAAATGCTTCCAGAATGTCGCGGTCGCCTCCTGTCGATGCATCGTCTCCATTAAGTGTTAGCCAAACCATACACGAGGAGCCATTTGACCACTCAAATGCGATGCGTAATCAAAGCCAAAACCACCAAGCTGTCGACTCCCATATGCCTCCAGAGGATTTGCCAAAGAATCACAGTTCTCCTGCACCTTCTGGCCCTGGTGATGAAATGTTCTTTGGTTCTTTCCCCCAACCAAATCCAAATCCTCTCGCAATGCACCCATCCAATAACCCCAATGAAGTGTCTCATCCTCATTCAAGTCTAAGTGGCTTTGACTTTGGTACGGATAACACACGGCCAGCGGATGACCACCATGAAGTTTCCGCCGCGCAAGAGAAACCTGCAGAGTCACATAACACAGGGCTTCCCAGATTATCTCTTCCCATGAGTGAGACAAGTGATTACGGGGATGAGCCGAAAGTAACCCTGCCGCCTTCATTGAATGTGCCACAGGCTCCAGAGGCTGAAGATCACTCTCACGAGTCGGAGGATGCCCCTCATCCACCCAACAACCGCGTTACCCAGTCATTCACGAAATTCGATGAAGGGTTTGATCCACACAGGCTGACTGTCGGTATCCGACCCCTACCGCCTGAGGATCCTAGCGACAACGCCGAACAGCGCGCCAACAGGATTCGTTCTTTCTATAAGGAGTATTTCGATGATTCCAAAGGCGGCAACAACGAAGAGTACTATGAGGACTTCGGACCGGAGTTCTATGACGATCCCGGAGTGTTCGATCCATACTCTAGTGAATATTTCACCGGCCCATCCAAGCCCTTCGCTCAACCTGTTGGCCGCCGTGCCATGACACCTCCTCCGCGTTTCCAAGGACCACCTCGAAATGTTATGCACCCAGCTATTGGCTCCAGAGCTGCTGGTCCGCGTGCGTTCTCCTCTGCCTCGGGCCGACTACCTGTTCCACGGGCGACCCCGAAACGTGCCCCTCCGCCTGAACCCCTACACGTTCTGCCGTCACCTCACTTGATCAAAGACGACATGTCTATTCTGCCCATCGACTATGCTCCGCCGTCGACTTTCAAGGATCGCACCGAAGGCCGACCGGAGAGTCCTCGTGGAGGTCTACGTCCTTATACATCCATGAGCCGTGCTCATACTCCCTTGGTATCATCCTTCGACGACCTTGCAGCTATCCCTAGTCCGTAAGTACTAGTCTTGATCCACTCGTCTCCTGATTCATTATACTAACAGCTCTCAGGCACGCTTTGCGCAAGTCTGGAATATATACCACATTGGATTTTGCGCCCCCTGCACGATTCAAAAATGATATCGGTAGCGATGCCGGCAGCATTCGCAGCAACCGCACTGGTATATCTGCTATCCATGATCACAACATTCGTGCAGGAGCATACCGCGTCAGTCGTTTGCCGACAGACGTCGTGGGCACCAAAGACGATCTCTTTGCCAGTCTGCGCCCGAACATGGATCTGGGACGCTAGAAAGCCTACGAGGAGTCTTACCATCGCTGCGTTAATTGTGCGTTTAAATTATTTTCAGCATTGTTCCTTAATGATGGTTCCTTCTTATCTATAACGGTCGCCTCATGATTCGTCTGCACCAGCATTGTTTTGCTCATCGACCAACCCTTTTATAGAACTTTGACTTGGAGTAATTGGGTCGTTTTGAATTCTTGGATCTTGAAATTGGATGAAGGCGCTGATCAATAGACACGTGCTGTACTATATATTACACTATTTTCTTCATTGCTTCTGTTCCTCGAGAGAGACCTTTTCTGGAGATCTCTCAGTTCATGCCAACCTTTGATCGTCGATCAATGGCATTTTATGTATTCTCCCTCGTTGATGAGGTTTGTGTGCGCTTGCAACCTCTGATCTCTTCTGTTATATTCTCTTTCTTGGTGTGCTATCTACACCGGAATGTACATATGCCGTGCACGCAGTACCACCGCCGAAACTAGACTAATGACGACATCCAGCAAATTATTGGGGACTGTTTTATGATAATTCTCGAACGTACTTCGCACAGTCCTTGAAAATCCTTGAGTGTAGGAGGCACTGTGGCTGTAAGCCCGCAAACATCTGATTGTGACCCACCAGGCACTTGTTCCTAGCCGGTCTAGGAACACAGACAGACAAGATCGCCGTTGCAGTAATGTATGCAGTTGAGATGCTTTACCTAACATAATTTGCCATGCAGTCATTTTCAAGATATTTTCCCAGATAAGGCGCCTTATGAATCATATGAATCATCTATGTCTCGAATTGTCGATGATCGAGCGTTGGCGATTGGCGGGTGTTCCTCGTCGTGATCCAGTACGGAAAGGTACTGGCGTCATTTACTGTACCTTAGTAATCTTACACTACTAATTAGGCCGATGCGCTATGGAAGCCCGCATACATTGACTAATTTGTATATTCTCGCTAACTCGGATATTATTCTCTCAGCTCATGGCCTGATTTTTGCCAATTCCATTCCATCGTGAAAACAGTGCCGTGATCCGGCCAGCGAGATTCAAGTCACGTTTATCTCTTGTTTCAGTAACGCCGTGTTACGATCATACGCCAAGACCGTTGGTACAAGTCTGTACTAGTCTGACTGAAATAGATCCTAAAACGGCATCGGTCGCCCAAAGCAGTCATAAAAAGCCCCACTATGAGCATATAAGAGCCATCCATTGGCTACATACAATACAAGGATTATTGTAAAGTACACCAATGACACACGATACTCTTGTCTTTTCCGTAATTACGCCTCCCCACAGCCCCGTATTCGCTGGAGACGATACTATTGAAAAGTAAAACAGACGAAGAGATCACTCGCTCAAAGAGTCGAGACTTGTCTTTCTGCCTTTCTGTCTTTTCCTTTGACTTCGTCTCGTTCGTACTTTGTTCGACCAAAGTATCTATCCAAGAAGGAGGCATTTATGTCTCTTTTCTTGCATATTCATCGCTAAGATATCAACATATGTTTAATAGCTAACTCTGTTTTCTCTCTTTTACTTTTTTCTCCTGACGATAGGCGAGTCTCGGGCCCCTAATCATCACCGATCCGTCGCTAGCAGTTTCTTCCGTCACGGATTTCGATTGAAAAAAAAAATCAGCATCGAAAAGTCAAGCACACCAGGTGTTAAGGTGTTGAATATCAAAAGAGAGAGAGAGAGTCGGTAGCGTGATTTTACTACACTGGGATTACTTCGGAAGGGACTCAAATCCTCACAATCGCCTGTTCGCTTTGCGCCGCCGAAGTTCAACCGCTGTGGCCATTACGAGTGCGTCGTGAAAGCATAAAAAGCACATTGTTCAGCTACGACTCTTCTCTTTCGTTCTTTCCAATGCGCATCAGTCATAACAACGTTTTATTATCTTTGAAGCGCCAAGTGCAATTACTCTAGCCGCCGAAGTTATCATACGTTTCCGTTCGTTCCGACTTCCACCGCGTGCCACATTTTTCATCTTGAGAATTGAGCGGGGGTTTGTCGCGATAGCATCGTCTTGACGAACATTTTTCAAGATGTCTTCTTCGACTGGTAAGAACGTCCCATTTTGCACGTCAAATGTCGTTCAGCTGCTAACAGATGTGACCAGCCGCCGTGCCAACGGCCAGTACTACTACATCAGCTAGCCCCACTAGCACTTCTTCAACCTCTTCTACATCTACCTCCTCTACCTCGACATCCAGTTCCTCCAGCACAACAAGTTCCTCGACATCAACATCCAGCACAAGTTCCTCGACGTCGACGAGCTCAACATCGACATCGACTACCTCGTCGAGCTCTTCCACTTCTACAACCACCTCGGCGACGTCAGCGACGTCAGCGACCTCAACGGAACCTCAGACGACAGTTGGGCCAACGACTATCGTTGTAACTTCTACGTCGACAAAACCCCCACCGTCCGCAACCGAGACAACATCAGTGTCCTCTACCATTACCTCATCCACTGGCACTGCCTCAGCAACACACACTGGTTCCGCCTCTTCTGGTTCTAGTGGACTCTCCGCGGGAGGTACCATCGCGGTAGCCGTTGTGGTTCCTGTTGCATCTGTTGCTCTAATCATTTTAGTTGTATTGTGGTGGTGGCGACGTCGCAAGGCCAATAAACTTGCCGAGGAAGAGAGGCGAAAGGAAGTGGAGGAGTATGGATTCAACCCTAACAATGACCCCGGTCTTGGCGGCAGCGTTGCGGGAGGTGCCATGTCCACCAACACGTACAGCGATCGATACGAATCACAGGATGGCAATTCCGGATACCGAGGCTGGGGCACAACTTCTCATCCTCGCAAGCCTTCGACGAATCTTTCCTCCATCCCACTCTCCGAGACCAGTGCAATGCAATATAGCGATGGTCCTATGAGACCCGAATCCGGCGAAGCAGGTGCGATGGGAGCTGCCGCAGGAGCTCAGAACGGCGACATCCGTCGAGGCGCATCCAATGCGTCGTCCGCATATTCCGCTGGGGTTCACTCTGAAGGATCTGAAGACGCGCATATGGGCGGTCCAGGACCCAACCAGTACTACGACGAGGGCAACCCTTACTACCACGACGTCCACAACACACAAGCAGGATATGGTGATCCTGCTTACGGTTTGGGGCAGCCCGTGATTCGAGATGTGCAAGCGCGCCGGAATACTCGCATCGAGAACCCTGGCGTCTATCCCCAACAAGGCAATGCCGGTATCGCTCAGAACTTCTAAGCTCGGCTGCCGTCTATATTTCTACTCATTCTCATGCTCCTTGAATATTTTTCACGTCTGATATCTTCATTCAGCATGCATATGTCTTTTGGTCTATAATATCCATATCCGACATTCGTTCTCGTTTACGTAATGCCTTTTGTTTTTCCTTCTTCGAGCAACGGATGCGTGTACCTTTTTTTCGCCTCTTTGTATTTGTGAACATATCCGCTTGTTTTCTCTTGGATCATAGCTTGTCCGCCGACAAACTTTTTTTTTTTTTTTTTTTTTTTTTCTTTGATACTTTTCCCCATCATCGACTGTGGATGATGGTGTCGTTTCCGATGGTCGACAAAAGTGAATACTTTCTTATTTTCTGAGTATCTCCTGTATAGTCGCAGATACGAATAATTTTTTCTTGAACAGGAATGCATTCCCTTCAGTTTTAGTCTATGGCAGTAACCAGACTTTCTGATAATCAATCTTGACTGAAAAGAAATGTTTCCAGTAGTCCATCACATGACTCTAGATTGATTATTGCAATTGCAAAAATTGCAGTAACTCCCTCTTGGCGCTCGCCATCATTGGTCCCAGGCTTCTCAAATTTTCAGCTTATCCATACAAATTTTGTGCATGCTGCATAACCTAGCCAAACTAGCCGAAAACGTGCTCTAGATACGTCTTCCAATTGGGCGACCCGGATCTGCAAGCTTGCTCTCCGCAAAGGAGCCAGCCAATCAGACGCCCTGACAGACAGATTTTCTCTAAACGGACCGGCAGAATATAAAGCTTGCAGTTACTTAGCTCGCATAGCATGATATACAGCCACGGAGTTCTAACCTAACCAGTAACCACAGGGCTTATACTGGGAGCTGAGTTACGTACTGGCAACCTCTCTATCTATCCACTGACTGTCTAGCCCCGCACCGTGCAGGAAGCAGTACGGAGTACCTGAGGCATCATCCCAGCACCTGCCCGCTGAACGGAGGGGAAAGGCAAAAAGGAAGGAGCTGCTTGGCTACTTTGTATTTTTATTTTCTCGTTGTCAAACTACCTCAGGTACTGACTGCTCCAACTTTCTGTGATTCTTCCTCCTCATCCTTTCCTACCACTGTTCCCTGCGACTGACCTCGAGTAGGACAATCAAACTCACCCCCTCGCCTGACATCTGTTTCTGCTACTACCAGTTGTCGCTGCAACTACGCTGCATTGTACTGCACGGCGCTGGTACGAACAACTCACGCATTAGGCCCCCAGTTGTATCACTCGTTGCATCTATCAACCATTCCCATTCGCCGATTCTTCCTTCTGTGAGTGTCTGGACTTTGTTCTCACCTCCCGTTTAGCCTTCCTTTTCTCGAGGGAGTGGAATTGCATGAGCGCATTATCCACGCACTTCCGGGCTTCTTTTCTTCACGCTGATGTGGTTGTTTCCTTCTGCGCATCAATGTTCGGCAACTAATCATATCCGAGGCAGAAGAAGGGAACCTTATCTCAACCTTTCACGAACTCGCATCGTCATCGTGTTCGTCCCACTATCTCGTCCTTTCGACGACCGACTCGTTCTCACTCCTTCCATACATAGGCTGTTAGGCTACGTTAGGATTTGAGCCGCAATGTTCATATAAGTGTAATCGTCTATTCTTTCACCACACTCACGCTCTCACTGCTCCGGTACGGTAATCGTTCCAAATAAGGTAGTCAGGTCAGGCATGAACGATCCGCTAACGTCGGTAAACGCAGGCCAACAACCTCAAGTGCCAACTTGAAAGACTCTCCGGTGTGATCACAGCTAGTCAAACGACCGAAGAAATTCCTTGCACTCTTCCCCCGTGTAACATTCAAGATGTACGTATTGATTGGTGTCGGCTCCGGCATCCGAAGACTATGTGAAATTTGAGTTCTTGCGACAATCTGCAAATCGCCCCTCTTGCTCTTCCACATTCCGGCATGGCTTGCTCTCGATAGCTGACGTTCAGTAAAGGAAGTTCGGAAAGCAGATTCAGCGCAGGCAACTCGATCTTCCTGAATATGCGGCCAGTTTTGTCAACTACAAAGCTCTGAAGAAGGTAGGATTTTTTTTACCTCGTTGAGACGCGTGTTTTGCAACTTCGCTGACTCCGGAGGATTCCCCATAAAGCTTATCAAGCATCTAAGTGCAACCCCAACGATTGCAGCGCAGGGTGCCCCTCCGGCCGATCTTGATCCCCAGTCTGCGTTACGCGCCAATAAAGAAGTCTTCTTCTTCCGTCTGGTACGTTGATTCATTCCGTGCAGAACCGTAAACGGCCGCATACTTATCTTCTTGGGACATACAGGAGCGCGAGATTGAAAAGGTCAACGAATTCTATGTGCAGAAGGAGTCAGAGGTAGGAATAGATGCCCTTATCAAGTATGGGGGAGGTAGACTAAGACCTATCAGTTTTCTACACGGTTGAAGACGCTCTTGGATAAGAAACGCGTCGTGCAGTCTCGTACCCATGCCGATAAAAAAGCACCTACGTATTTCGTCTCACTTTTCGAGGGCTTTTTGCAGTTCGACAGTGACTTGAATAAGCTGCAGGTGGGACGAAACTTTAAGGGCTAATAGTGCATTGCTAATGGGAAAATTAGCAATTTGTCGAGATAAATGAAACGGCCGTTTCGAAAATCCTGAAGAAGGTTCGTCTCCTATGTGATCCATTGGCAAAAACAGAACTAACACATCTGCAGTGGGATAAAACGTCAAAGGTGCGAAACTTGGCGCAAAGACCTTACGCTTTCTTACTCTGTGGAAACTGATTTGTGAATAGTCTCGAATGAAAGAACTGTACCTGCAACGTGCTGTCGAGGTTCAACCATGCTTCAATCGAGAGGTTCTCCGCGACCTGTCAGATAGGGCGACCACAGTACGGTTGGATCTGGAAGCCTGGGCCGAGGGAGAAAACATCCGTTTTGATGTCGCTCGTGCAACTGAACGGGCAGAAACAGCTTTGAAAGATGAAGATGAGCAGACAGACCTTCAGGTCCTCCATATGGCGGCTGCAGGAAATATGATTGCACTACAAGAGTGGATTACGAAACTTAGGACCACACCAGACTCTCGTGATCGAATTACTCGTCTGTTCTTGTCTGCTGTTACCGACTTTTCCGACGAGATTCTAGGGGCTATTTTAGAAAGTGGTCTAGTGGACTTGCATGCAGAAGATGACATTAACGGACGAAATTGTCTCCACGAGGCGGCAATCTCAGGCCGGACATATGTGTTTGAGGCCGGTCTCAAGAATGGGGTTGACATTACCAGACCTGATGTTTACGGTAGAATCCCGCTTCACTATGCTTGTATACATGGACGTGTGGAAATGGTGCGGAAACTTCTCTCTGCCGCCCCCGATACGGTGAATAGTCTCGACCACGATAACTTCACACCCCTCATTCACAGTATCGTGCGAAATCGGTTGGAATGTGCAGAGCAATTGCTGAATAACCAAGCAAGGATTGATCCTACTTCTGAATCCGATCATATCCCCCTCAATCTTGCCTGTCAGCATGGAACAGTCGCTATCGCCAAAGTGTTACTACAGAAGGGAGCGTCTCTACTTCCAGACGCCGAGGGCCTCTATCCTCAGCACCTCGTCGCTCGCTCTGGCAAAGCGCCAGAACTGCTGACATTGCTCAAGGAGCACGGTGCGGACTTAAATCAGAACGACAAGCTCTACCAATGGACTCCATTATTTCACGCCGCCAGTGAAGGTTGTGTAGCTTGTCTTCGCAGCCTTCTTGAGCTTGGTGTGGATACCACTATTCTAGACGAAAAAGGATTGTCTGCTATGTACTACGCTGCGTGGGAAGGGCATCTTGAATGCATGGCTCTCCTCTGGTCAAAGCGAGATCCATCCTTACCTCATCGTCCTCTTATCAGCCATCAGGTGGTACCCCAGACTAGTGGCGCAACAACTGGTTATGATGGTTTTCGCACCGATACTGGTCCATCAGCATTCAGTTCTGAAGGTCCCGACGGTATCCCTGATCTTGAACTTCCTCCTCCTATCATCCCGCTACGGCGTTACGGCCATAACTTCCTTGACACCAAGGCCTTTGTCCAGATTTATTTCGACACATCTAATCGTGGGCCCATTGTTTTCGACCGAAGTGGGCGGCATCCGGCTTCTCGTCTTACCATGTCTTCGAAACTGTCAGATGTGATACCTCGCACTATCATGCTTCCCATCCAGGAGGACTCGCGAATCGTCACATTCCAGGTGGATACGTTGGAGAACTTTGTTATTGAGTTCGAGATATTCCCCACCTTTGGTTCAAAGGTGATAGCAAAAACCGTGGCACTACCGTCACTCTTTTCAGCAGAGAATTCAAGTGCAGGTAGCTGCTCGCTGCCGCTATTTGACCCAAGATTGCGCTCGATTGGCCAGATTCGCTTCGATTTCCAAGTCATCAAACCCTATTATGGTGACCCGCTGGAGATTACACACTTTGCTACTTACTGGAAAGCAACCAACGCAATTGATGCTGATCATAATGGCTTGATCACTGGCTCAAGTTTATCCGGGGATTATGTGCAGCTCTTTGTACAGCTTACAAAGGACAGGAAACCTGTACTTCATCCTCTATTTTCCATTAACCACTTCGGCATCGACATACCTATCTGCACGATCACCTACGAACAATTTCAAAGAGTCGCCCGGGAACGTGGTATCGACACTAATGCAGTACTTGAGAGTCTGCATTCTAAGACTCCGAGTGACATAGCTTCCATTCACAAACAGCTTGCAAACTCCTTCTTGTCTTTGCAGGATGTCCTCTCACATCTCCCTACCAGCATCAATGTCAATCTCACCGTTATCTACCCACCGGCTTCTGAAGAAAAGAAGCTCAGTCTAAGTTCTCTAGCGGACATAAACACCTTTGGGGACTGTATTCTCCATGTTGTCTTCGATCACGCCAGGGCATCACGCCAAAAGAGCCCGGACTTTATGCGCTCAGTTGTCTTCACGTCGTATAACACTAGCATTTGCACGGCCTTGAACTGGAAACAACCCAATTGTACGTACCTTTTCATTGTGTTTCAGTGTGATTGTGTGGCTCATGTTTTCATTAGATCCGGTACTCCTATGCAACGATTTGGGGCAGATTGGGGACTTCACTCGAGAGGTCAGCCCGTCCGCTGCAATCCCATCTGATGGTCACACTTCCATGTCGATCAAGGAAGCTGCACGCATAGCCCAATCGAATAATTTCATGGGCTTGATATGCCGGTCAACTCTATTGGTATGTCATAGTAATCTTATACTTCGACATAATGTAAGGGTAAACGACTAATGTGCATTTATAGAACGTCATGCCGGCACTCATTGAAACAATTAAAGAACAGGGTCTCGTACTCATTGCCGACACATCCGATGAGACATCAACTCCACCATCGAAAACAACATCACTAAAATCGGCCACGGAATGGGCATATAGGACGCCGGAAGGCGTAAACGGTGTAATGAAAGCAACCGGAGTACTTCGCTTTAACGAAAGCATTGATATGTGATAATGACAGACTATATACCGAGGCAGTTGAATTAAGAGGAGAAAAGGAAGTAAAACACTTTTCTTATGGCTCATGATACCTGTTGATTTTTCTTGATAGATGACGAAAGGGTGGCACATTTGTTAGCTGTTGGGTGCATTTCGTTTTTTTTCTCTTTTTTTTTTTCAAAATAGTCAAATCATCTGGCGTGGGTCGACGTGTCATAGAAAGTTGACTCACATATCGCTCGGCGTTGTTTTGAGGGACCCAGCCTACAACGTGCTATTTCAGGAAGGTGTAAAGCTCTACAGAGCCTGCAAGATGAGTTTGGTTTTCGTACGAATGGTCTTTCTATCTAGAATACATAAGTTGAGTTGATAAGTTGGTAAATGCAAACTTGACGCGGCCTACATCTTCTAATCCATCCATCTATTTCAGTGGTGTTTGTTTCGATATTTCTGCTTGTGGTCGTATGAGCAAATGTAAAGAGCGGAGGAAAATGAAGTGGTGATACAATACGTCAACAAAATTCCAGACATATAGGCTAGGATGGTGTATTAAATCAAGATAGGTAGATTGGGAGATTGGTCAGTAAGCAAGTGAGGAGATTTCTATTTGGCGGCCTTGGGAGTCTTTTTGCCAATATTCCAACCCCAGCTTCGTAGGGTTTTGACGACTTTGGGCGTCACGGCGGCTGTGAGCGGGACCCGGAAGAAGATGAAGCTTTTGTGGACGGCGTATGCTATTGCGAGCTGTGTCCATATACCTATAATACATCGATTAACAAGAGTTCTAGACGGCGTGCAGACGATGGTCACGTACTAGCTCCTTCGTCAGTGATCTTCTCCTTAGGAGCAGCGTCAGGTTCCCCTTCTATGGTGCTCCTCTCAAAGGGCATAACGGAATAAAATAATATCTTCGCTTCCTCGACAACCACATGCTCATAATGCCCAATTCGTTCAACGCCAAATAATCGAACGGCCGCGAAACAGAAGGGGAAGTCGAGTGCGGATAATGCGAAATAGACTCCCACTGCTGACCAGCCGTATTCCCGAGAGAGATTTTTCATGCGCTGAGAGAAGGATTGGGCATGTTGTTTTTGTTGAGCTTCGGAGTTTGTGCTGGTAGATGATGAGAATCGCTTCTGTCGGGGTTGTTGTTGGGACGGAAACTGTCGATTGATTGGTTTCCGGGCATGTATTGCTGGCCTGGACTGAACGGTTCTTCTCGATAACTGAGAGAATTGCTGTGATATTATTGTGTGTTTTTGCTGAAGAAGTGGTTGGCGCAGAAAAGCTCTTGTTGTCGTGGATTGTGCCTGCTGTCGCAACAGTCGTGATATGGACATAGCCACCGGCGGCATGTTGCGGTTTCGAGGGAGATTAACAATTAATATAGTAGTATAAATAAATTGGATAGTGATGTAGATTATTCAAGGAATAAAAGAGTACAATCGGATGGATGGATGGGCAGGCTGCCGTAAAATCATATTGTTGACTGTCGATGATGATGGAATGTCTTCGAGGAAATAATAAAAATTATCTCCGGCCACCGGCAAGCCGGTATTTTACGTCTTGGATACGATAATTACAATACGACACCAACTTCGGGACTAGCCCATTTCTGATCTGATCTTGACTTTACATTATTTTGTCCGCCAGCTTCACTCCGTCGCTGTCAACGCAATCAACCGGCTGTTGACGTGAACATATACATTTCCACTTCCTCCAGTCGAACTAGAGAATAGAAAGGAGGATAAGGATGCCCCCAAGGCTTCCATTAGAGGCTTTCTGCCTCAATCGGTCCAGCTGGACTACGCAATTTCTCCTCGACACCACCACCAGACGCTTTTTCGGGATCAGATCTCTCACTCCTCCAAAACACACCTCATACAATGGCGGTCCCGACCTTCCTTTACTCAAATCCACGCCGGCCGCTGCCCTCGAGCGCCGGTTGAAAGCAAACACCATGCCGCTACGGACGGGACTGTTGGCGATCAAAAAGGGTATGACGGGTTTATACGATCCTGAGACCGGGAAACGTACCCCTTGCACTGTCCTGCAACTAGATCGATGCCAGGTTATATCTCACAAGACAATGGATAAGCATGGGTACTTTGCGGTGCAAGTGGGTGCTGGGTTCAAGAAACCAGAACGACTCACAAAGGCTTTGGTCGGTCACTTCTCGGTAAATGAAGTTGCGCCTAAGAGATATGTGCACGAATTTCGAGTGAAAGATGGGAATGGATTGCTGGAAATTGGTCACACGTTAACCGCAGATTGGTTTCAAGTGGGACAATATGTTGATGCGCGCTCCAATACAAAGGGTAAAGGGTTTGCGGGTGTCATGAAACGACACGGTTTCCACGGTCAGGATAGGAGTCACGGTGTCAGTTTGACACATCGTTCATTAGGTTCTGCCGGTCCTAGTCAAGGTGGTGGTTCTCGAGTTTATCCTGGAAAGAAGATGGCGGGAAACATGGGTAATGTGCAGAACACTTTGCAAAATCTGAAGGTTCTGGAGGTTGATCCCGCGAATGGTATTATTGTTGTCAATGGTAAGTTCAACCGTTACGAATGTTTCCGAAAATATTCCGTTACTGACTTTTTATAGGTTCCGTCAGCGGACCAAAGGGCTGCCTCGTCAAGCTCCAAGATGCGCTCAAGAAACCATGGCCGAAAGCCGAGTCTCAACCTCAAGCGGAAACTGTGACTGAATGATTCATGGTATATCGCTTTTAATTTCATGTCTATAAAATGTACTATTATACAATGTATTTTGAGGTGGGCGTCGGGCTTTTAAGAACTCATTTTTGGAGCATGCTCACAGTTCATTACCCTTATTGATACAAGAATTCGTTTCGATCCACAAGTATGGCGCTAGGTTTTGTATATTCTCCCCTTCCTGTCTAATCAGACAGCTTGAATGGGTCCTGATCCGGTTCCAGTAACTGGATAACTTTTCCATCCTCAGTCTCTAGACTCCATTCCTCCGTGCGAAACTATAACAAGAAGAGATATTAGCAGCTTACCATTGCCCTACGATTATAATCTAAAGAGCCACTTACATAACTCATCCGATCCGGCCTGACACTCTTGAACCTCATCTTTCCCTGTGATCTCGTCCCTTTGACCCAATAGGATATATCAATTTTTCCATGCAATTGATCCATCGTTCCGCTTATCCAAGGAATCTTATGGGCGAAATAGATCTCATCACCCAAAATCTCACGAGCTTGCTTCGAAGTCCTCAATGCGTATAGCGTACTGCTCACAACACTAGATGATGACTTTTGGTAGTTGAAGATTCCAAACATGGCGGCGCCGACGAGGACGGCGAATATGGGCAGTGTTCGAACCCATCGGAATTGTGATTCTGGGGCTGGCAATTCTCTGTCGGCGCGACGGTCGAGGAGGGGTCCAGAGTTGGCTGATGGTGCCGGTATTAATGAACGTCGTTGATTTCGGAATGGGCTAGCATTTTTCAGCGATGCGGTGCCGCGGGCAGACGTTCGCAATGCCCTTGGAAGGAATGCTCTCGCGGGATTCATTGCGTATGAAATTGTTCTTTTCTATTCAAGGTGCCGAATATGACGCGGACGAAGTCGTGTATGGTAATTGAGGTTGACAATCGTAGGAGGTTGTCAGACAATCGAAATGAAAGAGTATGCGGAGACGCTGGCTTGGCGTTGCGGAGCGGAGGACCAAGTCATCATCCATCATTGAATGTCAATTTACAGTCCTATATTCTGCGCTTTACAATATGGCAGCAACACTGAGAAGGACGTTTCGCTATCCAGGCGATGATGATGAATCCCATTATAGTGAAACTAGAGAAGAACTAGATGAGCAAGGTCAGAAATCCCGACCATCCCCTAAAGAATGATGAACATATATATATACAACCTCAACCCCCGAACATGAATAAACGTATGCTGATTTTAACTAGAACAGGAAGACATCATCAAGAACCTAACTCAAAAGAATGAGACAGATAACAGGTTCTACCATGTACGACTCCACCATACTATGTATTTTTTTTTTTTTTTTTTTTTTCCCAAGCCAGACATGTTCTTACCATGGATGTTGAACAGACAGTATTCACTGTTGTACCTCTCATTGCTATAATCGCCTACATCCCTGGACTATTCTCATCACTGTCGACGGCTGGTCAGAGATTGATCTATTTATCATGCATAAGCTCTTTCCTGGCCACCGCATATATAATGGAAAGCAGTACCTTTTCCAGAGATGGTACAGTGATGACGGACCTAAGTAGATGGCTATCGAATGCCCCGAGTGAGGCACACAAGAAGAACCTTATTATTGCCAATTCTGCACTCTGTGCTCTACTTGCTCTGGGATCGTTGTATACGGCAGATACCGTGTTGTATCTGCTTCCGGGTAGTAAGTTGTTCCTTCAAAGCAACAGGACTCTGACAGATGTTGACCGGACCTGTTACTTGCAGTTCTCCTAGCCATAACATCCTTGGCTAGACGAGTCATCACCGAAGTCGATGTTGGTGAACTTGAAAAGCTCCGCTACGAATATAAAGGGGCCTGATAGAGGTTGAAGCCAAAAGAGATCGACGAGTTACTATTACCGATGTACGAAACAATGATCATATCTAATGCCTGGTAATAGTCTTAAATTCGGAACGTGGGTTGTCATTTTTGCTATGGCTACAGAACAACGGAATATTAGACTTCAGTAAACATTACGGGCCCATAGACCATCAAAAACTGAAGTGGCGTTTCCCCTTCTTAGCTAGCTCAGATTAAGATTGCTTCCTGAGACACCAGAAGCTTTAGGCTCGAATGCCGTCTGAGAGATCTAAATCCGAATCCTCGTAAGAATTTGCAATTCTTGCAGCCCTCCTTGGCTTATCAACGCCTTCAGGATTCTGCTCTGCTCGAGAAGTTCGTGGTGGCTTCTTTTCAACTCGCCAAACATTGGAGTCGTCATCTTTCTCACCGCGACGTCTTCTCTTCTTCGCGTTCTCTGGAGTCGGCAAGGGCTCGTTATGAAACGAAAGAAGATCAGATGTGATGATTGCGGCAGTACTGGGGTTTGGCTGATCTTTATGTGCCTGTGCCATTGCTTCCATGTGCTCTCGACCCGGTCTTAAGCGGACAACATGTTTACCCTTCTTTTTCAGAGGGCGTGATTTGCCTCTGACCAGTGGTATATTGTGTTTTGCATGTGGAATGACTCCATTCTCGCCACCGTTAGTCGATTGGAGTAATAGAGCTGGGTCTATGCTATGATTTCCGAAAGTATCGAAATTATCCTGGGTGAGATCTATGGGAGGAAACCCATTTTCAGAGGGGAACTCGAATCGGATTGCAGCAGCATCCCGGAACATTTCCTCCTCGGTCCTGAGCAGGCCTTCGGTGTTTGAGTGAGTTAGCTGATGTACTCTTGCAGCAAGTTCAGGCAGATGGACAGAGGAATCATAGATGTCAAAGTCATGGGATGGCGCAGCGGGGAAACCACCCAGAGCTGGATCAATCGGAATGCCGTCGTGGAATGTGGGTTCTGTATTTGAGTAACCATTGTGCACTTGTGGTACAAATAGCCCATCATCATCATCGTGAGCTGTGAGAGCTTCCTGCATCTTCGCCTGCTCTGCTTCAGCCTGATGTCTCTGTAAGCGCCGCGTTGAGTCAGCGGTACCGTCTCCAGCCTTCTTCAGCCACCCAATGTTTGAGTGACTGAAATTTACAAGAGCTTCAACACTTCGTGGATCGGCAATCTTCTTCGTGTCATGACCCAATGCCAGACCCTTTGGTTCATAGGGTTGCGTAGTAAATTTCCGGCGACACGCACCACAACTGCATATTTTTTGACACCTCGGACATTCCCAGCGATACGTTTGCATGGGCTCTTGAGGTTTGATTTCGAATGCCCTGAAGAGGCTACCATAGCAATAGTGCAGTGAGCAATTCCGGCAAGATGAAAGTTTCCAAGTCGGCTCAAGAGTTTTGCAAATGTGACACCTGGCTTGTTCCTTGGATAGTTCGTCCCTAGGATGAACCTTTCTCTTCTTTACGTGTCGCTCATCACTACTCCCTTGGCCATTTTCATCGTCTTGGCTGTCGAACCCTTCTCTTTCATCGAATGTATGTTTTGTGATGTCGACCCACGGTCTCCTCTTCAACTCCAGTTGACAAACTTCGGCCAGTGTCCTATGACCTAGACGTAGTCTTTCTTTAGTAAGGGATGCGTATTTGTCTTCCTTCAGACCCGGCATCCTAGATATCTGTCTCCCCCAGGTTTCGTGCTTTTGAACCAGCTCCTGCCATGGAAACTGTTCAACCCATTGGAGGTTGGAGATGCACTCACAGCTCCTACCCATTGCATAACATTCCATGCAAACATCGTAGCAATCGTCTTCGCCACTTGCAAACTTCCCCACACAATGTGGACAAGTAAGAAAGCGATTGAAAATGTTGCACCGGCAATAAGAGCAAGTGACGTTACTATCATAAGGTAGAAATTCAACCGGTTTTTCCTCACGGAATTCATTGGAGAAACTTTCAGAAAGCATGATGCTTGTAAACATGGTGAATAGTTTCCTGAAGTCCTTTTGCAGCTGGCGAACTTTGGGCGTCCGGGTGTTGAGCCTCTCAGCAGCAGCCAGAAGTTGTGAATATTTTTCCAATGTGAAGTAAATGATTGATTTGTTCTTGTACTGCTCGTCTCGACAGACAGTTCTTGCTCGTGGAAGAGCTTCTTCTAGCGCCAATTCCAGTGTTTCGACGGTCGTACGATTCCACGCGACCTTCATCGTCCGTGTACCCCGGTTCCAGACTTGGTGAGGTGCCAATGGCGGTATGAGAATAAAATCGCCAGTTCTTTGTTCGACAACATATGTTTTAAATGGAGCTGCCTTCCAAGCACTTATTTGCGCAAAATGATCTTCAAGGTCGATGTCATGACCAAGGATGGAGGACCAATATTCGGATACTAGATGGTGGTCCTTTGTCTCCGTCATGAACCAGATCGAAGAGCCAGGTTTAGTTCGTTTTCCATGCTCAAAACCCCCAGTCGAGGTCTCCACCATTATGTTATGGCCCAGAGTCGCGCACATTTCTTGATGACAAGGAGTGTATGTTCCTTCATGGCCGATGTAACACATAAGATTCTCGGCTCGCATCGGGCCAGGAAGACTGCTCATTAAATCACCAGCTCTTGCAAAATCCTGAGACACGAAATTCGGGTCGAGGGTTGAATCGTTCATGTAGAACAGAAAAGGCGGTATTATTCCCCTCAACTTTTCATGCCAAACATCAGGACAGTCGATATCCTTGAGATAAATTCGCTGACGACTCGGTTCAGTAAAGTTATCGGGAGTAATCTGATCCGTCAACATAGACATATTGTTGAGATAATGTCCAATTGACAAAGGGATGTTGCTCTTTGTAGTGAGGTTTGTGGCATTCTCCGCTACGCATTCTAGTCAGCTTAGACAACTCAAAACCACAATGGAAGATTGCAAAAAAAGATGAGAAACATACTTTTGGAAGAAAGATTGTCCCTCAGCCACTGTTCTGCAAAAATCCACTTCTCGAATCTGCTGTCGTAGCTCTCCACGACCAAAGGCTTTCCACCACTTATCACATGTAAACGGACGAGTTTCTCAAAATTATCTAATCCTTGCTCATAAATCGCGTCGCAAGGTATACGAACAACCCACTCAAAGTTTGGCGTAGACTCAACCAATGATGATACATCGATATTGGGAGGGATGGGCTCAAAAATTGCCTGCGGCCGCTGCGCTGGCATGGTGTCGCTTTCGCCTATTTTTTTTCCAAAAACCTAAGGACCCGGGTCAGTCGATCGACCTACGGGAAAGCGTAGGCATTTGAGCAGACGTTGAAGGCGGAATATCTGATCCTGGAGAAGTGATGAGGGCGTAGGAGAGTTTGTCGCAATTCGAGATCGTCGAGTAGCGGTTACTAGATGCTCGACCAGTCGTAAGAGAGTCGCGTGGGGATGACAGGCTGAGAGAAGAGCCTGCGCTGCCAGTGGAGAGTAAAAGTTAGAGACGTGTCCATCAGCTTGATTCGGCTAACTGTCACCGCTAAGACCGTCGCGAAGAGGTTGAAAGATTTAATAACGTACGGAGTACAGAAGGAGCGACGAATGCAGGATCCCCGGGGAGCTGGTTCACAGCTGACCAATGAGAATGCTTTTAGTACTGCGGAGATGGACCCACCTAATCGCGAAATAAATCAGGAAGGAAGCTACGAATAACTTCAGGGCGGCTTTTGTCGAAGTGTTCGCTTCCTGCGCGATTATAACATCATGTTCTTGACAAGCTGAATACAGCTCTTTCATATCCTCACGATTGACGACAGGTTGATCAAAGGAAGCCATCTATTTCAAGTTTGGACATCCAAACAAGCTACGATGCCCCTCCAGACTAAGCACATGCAAATGGGGTCTCCTTTACTCAATGCAGTGCAAACGCTGCGCTCACGGACGACACGATATCCCACCAATCTTTTATCTCAGAGCAGATACTCTGCTACAGCAGCTGCCCCCCTTCGTTGCTTATTAGATCGTCTGAGGATACCGAGTCACGGAACTTCGAGATTCAACAAGGCGAATCCAGTCGCGACGATACAGACACGATCCTTCCGTCAGTTTTCATACAATAACTCATCAGCGCAATTAACATCTGCATCTGCATCTGCACCAGCGGTCTATTCTCCCCCGCAAACCGGCATCATCTCTTACCTCCCAAGATCTTGGATACCGTATGCCGAACTGATACGCCTGGATAAACCCACCGGAACGTACTATCTCTTTTTCCCATGTCTATTTTCGACGTTGCTTGCTGCTCCTCTGGCTATGCCAATGGCATCCCCTTTCGAAATTCTGGCATATACAGGCCTTTTCTTTAGTGGCGCGTTAATCATGCGAGGTGCGGGCTGCACGATCAACGACCTGTGGGATAAGGATTTCGATCCTCACGTGACACGCACAAAATTCCGGCCAATTGCACGAGGCGCAGTGACTCCAGAGAAGGCCATTGTGTTTACTGGTTTCCAACTTCTAGCAGGTTTAGGAATACTTCTTCAGTTTCCCCTGCAATGCCTGTATTATGGAGTACCCAGCCTGCTGTTTGTCGCAACATATCCTCTGGCCAAAAGAATTACATACTACCCGCAGGCAGTTTTGGGATTGACATTTTCTTGGGGCGCTATCATGGGTTTCCCAGCTCTCGGCGTGGACCTACTAAGTCATACCGATGCTCTACTTTCCGCTACGGCTCTTTATAGCAGTTGTGTAGCCTGGACTGTGTTATATGACATGATCTACGCGCATATGGACATCAAGGATGATGTAGCTGCCGGTATCAAGTCCATCGCTCTACGACATGAGCACAATACCAAGGCAGTCCTCTCGGGGCTAGCTGTTACTCAGGTATCACTTCTTGCACTTGCTGGCTGGGCCTCCGGTGCCGGGCCGATATACTTCGTAGGCACTTGCGGGAGCGCTATTGTATCATTGGGTATGATGATCTGGAGAGTACGCCTCAAGGACGTCAAGAACTGCTGGTGGTGGTTTAAGAATGGTTGTTGGATCACCGGTGGAGGTATAGCATTGGGCATGACAGGAGAGTATCTTGCGCAGTATTTTGGATACTATAAAGACGAGGATGTTACAAGCAAGAAGATTACTGCGTAGAGATCTGATGTCAAGACCTTTGTATAATAGAAGCTTCAATGTATATAAAATTCTATTAGAGCATGTGTTTAATCCACTCCTTGATGTCATATAATTAAAATATCTGACATGATTATCCTGAGGCGGGCACGTAATCTGATGCCAAGAATCGATGTAGCTCTCCCGGTCCCGATACCGAGCCGGAGGCAAAAAAGCTTACTAAACTTATCCTATCGCATTTCGATCTTAGAGACCTTCAATTAATTCCTCCTTGAGCTGTTAATCAAAGGTTTCCCGCATATTAATCAGATTTGCGCAATGTTTTCAAGATTTTCTCTAAGGGTATGTCTACAGAATGTTTTGAATTAATTCAACTCACGTATGACTGACATCTCGCAGCAACCGTCTCGCGCCATAACGGCAGCGACATCCGCAATCAGAGCCCCCAGTCCATGGACTCTAGCATCTTCAAGTCCCGCGGCTATTCAGTTTCGTCGTCTTCTCTCCTCCGAAACTAGAGCAGCTATCGACAAGGCCATTCAATCGGCACCCGTCGTGTTATTCATGAAAGGAACTCCCGAAACACCACAATGCGGCTTTTCGCGAGCAAGCATACAGATTTTGGGATTGCAAGGAGTTGATCCCAAGAAGTTTACAGCATTCAATGTTCTTGAGGATCCCGAACTCCGGCAAGGTATATATACTCCATTCCACTCAAGTCTCTCAAGGATCAGTGTCTAACATTTCATACTCGACGTAGGAATCAAAGAGTACTCCGACTGGCCAACGATACCCCAGCTCTACGTCGACAAAGAATTCGTAGGTGGTTGCGATATTCTGATGTCCATGCATCAGAACGGTGAGCTAGCGAAATTACTCGAAGAGAAAAATGTCCTCGTGGCGGCTGAAGAGTAAATTGAAACCAGGATATCTATGTATACAAAACAAAGATCATAATATTGTATCAACAGATCTGTTCATGTTTCATGACAAGCCAGGTGGTTGTCTCCTCCAACGGCTATATTTGAAGAAAGGCTCAACAACGCCGAATATGCTTATGCAGGCCAATTCACAAGTATATTATCCGAGCAATCCGCCTAGGACAACCCTGCTCACTCCCCCGATTTCGCTTTTTGCACCACTCCTACTTGCATCTTCAAAGTCTCTGACGACACCTGCGACCATAACTTTGCGCAACTTTGCATCTGTCTTAGTGAATAATTCTCCAAAGCCGGTTGTACATACGCTGGGCGAAGAAACTAGACCCGTAAGTCTGTTGTAACAATCTATCAACACATCGCAAAGCGTGACGAAAGTCTCGAAAAAGTCCGGGTCGAACGGGAGTGAGGGCGTTAATAGATATGTGTATTCCTCCCCCGGAAGTAAGTCTGAGGAGTCCGTATTGGGAAAAGAGGTAACTGCTGATGCTGCAGTGGCCGAAGACGCAAGGTTACCGGTCATGGCTTTCACATCCGATGAATCACCAAAATGCATGGGTAGGCCAATTTCATTCGCTGAGCTTGCTCGCCTCGTTTTGTTGCCCGTATATGTTGCCCTCTTAAACATCTGAGGTAGCCTTGCGCGGACAAGGTTTGAAGAGAAGTTTCCATCTGGATTATGAACTTGCTGAAATGTTTCGAATTCGACTAAGAGGGCATGGAGAGCGCGTAGATACTCCATTGGGGTTGTATATGCATCCAATATAGGAGGGAGTGAGAGGCCGAGGAGTAGGAAATTGATTGCGCGACGAGAGAGTCTTTTGGGGTCAAAGTAAGGCATTCGCATGAGGTCATGTCGGGAGAAATGTACAGTATTGAACCAATATACTCGTCCTTCGTGACTGAAATAAAGGCAAGTCAGTCTTCGCCAATACGTACTTAGCGCGATAGGATACACTCACACTTTCCTCAGATAACCTAGAGTAGAGACACGTTTGGAAGACATGTCATGGACATGCTGAAAGATAGAGGCTGCACTCTGAGGGCCAACACTAGTACCCTGCTGCGCAGGCATAGGTATTCCACTCATTGTTAACAAGGAAGTATGTCCATGTACTGTAATCTGATAAGGGAGAAGATCCGCTGCGGTCATAAACCCATACTGGGCCAGATTCTGGTAGCAAGTAACACTTTCTCCAATTTCACTCAGCAATATCCTCCCCCAGTCGATGTCAATATATATTCCCGTGAGGTAAGGATTGTGCGGTTCGGCACTACGGATATGTAGTTGAACAGGGGGTACGGTACGTAGTGCGGGGAAATGCAAGCTGACGTCTCGATGCTGAACTATCAGGAAATATTGAGACTCATGTATAGACGCAGGTAGTGTTTCGCAATATTTCAACGGGGATATGACTGTGTTACATCGGATGCACGAGCGTTGGCAGTGTGTTCTTTTTTTGTTGATCGGAGACCTGAGATAAATTGACTCCTTAAATTCTTATCGGACTCATGATTAGGGATCGGACCACGCTAAACTACTCCTGGATATCGGGGCAGGAACGATAACCCCACGTCCCGTTACCCTAAAAGGGGTAGCTCCAACTCTTGCCAGAACACATTAAATCATTGAGCTACTTATATCCCACGAGTTTTAGAGTGACACAAGTGCTTTCAATTATTCATTCCGATTCAGAAATACCCCATTGTGCAGGCTCAATGTCCGAGTCCGAGGAGGTTCCTCGACCTGGCCAGTGGCCGGTTGATCCACAAGAAGATGTTCCCATCTCGAAAGACCGCATATGGGTTGATGGATGCTTCGATTTTAGCCACCATGGTGAGTTGCAATTATAAGGTGTTTTAGAAGATTGGCTAATAATGGAAACACATGCATTAGGCCACGCTGGTGCCATGTTGCAAGCACGCAAATTAGGCAAGGAGCTATACGTTGGCATTCATTCGGACGAGGCGATTCTTGAAAACAAAGGCCCGACTGTGATGACGCTTTCAGAACGGTAGCTAGCCAGTCTCGATTTGAGGTTTAATCAGGAATTTATGCTAATTTGCCTCTTTTTTGTTGCAGAGTCGCCGCCGTTGAAGCATGCCGATGGGCTACAAAATCTATACCCCACGCTCCTTACGTCACGACATTGCCCTGGATCTCACACTATGGTTGTCAATATGTCGTCCACGGCGACGATATTACATCGGACAGTAATGGCGAGGATTGTTATCGCTTCGTCAAAGCCGCTGGTCGATTCTTAGTCGTGAAGCGAACACCGGGCATCTCCACAACCGATTTGGTCGGTCGGATGCTCCTATGTACTAAGAACCATTTCGTGAAATCAGTCAAGGACATTCTTGAAGGTACTGAAGGACCGGATAATGCTGAAGATAGGAAGGCGCTCGGTACAGATCTCATGCAGAGACTTCGCGACTATGCGACGGATGAAACTGGACATCAACCTGGTCCCGAGGTATGGTTATGGAATGGAAGTGATGCAGCCAAGATTGATCACACTGTTGAACAAGCCGGAAATTATGAGAATTTGATTAAAGGGGTCCCCCCGAAGCCGGGGCAGCGTATCGTGTACGTTGACGGAGGATTTGATCTATTTTCTTCCGGACATATTGAATTCCTTCGACAGGTCTGGGACCTTGAAGAAGCCGAAGGCCGTAAGAAGGGCTGGTATGAAGAAAGTGAAAAGCAGAAGAGGATCGCCGAGCAAGGTGCCGACTATGGCCCAGCCTATATTATTGCTGGTATTCATGATGATGCAGTCATCAACCACTGGAAAGGCCTCAACTATCCCATCATGAACATATTCGAGCGAGGATTATGCGTTCTGCAATGCAAGGTATGTATGATCTAACTAATGATGTTTTGGGGGTTGCTGTACGTTCTATACATCCGCTGACTCTTATCCACTTGTAGTATATTCATACAATCATCTTTTCAACACCCTTCACCCCAACTGAATCATTCTTACGGGCAATGCCTTGGGGTGTTCCTGATGTGGTATACCATGGACCCACAACTTTTATTCCTCTAACATATGATCCGTATGTTGCCCCTAAGCAAATGGGTATCTTCAAGGAAGTCGGAAACCACCCATTTCAGCATGTGAATGCAGGCGAGATTGTCGAGAGGATCCTCAAGAGCCGTAGTGCTTACGAAGAAAGACAACGCGCAAAGTTGAAGAAGGGTGTCATTGAGCAGGACACGAGGGATAAAGAATTAGCTTCGCAAGGATCCAATCCTGGACCTTAATAGGCGCATATAGAATACCATTCCAGTAGAGTCATACATTTTTGCTATGTATATAGGCATCAAGATATGAACTAGGTTTAGTGGCTTTGAAACATTAAACATAATCATTCACAGACATTGAGTCGAGAGGTCACTATGATGACAGTCGCTAAACGTCGAAGAGCAGAGTAAGTGGCTGATTGAACCAAGTCTCGCACCGAAAAAAACACAAACGCTTTTATCTATTGCATGTACAGTAAGTATATGCTGATCACAAAAGTGGCTCGTCAAGGATATCATCAAACGCCGAATCGGAATCCCAATGCAAATCTATAAAGCAGATGCATGCAATCGCTCAGTCGAGAAAACATATGAAGGTGTCGTTAAAAAAAAAAGCTCTAGGAGCGTAAGGAAGCGCGCCGATTCGATCTAGGAGGATTGCATCTTCTCAAGTTCTTTTTGTTCGCCGAACACGCGTCGACTCATTTCGAGAACGGCCTCAAAGCCTTCGCGACCTCGTTTGGCATTTTCCCTGAATCGCTCAACGCTGGCTTCTTCTACTTTATTCTTAATCTTTTGCCACCCTGTGCAGAGCGCGGTGATGGTCGCTTCTTGTTGGAATTCGGTCTGGTTGTCTGGTGTTAAGCGGGATGGTTGGTAGGTGACCGTCTCTCGGACATTAAGAACATTGGCCCATGTGAGGTTCGTAGAGCACATGGTTACTTTCTTGGTGACTGGGTCGACGTATGAAACTTCATAAACATATGACAGCGGGCTACCTCCGAAAAGGCTCAGCACCCATTTTGGCGCAGATTGATAACAAGTTATGAGACGCTCGGTGCGCAACTAAAATGAATGATTGTTAGTGTACCATTCCTGACCGATGGAGTAGTGTATGGATAGCCTCACAATGCCCGTTGATGGTTCAATCGTCCTCGACAGGGTATCAACAGCCTTCACATGCGTCGACTTATCATTCCAGGGGCAGTATTTGCGCCAGTTTGCCGTGGAGACTTCATCCCACGAGTAGTTGAAGGTGCAGTCTGAAGAAAATACTTTCATCTTTCTTCCTTTCGCCTCCGAGAAGCACGGCAGACTCGACAGGGTGTATCAAACGATGAGCGAGAACGATGATTCACGATATCTCTCTTTGAAACGGATGGAAGTTTGCAGTTTTTAATGTTATAGCGACGGATAACGGACTTTCTCGAGTGCGAAGGTATACGGAGAAACAAATCTATCAGACTGGTGTCTAGTTAATTGAACATGATATAAGCTATAAGATGGCGAAAGTGAAGGGAATGTGGACTAGAATTCGATGGATAGAAATGATGAAAAATTATGGGTCTGGAGGACATTTTAACCTGGGCCGCTTCGGGGGGAAGGGGCGGGTCAGGGAAGGCACGAGCCAACCAGAGACGTTGCTGGCAAAATTTGCCGCTCCTGCCTTTTCGTCATTCGGCCCGTCTGATTCGCCGAGATGCGATTTTCCTCCCGAATCGTCCCGCAGTCAGAGTGCGTTTGCGTAATATTACTTAGCCAGTACGAGGTCTTGGTTGTATGCTGTGGTATTTTTGCGTATAATTTCGTATTGCAATTACCGCCGCTTACCATCAAGATCGATCTGATTCGACTCTTGACATGTGAAAGTGTGTTCCCCTAACAATTACTTCTTGACTACCACTTACGCGCCTAAAAAATTACAATATACTGCTAATTTCTAAATATATTTTACCGGCCACCAATATTATAATAGTACGGACGAATTGCAGATTCAAGACCCTGGTAAGCCAGCTGGGCTGGGCTGGGCTGGGCTGGGGGTGAGCTAATAACGCGTCTGCTGCGATGTCGCGATGACCAATCGCGCTCCCTTCCCCGTAATAACTTGTGTCGTCCTGTTTGATATCCCCTCTCCTTTTCTTGACTGACATTCACTCCCTCGTACAATCTCTACGGCGTCAAGTCCTGCACCAAGAGCGTTTTTTTCCCACTCAGTGGCCATTTAATTGATTGATTATTATTATATCAAAATGGTCGTCGAACTGAGGAAGCGCAAAGCACCCGCAGCCCAACCGGGGCCAGTGAAGAAGAAAGCAGCCACGGCCAAATCAACCAAGAAGGTTCCCAAAGCGGAAAAGGCGACTGAGGAAGTGAAGAGCAAGGACACCACCACTTCCAAAGCTGCGGTCCCGAAAGTTGGTGATGTGATCTCCTTGGAAGGTTTTGGAGGAGAATTGCAAACCCAGGACGGCGAATCGACCGCTTTACAGTCTTTGATTGCTTCGAGCAAAGCCGGCGTGGTCTTGTTTACATATCCGCGAGCATCAACACCAGGATGTAAGTTTCTAGTCTTATGAATGCGGCTCTCTGTTCGAGTAAATATGTATTTACATCACGTCTTCAGGCACCAAACAAGCTTGCATGTTCCGCGATGGATATGAGCACCTCACATCAACTGGTTTAGCAATCTACGGTCTCTCCACAGACTCTCCGAAGGCCAATACAACTTTCAAGACCAAGCAGAACCTGCCCTATCCGCTACTCTGTGATCCAAATGCCACTTTGATTGGCAGTCTGGGTCTGAAGAAGTCACCAAAGGGAACAGTGCGCGGTGTTTGCGTGATCGATAAGACGGGTAAAGTTCTGCTCTTGGAGCCTGGTAGTCCAGCTGGGACTGTTGAGGCGGTTGAAAAAATTGTGCGTGAGAATTCTGTCAAGAATGGTGACAGCGAAGACAAGAAGGAAGACCCCAAAGAGCGCGAAGATGAGAAGAAAGAATAGGCATTGTACGATGATACCCCCCCTGTGATCAGTCATATCAAGTAATCCTCATTGCCAGCTACGTCTGGCTGAACCATATGTAATCTATTAGTGGTGATGGTACGTAATAGCGTGAATGAAGTCATATTCATAAATATAATTCCAAAGTATCCCTGTTATACTCGTTTGACGTTTATGACCTGTGCAAAGGCTTCATGCTCTGGGACGGGTTCTGATATGTCGGTCCGGAAAAAAGTAATGCCAGCCCTACAGCATCGCAACCTTTCTTTCCGAGCCGATTCCACTACATACGACGTCAAGACATAGACCACACAGCTCAGCGAACTCGTAAGTGACGAAAACATTTTATATACCCAATTAAATACTCCAATTGATAACTATACTAACAGGGTCATGTAGAAAATGTCTCGAGAAGTGGCGAAAGCGGCCAAGTCCGCTACGAACGCCATTGCTGTTCACAAGGTATCACAACCTCCAGGAATTCGAATCCAGCAAGTATACTGAATGCTCTTGCAGAAATATACTGTTCAGTCGACAGGTATTTGGGAAGTAATCCGACGTGCGCTCTCCGTCGACCCCAATCGATCAACCGGTGTCCCATTGAACCCTCAATTTCGCAATCCGACACCTGGTGCTCTACCACCACAATCATACGACGACCCCGTCACACTCCCCGCGGCCGATCTAGCAGATAACCCGTACTGGAAGCGTGATGTCCGTCGCAACTATCCTCAACTCAGCGTTTTCAGCCAAGGAGATGTTGCCGGACTTTTGACGTTTGGAAATAAACAGGCACCAAAGGAAGATGCTCTTCAGGCTGGAGAGGCTGGTCAGAAGCAATTGATTGCTGTTAAGCAGGAAGCAGAGGAGAAAGGATTAGCAGCACACTTTGAAAAGGACAAGAGCAGCATCAAGAGCGTTTTGGGTCCTGATGGTTTACCGCCTCTGCCTGCTAGACTGAGCAATACATCCAAGTACGAGTTGGGATCTGGTCAGGGATATCCAGAGAAGTACGTTTCCTTTACTCTTTGCTCCACCTATGAGGACCGAAAAAGATACTAACTTGATACTTTAGATATCCATGCCGTACATTTGTCTAACTTCTCCAAAAAGATGCGGTTCCATTTGATAGTTTGTCTGGGTGCTCCGTCATTTCGCCAAGGGCCTAGAATAGATTTGTACAGCATGAATCAATTTTTCATTGTTTTTTTCTACCCGCTCCATCTATACACTCCCACTCTAGAGCGGTATACCTACGGACTTGATTTTGGTCTATGTTTACGTCGGCCACAGCCAGGTCCGTCTGGCAGCTAGACTAGGGTATTCGAATTTTGCAGCTTTACTCTTTTGACAATGCTCCCACAGGTACAGGTTACAATCTAAATATGTCGGATGCGATGATTCATATTCAACGTCAAAGCTCAATTGCCAAATTCTCAAAAGTTATTATACATCTGAAACGGATCGTTATATCCCGCCGAAGGAACCATGCCAATCATTCGAACACGGATCAATTAACGGACAGTACATGCTGAGAACCTAAATCCCTTAGTCGAAAGGGTTGGTCCGAGTTCCCCACCATGTCAAGAACAAACTGAGACCGACAGTCTCGAATACTCTGCTGACAGCACCAATAGCGACGGTATCTAAGGGACGCTTTTCAGTAATGATTTGAGAGATGAGCTGCGTGCATATTAGCGTACTGTACCGATTTTATATTGTGTGGTGGGAAAAGAAAACTTACGCCAGGAGCAGAGCTAGCAAAGAAAATCAAGGTTCCGAGATAGGCAGCTCCCTTGTAAGTCAAGGTACCGGTAGCGTTAATAAGGGCGGCAACGCCATAAGTCTGGAGAGCACTTCCGACGACAGAGCTACCCCAGGCGGCGACAGCACTGCTGGTCTCCTTAGACTTGAGGAACTCTTCCTTTGTGTTGGCGGCCTGAGCTCGGTGGTAAGCGTCGCCGAAGACAGGGGTGAGAATTCCGAGGGAGGCAGTGTGAGTGAAGACAGTGCCTAGGGCGATAGCCGAGGGCTTAACAGGAGGAAGATCTAGACCATGATTAGTTGTTGCTCTGCTTCTATATGCGATCTGGTAGAAGGACAAAACGTACAGTGCAAAGTAGCCATTGTGTAGGTGTGTTGATGATTATTATAGGAAGCTGTTAGATTGGACGATTTGATGAAGAGTAGCCGAGTAGAGAAGATGTAGCAGGGTATGTTATATGAGAGGAAAGGTCACATGGCTTATATTCTCTGCTGGCAAGAGTTCATGACGTCGCGATGACAGCCTTGTGGTGGAATATGGCCAGCCAAATCCAAGGCAATGCCTCAGGCTGAGGTCATGGTGAGATGACGTCAATCATCGCCGAAAGCATTCTGGCTATTAGCGACATGCCTAGATCAGGTAATTGTGCGCTTGATCGCAGATTATGTGGAGACCAAGATGTTGTCCTTAACCTAAATATCGTGTAACCGATCTGGGCTGGCGAATAGAAGAAGCCATCGAGACTCGATCGATCTAGAAGGGATTATTACATACGTAATGTAAATACACTATCGTGGAGATCAACGATACGCCAAACATAGTACTTACTACTTGGAAGTAGGAATGGGTGGCTTCGTCCAATAGAAATTCATAGTTACTAGTTCCCAGCCGTTTTGTCAATACAACCACGGTCCCAATAACCGTCAGGGCAAAGTCTTTCTTTTTTTTACCCCACGGTAGCAAAATCTCCTCCACGCGACAGCAGCGAAAATAGAACAAGACAGGAAAAGCTCTGGGCCGAGGGCAAATGGAGGAAACCAACCTGGCTAGCCCAGCGCAGCATCAACCCCCGAATACAACTGGCGATGCAGAGATAACGAATACGTACTCTTCCTCCACTGGCTCACCTGCAGACGACTCCGATAATTCGCAACTGCTCATCGGGGAATCGCTGATTCCTGAACGAGAGAGGAAGCATGCCGGCACCACCGTCGTCACAATTGATGGTTTGCTAAAAGACCCGCTACGCCTCAAGGAAGACTTGAAAAACGGTTGTGGCGGGCAACTATGGCCAGCGGGCTTGTTGCTGTCGAGATACATGCTGGAGGAACATGCCACCGATCTCGTTGGTAAGACTATGTTTGTGCTTCCCCCATTCCAGTCCTGACATGGAGAGAAAAGCTCTGTGGTCGATATACAAGAATCATGATCGAATCTCTTGACTGACCAAACAATAGAGTGGAGATAGGAGCAGGTGGTGGTCTGGTCGGCTTAGCTGTCGCACGAGGCTGCCAAACCGATAAACCCATATATATCACCGACCAAGAACCAATGATGCAGTTAATGCGGGACAATATCTCACTGAATGACCTCTCGATGAAAGTCAAACCCGCTCTACTAGACTGGGCCAGGCCGCCGCCGGCAGAGATACCGGAACATCCTGAACTTGTGCTCGCCGCAGACTGCGTGTACTTCGAGCCAGCCTTCCCTTTGCTGATATCTACGCTACAGAGACTGCTGGGGCCAGACACGATATGCTACTTCTGTTTTAAACGGAGGCGACGCGCTGATCTTCGCTGTATTAAGATGATCAAGAAATTATTCCACGTGACCGAGATCACCAAGTTTTCCACCTGCGATGGATACAACAGGGAGAACCTCTTTTTATACAAGATTCAGTCACGACAACACAGGGATTAGAACCTGAATAAAGGAATAGAGGCCTTAAAAAAATAAATAAATAAAGCGTAAAGTGAAGACGCTGAAAATTGTATTATATCATTCCAGAACACAACCTATAGTTTTAAGCTATCACTTTGAGTCGCCGCCGCATTGCCAGATTTTCGGCGCTCATTGAGAGACTGCAATTCGCCCCCTTGCCCAACCATCTGCACACCACCCTTTTTGAGATCAGATAAAATCTGTTGCCCTTCATCCGTCTTCTTCTGTTTACCGGGTTGTTGCGAGGTAGCCTTGAATTTCTTCTTTTCGTTGCGTCTCCTCCGAGATTTCTCTTCGCGGCTCATTTCATCCTTGGCAACAGATACACCATTCTTCAGGACAACTTCTCCACCAAGGCCGCCAGCATCCTTGGGATTATATACTTCTTGAGGAGCCAGAGTACCTTGCTCCCCGACAATTGCGGCGCCACCAGGACGCGCGTCTTCCATCATCACGGTAGCGACATCTGTAATGACATTGATGTTGGGTTGTGGGACGCTAGGCTTATAGTGCCAGTTAGATAATGCATCAAGCTGAGAGCTAGTGCTCTTCCAAAGCTGCGCAATCTCGGCGTGCTCTCGCTTGAGCTTCTCATTCTTCTGATCCACATACGATGGGTCAGTTGCTCGTAGGTGTTCGTTCTCGTACAGCTCAGCAAGACTCTGTTGGGGTTTCGTTTGGTCAACTTCAACACGTCCTCGGCTGATATCATGCTGTCTGATGGAGTCGGGTAAGCGTCGAACAACTTCATCAAACTCTTTAGCAATGATCCTGCGCTTGATGAGCTGTTCAATCTCCTCCGAGGTCTCATTGGTAACGACGGGCACCGGTTTACCGACACGTTCAAATTCGAGGTCTTCCTCAATAAGTGAATTGAGGGGCCGCTGTGTCCCCTTGGCCTCACCAGCGAGCATCCACTCCTTTTTCGCAACATTGGCCATTTCCAGTCGACGAATTTCATCGGCTATTTTCGCTTTTTGCTTTTCATGCGTTGAGCGCCCTCCCTCCGTCTCACCAGCCCCCATGTCCACATCAGAGTCTGCTTCATCTGAAAAGTCCTCGAACAAATCACGACGGACGTCGGAAATGGCGCGTTCGACGTCATCATCAGTAGGTGCTGCTGCTGTTGGTTGTGTCTTTGGAAGGGGTCTGGCCTTCTTTTTAGAGGCTTTGCGAGGCGGTGGAGCGAAGAAGTCGTCGTACTTGATGTCATTGGTGTCTAGCCAGTCCGCATTGTTTTGTAATTCTTCATCTCTGTCATCTTCTCCAAACCCGGCATCATCAAAGGTGGGACCTGCATCACTATCTTCACTATCCTCAATCTCATCTTTTTCCATGGCTGATCTGCCCGATTTGGTTGGTCGGGTGCTAAGTGCTGTTACTGACGTTGGATCGGCGTGCCAGTCAATCTCTTCCCCATCGCTGAGTTCATCTTGATCACCCCTCTCATCCATCCTCTCGAAATATTCCGTTTGCTTGTTAAAGTCGTCAATTGAAAAGAACCCATCATTCAGCCCGAACCGATCTTCGACGTATGTCTCCGAAATTGCGTCTTCGGATGCTGAAGGGTTCGCGTTTGACTCGTCCTCCAGTCCATTATCAGATCCCTCCTCTCCGTCGTCGTCCTCCTCCTCCATATCTTCCATGTCCACAGATTCTAGATCGGAATCCTCGGCGTCAAACTGTGATCCGAGATCTGATTGGCTATCTTCGTCTTCGAGCGAGTTATCGTCTTGGTCAGACGCGATAGAACGCGGTGAATGGAGTCTTTTCTTGCTACCACTCTTTTGCAGAGACTTTGCAGTCTCTTCTATATCATGGCTCAACTGGTCATTCGACTCGTCAATAATTCTCACAGCCTGTTCCCACACCTGGCCAACGGAAAAACCATCAAGATGGAGCTTTTGTACGCGGAACCGGTATTTGGGCGTATACTTCTTGTCTCTTCGTGCGTTCTTCTGGGATTTATTCTGTCCGTCTTGAAACGTCGCCAGGCTTGCTGCGAGAGGGTCGAGGAAATTTTTCGTCGCGAGTCGCGAAGTAAGGTGCAATTCGTTGCTGGGAACCAGGAAACCATGCGGCGAGCCAGAAATCGTGTCGCATAATGAGGAGGCATCCATGGTTGCTTGAAAGCAACGAAGACACAATCTGTGCTGATGTTTTCCAAATGGATGCGCTGTGTAATTGGAAATAATCTGCTCCGTAAAAGACTATAAGACGAGCGAACATTTCTAACAAGATAGAAGAAAAAAAGTTTATGGTACGATTAGTACGGTAATCCGTATTTTTTTTTGCGGCTCCACACCGCGCTTCCGGCGGGTGTTTGGCAGCCGCGCTGTGGCGGTGCGCCGTTTGATCGCCTCATCGCTTTCTCAGCCTTCATCACCAAGTTCTGGATCTCGAACTAGATACTCGTGGACTGCTTTGGTCACGGAGTACTCGGAAGAGATTGGCTCATCGGCTGCCCTCGGTTTATGGGAACATTATGAGCGAACGTGGAACTACTCAGGCAGGATACCGTCCGATGATAGAGGGGTCGAATGAAATCATAGCGTTTGTACGAGGTTCGTCGTGCCATTCGTTCAGTTACAGCAGCATGAGATCAAGCTTTCTTCTACAATCGTCGAAGTAGGCCGAATCCTAACTCATCATGTCTTGCAGGTGCCTTGTCATCAAGGCCAGGCGCACTCTCAATTACTAGCAGATCAAGTGACAAACGAAGCTGTATATATTGTTCTGAGTCATTTCCATTCCCGGCAAGATAAAATATGCTCTAGCTTGATGTGTGGCGACTTGGTTGTTTTGCAAGTTTCGAGGCTTGAAGCAGGAAACGTCACCGTGACGCTGTGTATTCCCAGCACATTGTATATATTGACATCTCAGCGCTTCTTTTCCAAAACTCAATAAACTAACACTTAATTCTCTATCCGAGTGTCCTAATATCACACAGACACTTTCTAGAGAGCAGCCAACATGACTGACAAGTCCCAATTTGAATTTGGTATGATTGACTACCCCTGCAGATTTGAAGGATGACAAGCTCACATTGATTCGCCTTGGTAAAGGCCACCAGATCCCTGTCCACCACCAGGATAGGCCAGGATTCCAGCATAAGATCCCTGATCCAAAGCCAGTTTCCGATAAGCTTCCCACAGAGGACGGCGGGTATCAGTTGTACAAGGCAGCAGGCAAACTGCAAGGCAAGCGTGCCGTGATTACAGGAGGAGACTCTGGCATTGGAAGGGCTGTTGCTATTCTCTACGCAATGGAGGGAGCCTCAAGCCTAATCGCCTACCTCGACTCCGAGGAGAAAGACGCACAAGAAACGAAAAAAGAAGTCGAGAAATACGGAGCTAAATGCTTCCTCTTCCCCACTGATCTGCGCAAAAGAGAAAACTGCAAAGCAGTCATTGACAAGGCCGTCGAGCAACTTGGCGGTATCGATATTTTGGTAAACAATGCTGCTTTTCAGAAAATGCTTCCAGATATTAAGGACCTTTCCGAGTACGTATTGTCATCACCTAAGACGTCTCGGAAGAACCTCCTAACTTACATTTGACCATAGGGAGCAATGGTTGAACACTTTCAACACAAATATTCATCCTTACTTCTTCCTCGCCAAATATGCATTGCCACACCTCAAACGAGGCTCAACCATCATCAATTGTGCTTCAGTGAACCCCTACGTTGGACGAGGAGATCTACTTGACTACACTTCTAGCAAAGGTGCCATTGTCGCATTCACAAGAGCATTGTCTAACCAGCAAGTCGGCAAAGGCATCCGAGTCAATGCCGTTTGTCCTGGTCCGAGTATGCACAACCCTTTACCGCCTATTCTCATAATAGTCGCATTGCTAACATTCACCTTAGTTTGGACGCCTTTGATTCCATCTACAATGACGACAGAAGCGATGGAGCAGTTCAGCGGTGTCCCTATGGGTCGCCCGGGACAGCCCAGCGAGGTGGCCACCTGCTTCGTGTTCCTCGCAAGTCAAGATAGCAGCTATATGTCTGGACAGTCTTTGCACCCCAATGGAGGTGTGGTTGTTGGTAGCTAGATTACTTGAAAGCAGACAATTACATGTACAAAGTGATGTGAAAATACAAATCACATAATCAGCCGACGTCAGATTCGAGTCCGAACGTAACCCGCTTCACGTAGAAGGTATTGAAATTCAACATAGGAACATGGATCAAAAAGATTGTCTTTGTCACCTATTGATGGTAAGAAATCAATGTAATGTACAGCTCAAAGTCTGGCCATTTTGAGAAAAAAGCATCTATAAGACTACACAAATCGCAAGCTTAACACAAAGGAAAGACCAGTCTATCGCCGATACCACATGCGTGTGATTTTGGTGTGTCGCATCTTCTTTTGAAGTTGGAAAATGCCGTACATAAGAGCTTCGGAGGTTGGGGGACCTTTCAAGTGACGTTCGATTAGAATCAACGACAACTTCAACATCAGAAGTATATCAAACTTACAGCCAGGCACATAGATATCCACGGGAACGATTCTGTCACAGCCACGGACAACAGAGTAGCTGTAATGATAATATCCACCACCATTGGCGCAACTTCCCATACTAATAACCCAACGAGGATCAGGCATCTGATCGTAAACCTGTCGCAGAGCGGGGGCCATCTTATTTGTCAAAGTGCCAGCAACGATCATGACATCGGACTGTCGCGGAGAAGCTCGAAAGATAATTCCAAGACGATCTTGATCGTAACGAGGAGTAGATAGATGCATCATCTCGACGGCGCAGCAAGCCAAACCGAATGTCATGGGCCACAACGAGCTCTGGCGAGCCCAGTTCGCAATCTGATCGAGTGTAGTCCTTTGCAATCCCTGTTAGCAATCCTGGCTCGTCTTAACCCCTCAGATGAATATCATGGCTCGAGCACTTACAATGCATATTGCATTGCACCTTCCTTCTTCTCCTGGCTAGGCAAAGGAACCTCACGGCGGACCTTTCCCGATGCTGTCAAAGATGATGACGGCTCCGATTGTCGTTCAATGGCACTCGCAGGCATCGCTGCGGAGCGAGAGATCCATGCTCGACGTTCCAGTTGCTTGGTAATGCCAACCGAGTGGGATAGAGATGCTACTGTGAGTGAGCGAGAATTCACATAGGAGGAGTGGCAAGATGAGGAAACTCACGGCGAATGCGCCCAGCTCGAGCAAGAGTATTCATTTTCAGGGGTCTGGAGAATTGCAACTATCCAATTACTTCCAGACAGGATATAGGAACAGCGCACACCCTGTATCCGAAGGCGCCCGAGACAAGTCGCTGGGGAGATTGGTTACGGTATCTCGGGATTGAGAGGTTGAAGATCTGTAGCGTGTGGCGGCGTGGCTCGGGCGGGTTGCAACTCGTCAATAGTAATACTGTAATTTACACATAGCTTGCGGTACTCACTGTACACCCTAGGTATTGTAATTACTGGAAGCTTCATCTACCTTTCCTTTGGTATCAGACACTAACTAAACATCTCTCTCGTATTAATTGTCAAGCATCATCTTACCTGCAATGGCCCAACCCTCTATTGCCTGCATCGCTTTCGTCGCGAAGAATGTGAGATAATGAAGACACCAGGCAAAGACAAAACCAATGAGCACTCCGGCAACTAACTTTTGCATATACAGGATCATCCTCTCCATGTGACAGTATTCCCGCCTTTTCGCGAATCTCGCTTGAGGTTCTTAATCCTCATAAACTCATGTCTGGATATCTTCGATTTACGCGCCAGGAACACCTTTATAGATCAAGATTTAGGCCTCCTGCAGGCTCTAGATGAGCGATTGGCGGTTTACGGATGGCTGACCAACACCGGGGTCAAGATCTTGATCATTGTTGACTTAGCCGGTCGGCACGTCGACGGCACCGCTCAGAAACAGAATATTACCCCCGTAACAGGAATAAAGCATTCAGATCTCAAGCCTGTATGTACTGAAGGGATACGCAGTTTGCAACTGTTACTAATCTATGGATGACAACACCAGGCGTTCAGAGCTCTACAAACTGCATATATTGGCCTACTTCAGAATCCTTTCTACAACCCAGATGATCAAAATGGGATCTCTCAGGTCGAAACAACAACTGACGCTCCATTGGGTATAAATGACAAGAAATTCATAGCCGAGGTCAAACGAATCGGTGATATGTGGTCGCCTAGTCTTACGATCATCTGATTGCTATTTCGGACCGCAATCAGAATGAAGCTATAAAAGACCTTGAGACATACTCAGGCTACCCGTTTAGCCTACTGCTATCAATATCCCATTTTACTACGGCACAGGCAACTTATCATCCATTATCATCAGCCCGAGCTGTGCACGCGGTGGAGACCCCATACACCAGGGTCGAGCTGCTCAATACACCATTTTCAGTTCTAGACTGCGCTCTCCCGGTCTTATGCCTTTGTCAACACGGAGGGTCATAGTATGTGGTAGGTGGATTAAAGGGGAGTGACCATATTATGTAGTATCGGTGACGCAGTAGAGAGATCGTGATATTAGTTGTCTTGACTGGTGTTTACTCAAAGCCCCGAACAGCTGAGTCATTCTTGGGACATATGAATGGCAATGAGATTTTCATAGAACTTGGTAACATGCTACGCTTCCATAAAGACAATCAAACATATTTATCGATGCCAATAGTCGCAGAAACTGACCCTTTTTTCTCTTTGGCTTGTTAATCAAAATCTAAGGGGCCTCCGTTTCACATTTGTCAAGAGATTGCAAGGTATCCTCCACATCTCTTGGGTCACATATGGCCCAGACTCCTCCACCTCTAGCCGAGGTTCGGCCAACTTCTTTACCTACTAAGTTCCTCCCAACCTTCCCTGGACCAATTCCTAGCCATCTCTTGACACCTCGTTCTTGATGCAGGTATCTGATACTGTCCCACCATCTTACTGTTTCAACGCATTGCCTAGATAGCAGGTCCTTGAGGTCTTCCTTTGATTTGAAGGGAGTCGCAGTGACGTTAGAAACACAAAGTATGGCCGTTGGAAAGGTAATATCGGTTATCTCCAAACGTGTACGCATATAGCGGGCGGCAGGAGTCATGATCGGACTATGAAAAGGACTATCGCTATTCAACCTCACAGCACGTGGATCATGGCCACCAAATTGCCGAATTTGAACAAGGAGCGTCTTGATCCTTTCCAGACTTCCACTGAGGACTATCTGGTTCTTAGAGTTGACGTTGGCGATGAGCACTTGGCCTATTGAGGCCATTTCATAACTAGAATCATCCCTAGAGCCCGCTGACCCAGGTCCAAGGAACTCTTGTATTGCTGCAATAAGTGCGGGTAGGCGATCTGCTTCGCAGATCAATGCAACCATTCCGTAACTTTCGCCGGATTTCTGTTGAGCCCTGCGAGTACACTCGGCCATAACTTCTGCACGTCCACGGACCATTTCGAGTGCGGATGCAAATTGTAGATACCCTCCAGCAACCAAAGCAGCGTACTCTCCCAAGCTATGCCCAAGAGTTACATCAACACGGTCCTGTGTTTGGAACCCAAACTCTTGTTCTAGTATCCGGAGAATCAATATCGAGGTTGCCATCACCGATGGTTGTGAATTTGCCGTCATATTCAGTTCCGAACTTGGACCCTCCGCTATCAAACGAGACAGTCGAAAGCCCATTGTACTGTCCATTTCATCAAGGAAAGGTCGCGCTGTTCTGGGGAATGCTTCTAACCAGGGTGTTATCATGCCAACACGTTGAACTCCGTGGCCTATGCACAGTCAGAATGGCCTCGCATGCCATATATACTAGCAGCATACTGACCGGGGAAAAAGAGGGCAGTACGTAGAGATAGGTCAGCGGACTTCGTAGCGAACAACCTGCGAATAGCGTTTCGAGTACACATAGCGGGAGAAGGAACTGGAAACATGATGGATTGATGCTAAAGCCCGCCTCATTGTAATATCGTTGGACTATCTGTTTGACTAGCACAATGCGCCCATATTTCTGAGAGCCGAAGGCATTATTGAGACGAACATGAAGTTGTTCACTGCATCAGGAGGGGAAGCTCTTTCGCAAACGGTCAGTTGTTCTTCTAGCGTCTGTCATTCCGGTTAGTTTCGATGGCATCAAGCAAATCCGATGTGACATAGTATAATGGTGTAATGGTATACTCACAAATAACTAATCCGTACAAATTGTACTATCGGGTTGGTGGTAACTAATAGCAAGTGCTGTTTGTTCATGTTTGTACGCGACGGACCGATAGCCGAACTAGCGTGCAGCCTAAGGCTCCAAGGCAGACCTGAGGGAGCTCCGGTCTTGGCGGTGACGGCTTTATACGCACTAGAGCAGATTAGACAAACCTCAGCAAGCAACTTCTCAAGAATACAAACATCTGTTAGCTTCACGACTTCAACACTGGTTTTTTGATAGGACATTTTATCAACTTGCTTCTCGTTTTAATCATTTTTACCTTACTCACGCGAACGTACACGATCGACATTAAGCCTTCTATCGCGACTCTCGAGAATTGAATCCAGTTGCCAGTCAATGCGTCGCTGATTATTACATGTTGAATTCAAATCATTAAGCATGTTTGCGCCGGGGTCCGGAGGCCAGGATGCCAGCTCCTTGCGCACTTCGCGACGACGCCAGAGAACAAGTCTCGAAGACTCTGCGAAGCCCCCAGCTGCAAAACGCCAGCGATCTACGTTACGACAAGAGTATCGACCTTCGGTAAACAAAGCGGTTAAACCCGACGAGGAGCGTGAGATCAAACCAGGTGCTACCATACAAAGCCATAGACTCGAGACAGGGTCCCAACAAGAGCGGGTCCTTCCAATTCGAGGCTCAGAGAAAACTAGCAAAGCAGTGTCCCAAACTGATCACACCGTTGTCTTGGTATGCCATGATCATTATCCCAGGGGTTAATCATACATGCGAGCTAACTCCGTCTAATAGTGCTCAAACGAATACTACACTATCACACAGCTCGCATCTGGATCAGACCAACCTGGTGAGACAACTACTGGTAAGCTAGAAGCTCGATATGACTGGATCTACTGTGACACGTGCAATTCCTAATCTGAGGCAAATTCTAGGTCCTGCACGATGCATCTTCAATTCTGAGAGCGGCTTTGCACTTCTGCTAAGCGAATCACGGGCTCTGATCTGGCCATACCTTACCAATGTTTCCTTACAGGGGGATGGTGGACTTCTTTCAGTAGCAATGCCGGAATGGTGTACAAGTGATGGCGAAGCGCTGATGGGAACGCTAATATTGAACACTACCTGTACAGTTCCGGGCCTCTTCATTGTAGTACCAGCTACCGGCAAAATGGTATATTGGGAGACTGCCTCAAACGCGACGTTCATGGGTATTGCCAAACAAAAACAAAGCGGCCTTCAGGGATCCATCTCTGGTCTCTTCTTCGGAGAAAAAGTCACCGATGTCACTAACGCCGAGCCATCTGGCGTTATCACAACGTTTTCCAGTGGTAGAGTCGCGCAAATCACATTCCGAGACCCTCAAGGAAAACCCGCCTTATCTGTGAATTTCCTACAGAGTACGGCGAAACTTGGGGCCGGGGGACTTTTCTTTGGCATTCGAAGCGTTCTGGGCAGCTCGGGATGGCGCAAAGATACTGCTGCGGTTAGGGCAGGGAACTCATTGTTTCGGGGTCAACGAGATGTCCTCGTTCTATCCACGTCCGGCTTGCTAGAGATATGGGATTCTCACTGGAATGGTGTCAATAAAGTACGCGCTGAGATTGACTTGCAGAAAGAAATATGCTCCTACTTAGGGTTAGGGGTTAACGGAAAAGTCGAAAGCTCCCTCAAAGTACATGATTTTGTCGCTTCTTTCAGGGAAATAAAACCAACTTCAAACTCCAATGATGGCCACAAGGAGACAACACTATTTGTTCTTATCGATCTGTCTTACAACACAGCCAAGAAGAACCTCGCAGTTATCAAAGCACAACTATACAATGACAATATGAAAATCTTGTCCTCGAATATGCTGGAGCACATGATATCCAATCATGATTTTGAGAAGCAGAAACCCCGGCTACATGTAACGGATTCCTGGGATACAGCTTTCATTCTCATAGGACAGAAATTGTGGATCATGTCACTTCAGGAGATAGAGACGACCCCTTCTGTTCAGCTTCTCAATGGAGTTATTCCCAAGCCGTTTCAAGATCGAATTCAATTTCAGGAGGGTGACAAATACGAGATACTTGGAATGGGGTCTGAGGAGGCATCTTCCGAAACACAACACTCAGACTGTATCCTCATGATCCGTGGCTTTGGTCTGATACGTATTTCTGCTACGTCATCCGGTTCAGACACTACTGAGTATGTTCGCGTAACTGCTAAACAGAAACTTGAACAGGCTGTTTTCTTTGGTACCATGCCCAACACACCGCTCAGTTTTAGCAGTGATGGAGAGCCGGCATTCACCGTGCAGGAGTTCGAGGAGGCCGCGCTACAAATATGCAGTGATATCCTTCGCTCTACTTCTCAATACATCCCCGGGGGAGGTATTGCACTAGACCAAACTCTCCGTCGACGCTCAAAAGCTTTGAGTGATCTCACGACAGAGTTGATTCGCCGCAGAATACCATTGTCAAAGAACGTACGATGGGAGTTGATATGGGCTGGCGAAAAGCTAGCGGCTCAAAGGTCCATGTGGAAATTAGAGGAGGATTTTCGTGATCGATGGGATTCCGAAACTTTCCTATCCCGCGTTATTAGCTCGATGAGTAACAAATTCAAAACGGAGTACGTGCCCTCTGACTCTAACAAACAAAATGACCATGTACGCCAATGGTTTGATTGTGATACTTTCCAAATGCAGCACATTATTCCATGGATTTTCAATGCGATCCGTGGAATGAAAGGACCCTCGGGTCGTGCCGGTCCCGAGTTTCTCTCCCAAGTATACCAAGCTAGTGAGTTAACACTCGCAGTTCTCGAAACGGCATACCAATTCAGAGAAGATCATGCGCGGCAATTTGGGTTTGAGGAGGAGGACTTTGAGAAAGGGGTATTACAGGGATCGTACTCTGAAATTCCTGAGTTCTGGACGTCGGAAAACATGGTGTACAATGAAACCCTCCATATGTTAGATCTGGAGCTCGAGAGCCCAAAATGGATTCACCAATCAGCGTCCAAGATGTTCGTGGAAGATCGTGACATGCTTGCGAGTATTGGGAAAAACAGCTGTCGCAGGCTTCGCGTTCTCAATATGATGCTCACTGAAAGAGTCCATTGGCTATATTCACAGAGTGACCCGAAATCAATGGATGAAGCCAACGCCCTGAAAGAGTTGAGTCTCAAACAGCGAAAGTGGCAATTATACAAGATGGGTGGGATCGGACAACTCCAGGGGGCAATTGAATTAGCAGAGGAGTTTCGCGATTTGGAGGCATTGGTCGAACTTATGGTAGAGCTTCAATACTTAGTCAGAGACAAGAGTGGCTCGGTAGAAGGGACGGTTACTACCAACTCTTCGACGGTGCGTGATGAAGCTGGATACAAGAAAAAGATTGCAGGCTATTTCGAATACTTCGGGGAGCCATTCGCGGACGCCTTTTTCTCACGATACATCAACATCCATCAGCCCGGGGCGTTATTAACGATGAAAGATTTTCAGAGCTCTCTCACGAAATTTCTAAGAAAAAACCCTTCATACGCCCCACTGTCTTGGGTCAATGATATCATTGGCGAGGAAGACTATGAAACGGCATCGTCTGCTCTTGAAAAGCTTGCTTTTACTCGCGATGACAACTTGTGGGATCAACGAGTCCAACTCTCCTTATCAAAGATAACGAGGTTGGCATCCTTGGAAGGGAACAGTGTGCGCAACGACAGGGCACTTCACAAGCTTCGAGAGCTTGATGACCGATTAGAGATGGGCACCTTGCAGGAACGTGTATATGAATATGTGTTGCCGGCCTTACATAGTGCAATTGATGAAAAGGCCGAAGTGGAACTAGCACTGGAACAGTTTGGGGGCCGAATCATCAATCAGCCTGCGTTCAAGGATCTTGTTGAGGAGTTGTTGCAACGTTTGATACGTCGACAATCTCTTGACGCTGATCAACTTATCAATCTTCTCACTCTGATCGACGAGGTCCATTTCCTGGAAGGGGATGACAACGTGGTCTGCGGGCATGAGTTCTACATCGCTATTCGTGTGCTCCGCTTAAGTGGTTACGCGTTAAGTGACCCCACTCGATACGACTTCCTGCACAAATTGATATGGAGGAGGTGTTTTCTTCGAGATGATTGGAACAGCATTGCAAAAACCGAATTCCGCTCGGATGGAAGGAACAAATCTCTGTTCCTTGACACGACGCTTGCGAGAACATTGCTGGATTGTATTCGGGAAGGTAAGTTGGACCGATTATAACCTTGATCAATTTCAGGCCAGAAGCTTATAAGACAACAGAAAATCATTGGGGAAAAAGTCGAGGAGAGCTATATCTTATTCCAGATCCGTCAGATACTTTGAGTCTTGGATCCCTGGAGCTTATCAAGAGTCGTTTCCGATCTGGGCAGTGGCCTCACATTGAACGTGACCTTCGTACTGAGGTCGGGCTACTGGAGCGTCTACTGGAAAATACAAAGCTAAAAGAGTGGTTTTCTGGACTCATGTTGCTCGCTGAGGAGGTTGTGGCTGAAACCAACGACCTAGAAGCGGGACAGATGGTGGTGCCTGGGTCTTTGAAAGCCAGATTCAACTGGGTGTCATAGGCATGCAGCATTTGATCGCTATCGTGTTTCCTTTGTCAACTCTGTTCTCCTGATACACATGGATGGTTTGGAGGCAGGGACGGTGGGCAGTTAATGTACTTTAGCTCTTGTCGTAAGAATCAAGAAGTAGTGGGCGCGTTCACGCAAAGGATCCTACGAATCCGATATTACCCCAACATTGCAGTCAGTTGATGGACGTACGGCGGAGACCGTTGAAGCCAAAACAGCGCTCGTGAGCGAGTCATTCTTTCCCGCAATTCCAGAAGCCGATTTGGCGGATATTGATAGCACCGTGTATCCTAAACAACTACCATTCCCAGAAATTACACGCCATGAGATTGAGCAAGTAGTTTGTTTGGCATCACCAGACAAAGCACCCAGCGAGGATTCCATTCCTAACAACTTCTAGCATAAAATCGTTAGTGTGCCTATGGTACTTAACACGCTTTATAAGATCTAAAATGCCTGCATACAAATAGGCTACAACCCATCACACTTTTAACGCTTAATCACGGTAGTGCTCCGCAAGAGTGGCACTAATCGAGACTAGTAGTAGTAGTAGTAGTAGTAGTAGTAGATTTGATATACCTGCTGTAGCTAGCCACGGTCTAAAGAGCCGCTATCCAGGTTTGTGCCTAAGCCTGCAGGCACCAAGAAATCCGCAGCACAGCCACGAGTGGTGCGCCATAAGGGCGTGCCACAGAGAACGGAAGCTAAGGAAACAAGACTAACAAATGCAAACATATCAAACAAATAAAATAAATAACCAATTCACTTCAAAACCACATATCCTCATATCTTTCAACCCACACATCTTCGCACTCATGACATACAAACTGTACGGTTTTCTCATATTCCAACTATTCTATAGAACTCACAAATCTCACCCTTCGCAAATCCGACCCTTATGTCCCCTACTAGCATCCCTGTTGGCTAGCTCCGAATCCCTCGATCCAAGGCTCGTGTTCGTGTCAATATTGGTCATTACTGATAATGAGGCTGACCTAGAGCGCCTGTCATCTTCTTGTGCATTCGTACGTGTTCCAACGTCAGTGTCCTTGTCATTTGCAAGCGCTGATTGAGCTGCTGTTTCTGCGCTTTCATACATGCTTATTGCTTCTGGATCTGTCACATGGAATTAGTCTAACACTTGCAGATCAATGATAAATTATGCGATTGTGACCGCAGCTGTCTTTTCGCTGAGCAGCTTTTGCAAATTGTTTGTTCCAGGTGTCTTTTGCCGCCTGCAGAGCCTCCTTGTCTCCTAGTAGAGCCTCTATTTGCTAGCCTGTGACTTCTTTCCTTGTGGGCTCTGTAATCGCCGTTACCCTCCGCCCAGCTTGCCCAGATCATAACATGATCCGACGTGTAAGCCTTTGGCCTTCGATTTCCCATCCAGATAAGGCCCGAGGGCTTGATTACTGATTGTGAGATCAATAATTGAGACCCTAGGCTCAGCAGTTTCATTCCCTAATGATGCTGTAGAACCTCTAGACTTATAAGGCCTTGTTGGCTCGTCAGGGTTATTATTGATAAAGAGGTTATACCTCATTATTAGGTCCTCCAGGGATCTCGCGTTGACCCTCTGGTTGATGTGAGTATTCCACATCGGGCTATGCGCATTGAAATCTCCAAGAATGAGACATCGGCCCTCTAAAATTAGTCCCCAATCAAGATCTGAAAGGGCTCTTCTTGTAAGTAGGCTCTCTCCTGAGTATGTATGACGTGCTCCTAGCCAGTTGTCATAGCAGTTCACTATCCTCGTACGCCTCCCCTGTTCCAGCACGTCAACCACCATAAAATATGGATGGTTAGCTAGATCTGTACGCGCCTCCACTACTATTTCTCTTAATAAATCTCTCCGAATCGCTGTCACTACCCGAGCATGTTCTCGAGGACCCTCAGGCCAGTAGAACAGAAAACCAGGATGGCTTATCTGGTATTTTCCACGTACTGGGGGTTCCTGGAGACAGGCTATCCCAGCACCAGCCTGTAGTGCTGCTTCTAGGGCTGTATGCATTACAGCGCCTGTACGGGCACAATTGTGTTGTAACAGTATCATAGCTCCTCGCTCTGAGGCGCTTCGGTGGCTGGGGTAGGCTCTAGCTCTGACTCGTGAACATCAGCCTCTAATTGCATCACAGGTAGCAAATCTCCTTCGTTCTCTCGAGTCAGTGTCTCTTCCTCTGGAGGCTGTTCAGATCTCTCCTCTAGGGTCAGTACTGGTCTTGGAGGGAGTACCGCGAATGTCTCATCCGATGGGATGAGGTCTTGTAAGGATCGTTCCCTCATTCTCCGGATAGCCCTTTGACGAGCCTCTCTAGCTCTAGGACACTTAGCAGATGTGGCCTCGTGTGCACCTTCGCAGTTGACGCACTTGATCACCGTGTGTTGGCAAGGTTTGGCTGGGCCAACCCTACAATCCACTACTGTACATGAGTGCTCTATCGCCTCATGGTCACCTGCGCAGATCGCGCATCTAGGAGGCCTGCCACCACAAGCCATGAAGCCGGAGTGGCCGATTCCGCAGCATCGAGGGCAGATACTCTCAGGATTTGACTCCCAATAAGGTGCTACTCGATGGTGCCGGCCACCAAACTTGATGCCTTTATTGATCAGTGTTCGAGCTTCCTCTAAGGAACCTACTGTGATCACAATCGTGGCAAATCTCTAGTTGCTAGCCTGTATAGTCTTAGCTCTCTTGAGCCACGTTGGCTCTCGTTTAAGCCTATATGGTGTTCCTAGCTCAATCTCTTCTTGGGCCAGTGCTAGGCCTCGGTCATTATATATATAGCGGTCCACAGGCACTGCCTGTACCTTAACACGGTGTCACTGTTCGCTAATCTCCACAGAAATAACTGCCGGGTCTGTTTGCCTTACAGCGGCTAGTAGAGTATCATTGTAGACGGGCACGAGGGTGCTGCTGCGAGTGCCTCGCTCTAGGAGCACTGTCAAGGCCCCTGAGGCTGCGTATCCAGAATCGACCGCTCTTACAAAGTCAGGAAAACCTGCCTTAGCAAGGGCACGGTTAAGGGCTAAGAGGATATCGGCTTTCAATGGGCTTGCACGGAAGCAAGAAGAGCTGCAGTATCTGAATGGGCTCGAATCAACGCTGTACGAGGCAGGCATAGAGACGGACGTGTCTACAAGATGCCTCGAGGCTGGAACCTTGACCCAGTGGCGGGAAAAGCCCCAAAAAGACTGGCTAGTCGTTACTACCAGCTGAAGACAGGACATGCTCCAATCGGCACCTATCTACACCGGATAGGCCGACGGGAATCGCCTGAGTGTCAGGCTTGCAAGGAGCCTCATGAGACAGTGAGGCATGTGCTTTTTGGATGTCGAGGACGCCGTACAGGACGGAGGGCTTTATATCGAGCACTCGAGAAAGCTGGAGTGCCGCTGCCTACAGCGGCTGAGGAAAGTCCTGAGGCTAGGCTATTTGCTGAGCCTATAGTGACGCAGGGTTTGCTGCAATTCATGGCTGAAGCTAACCTGTTTAATGATAATGAGCGGACAGCCAGAGAGGCTGAGTCTAGCGATGCGTGGGGGTGGGATACGTTGGAGGAAGGTGGCCCAGGTGTCACATTGGAGGATGAATAGGGATAAGGGCACACTAGTCAGGGTTTGTACGGACTAGGCGTGCCCACGGGTTTGGAACTATAAGGGATCTCCGGAAGGATTAGCCTAGGGAGAGTGCCCAAAGGTCCCTGGCATATCGGCGATATGGGGACGAGATAGTGATTTTGAATGTTGCATGTATGATTCTGATAGGGGTGAGGCCGATAGGGCGTCACCAAGACTTCCAGTGGTCTGTCATAGCCAGTAGGGCTGGGTACGGACAATAAACTTGATTAATAATAATAATAATCTTCTGCAACCTTTAGGACCTGCTCGAGGTACTCTGCCGCCTCAACTAATGAACAGCTATCCCTGAAGACGCCACTTAAAGGTGCCTATTATGTCCCTAGCGATATCCTTACCCAGCCCAAAGGTCCCTGGCATATCGGCCACATGGGGACGAGATAGTGATTTATTTTGAATTTTTGTATGTATGATTCTGATAGGGGTGAGGCCTTTAGGGTCTCACCAAGGCTTCCAGAGGTCTGTCATAGCCAATAGGGCTGGGTACGGACAATAAACTTGATTAATAATAATAATAATAATAATATCCTTACCCAGCTCTTTAGGCACTCCGTTATCTCCACCATTGCCGCCCCTAGACTGACCCTTTCAGGTGCAATTGTGTGCTTGGCACCAGAAAATACCTATTCTGGCCCTGCTGATATAGGTGCGATTGTAAAAATAGTAATAGCCATTTGTGTGAGGTTTGGGTAGATAGTCTGGTGCACTAGTTCAAGCCACCATTTAAGCGCTGTTTGCTGGGTTCCAATCAGAATAGTGGTGCCTTTAATGAAGTCATCGAATTCTTCTATAATTGCGCATGATCTCGTCTGCTCGCCAACGTTGAATAGGGTTGCGTATTGCATCGAGATCTTAGATGTTTATTGAAGAGGACGCAGGCTTGAAGTACTCAGTCCATAACTTTCTCGTGGAGTCAATTGCGGGTTTGATATACTAGGGTTGGTGCGCCCACACCGTTTTAAGATACTGCTTCCATAGCTCGGGATGGAGGAGCATCAATGCCACATATATGACAGTTTCATCTGTGAGCTTATAGTACCGGTCAAACTTAAACCAGGCTGTAAGAATGCGTGTGTGAATCTAAAGATTATCCTTGTGCTTGCTCTTCATCTCATGAAAATGTTTGACAAAGAACTCCATAGCGGTAAAGATTATATTAAGAGAATCTGCAATACCCTAGGTATTCAATGTGCAATCCATAAACAGCTGTAAGAATTCCTTGATGTCTTCAAGCTCCTGCCAGTCATCTCGATCTAGTGTATCCTCAGCCAATTCATCCTAGTGCTCCTCAATCCAATCGCGTAGTTCTCAGCGCTTGGTTAGTGCGACGTTAATCTCCGCGCTCCAGGAGTTCCAGCGAGTATCATTACCTATTAGGATTGCGCGGCCAATAGCTTTAATAAAATTTTGATATCTCTCGGTCGATGCCCGTACCCAGATATTGATATTGTGGAGCTTGCCTAGCGATCCCAACTTGCGTCACTCACAGGATACCGCCACCTTATCACGGATATCGCGATTTGTTTCTTTGGTCAGGAGTCTGATCTCCTTGATAGCTAGACTGATAGCCTCTTCCTGGTCCATAAGATCCTCGCCACCGTGATTCTTTGCACCAAATAGAAAGGCTTGAATCACAGGGTTGATAATATAGCCAAAGCAGCGGACCCGGTAAAGAATGGGATCAAAGTTTTCGGTCTCCTTGGTGATATAGCGGAGCATCTTGTCATTGGATGTCGCATTATCCATTATTAAACAACCGAGCTTGCCCTGCAGGCCTGCCTCATTTATAACCTCGATAAACACTCGCGCCTGCTCCTCACCACTATGTGAGCCTTTAAACTCCTTTAATAATAACAGAGCGCACTCAATACTGCGTGTATCTGTATCAGCCCAATGTGCAACAATGGCCTAGAAGCTTGTCTTTTGTGGTGCAGTCCACATATCAATGGAGAAGTGTATCCAAGAGAGTGACTTCTGTAGCTTCTGTATAAGCTGTTCTCAATGGAGGATATAGGTTGATTTGATAAGTTGTGGGACATCGTTTGCGCAACTTTGAGTGTCTCTTTAGCCATATAACTAACAGATAGGATAACAGCCCAAAATTCAGCCCAATCCAGTAGTGAATGAGGAAGATTGCAAACCGTAATAAGTCGGACACAGGCTTCTTTGAATTCAGCTTCTTGTATAGCTGTACGGAGGTGCTTCTCCTGATCAATATCATGTCCAGCCTGTTTCTCCAGCTGCTTCCCAAAGATATCCTTGATTATATTATTAAATGCAAAGCGTGAGACACCTTCTGCGGTTACTATGATACATATCTAGTGTATTTTTAGATGTTCTCGAAAGCGTACTGAGGCCGGTATACTAGCATAGGAGATACAGTGCTTGCAGTAGTAAATCTCTTGTTTGTGTTTGTTCCTCACATCCTCACCCTCCTTTGGAGGCCGCGTATGTTCCCATAAGAGATTATTGGAACGTCTCTTCTTGTGTTGAGGCTTGGCTGTTGATGCGACAGAAGATGCAGACCTTTGGTATCTTAAGCTAGTTTCTAAGCCTTCTGTAACCTCAGTAGGGTTAGACGCCAAGCTAACAAGGTCAAATTCATCATGGGATGCGGTATTAGACATTTTAATAATGCAGTTACAATTTTCAATAAAGCGTGGAGGATCGGACTTAGGAAAGTGGAGGTGATAGTGAACAAGATAGAATATAGTAAGATGGTTGATTGTTGGTGTGATAGTGCCAATCTCATGTATTTGAACTAGCCAACGCTACATATAGAGGTGCGATTCAACGAGAATATCAAGCATGAGAGGGGAAAGAAGAAGAAGAACAGGAATCCGCCGCTCTAGGGGATTTTATATGCTCTGTGTGTGTGCCCCTTTCCTAATCTGGTGTCATCTGAAGTCATTCCCAGTTCTTTGTTCCTAGGGCTTTAGAACCCTACCCTGTGACCTCGCCGCTCCAGTGCCTTACTGTGGCCTTGCCATGTCTAACCGTCACAGTTGGAGAGAGGCGCGGTGTGTGCAGGCTACAAGTTAAAACCTAAAACTGAAACGATTGAAACCTACTGAAACGGATCAGTCAATCGTTTCACTGAAACAAAACAGCGGCCCGTTTCAGTTTAACTGAAACGGTTTGAAACAGATACGGTTTATATGCATCACTGCTCCCATGGAAGCTCATGCTTGGAAGAAGGGCGGATACTTATTGGCTCCCCCGGGGACCTTGGCAGGGCGATGGGAGAGCCAACTCACGTACGTCCAGGCACCGTGGCATGAGCCTCCAAAGATTATGATCGATGAGCGAGAAAAGACAATATCAGTGCATAACGACATCATACATAAGAATAAGCATATTGCAATATACATAGACGGCAGTGGATATCAAGGCTATATTGGCACATCCATGGTCATCCCAGCCTTTGGAAAACAACAGAGTGTTATTATTATTATTAATCAAGTTTATTGTCTATACCCAGCCCTACTGGCTATGACAGACCACTAGAAGCCTTGGTGACACCCTACTGGCCTCACCCCTATCAGAGTCATACATGCAAAATTCAAAAATCACTATCTCGTCCCCATATGGCCGATATGCCAGGAAAACAACAGAGTGTATTGGTATGGAAGGCACCTCAACCGTGTATGCAGCTGAGACCTGTGGCATCAAATTTGCACTTGAAACCACGCTTCAGATTGCAGATCAGAATATATAAGCCAAGAAGCTAGTTATCTTCTCAGATAGCCAAGCTGCGCTCAGAACCCTTATGAATCCGCGTATAGTCTCTAGCCAAATGTACATTCATAACTATATCAATTCACTAAGAAAGTGCATGGATGAGTATATCGACGTGACGCTAAGATGGATTCCAGGCCATGAGGGCATTCCTAGAAACGAAGCCGCAGACAGGGCTGCAAAACGTGCAGCTCTAATAGGTGCACGAAGGCAGATTGTGCCAGGAGATATCGGCAACTGGACCATACTCGCAGCAGCTGCAAAGCGCAGAATACGCCAATCAACCAAGGATGCCTGGGAGAAACAGTGGGACAAGCAAAAGGCAGGGAAACCTACCAAAAAACTTGTCACTCAGCCTTCCAAGCGCGCACTCCAATCTTGGACCTTTCTAGACCTCGCCACGACCCGCGGGTCACCCTGACGACCCGGACCGCGACCCGGACCACGGAGGTTCTGGGGTCATCAGCCCCAACCCTGACCCTCCATAAGGGGAGGGTCGTTGATGGTATGACCCGACCCTCAGGGTCGTAAAACAGTGCAAACATCATCAGGTCACGAGGTGCATAAATTCTGTAGATTTTAGCGGTATTTTTGCGTATCTCAATTACAGCATTTGTAGGTCTACTTGGTTAGCTCTAATCACCCTGAAAGCATTGAATCAAAATGAATTAAATGAATTAAACGAATTAAACTACATGTTCTACATCTCATATCCATCAAGCAACCTTGAACGCTTGCGAACTCTACCTGACACTCGGTGCTGAATCTCTGGCAGAGACATAATCTCACTATCATCCTCCTGGTCACTTTCCGCATCCTCGGCTATATCCCTTAGGCGTCTTTTGCCAAGTGCCTTTGTAGATGGGCCATGCGAAGTTGCTTGGGGCTCTGTAGAAAGCCCTTCATCCTCTTCATCATCACTAATTGGATCAACGGTGATTTGTTGCTGAGTTCTCTCTTCCTTTGCAGCCTGTATCTCCTGAGTTGAAAGATATTCAGAGAGCATTATTCGCTCCTCTTCATGAATCTCGAACCGTGATGTACACATATACATCATAAGATCTGAGATTGTTTGAGGCTGTAGAGAGCCTCGACGATAATGGCAGATATCTCGTGCAGAGTTGAAAAGCCGCTCTACTCCTGCACTACTAGCTGGAATAGAGAGAACATCTCGTGCAAGCCTCGCCATTCCAGGGAATTCATCTTGGTGATATTTCCACCAGGTTCGAGGTTGGGCATTTGGGACTGCGTCTAAAGAGGAATCAGTAATTATTCCCATCGAGATCAAGAGACACTCACTGCTGTCAAGATACCTTGCAAGCTCGTCAGACTGAACTGGCTGTCGAATCTGAGATTGCTGTGACTCGTCCCGAATACAGGCTAAATCAAATTCATCCGTTGCCGTACTCGTTGGGGGAGCACCCAATATCTGCTGCTCCTGGGCAAGATTCTCCGAGTACTTCTCGAGAGAGGACTCAAGGCTCTGGCGATAAGTTGCTCGGTAATTAATTCCGCCTTCCTCTGGGTCCCAGTCTGCGGTTGAGAAGAACTGAAGTTTATCCTGTGGAGAAAGAATGGTGCCAATGGCGTAGAGATGACCATCCATGTTGTCAGTGTCTTTATAGTAAATTGAGAGCTTGTCCTTTGCTGCTTCGAGAGATGCAAGCATCACCTACTTCCAAGCGACCCTCTTCCGTCTAAGCTGTCTAATTGACTTTTCCAGGTGGTCAAACAACTTATTGTAGATCTTAAAAACCCGATGGATGGTGACATCCTTGGACTTCGAGAGAAGGGTCGTGAATCGGTGAAAAGGCTGAAGAATGCAGATAAGATAGTCCACTTGTCGCACCTTATTCAAAGTGTCCACGATCTCGCGTTTCTGCTGTCTCGCACGAAGACTATCCACCCGATCATCAGACCATGTCTGCTCAGCCATATCAATCTTTGGAGCAGCCTTCATCTTCCCAAGGAGATCTTTGAGACTCAGCTGGATCACATGTGCAATACAGGGTACCCGAATGATAACGACATCGTTCGAGGATTGTAGTGACTCAATCGCCTCATGGACACTTGCCATAAGAGTAATATTATTTGAAGCATTGTCGGTAGTTACCGCAAGCACTCGATCGGTGATCCAATGCTCCTGTAGCAGCTGGAAGAGCACTACACTCAAATTTGCACCAGAATGAGATCCATGCAAGTGTTCAAATCCTAGTAATATCTCATGATATTCCCAGTTCTCATCGAGAAAGTATCCTGTAATCACCATAAATGCTTGTCGGAATGGAGATATCCAGCTATCCTGTAATCACCATAAATGCTTGTCGGAATGGAGATATCCAGCAATCCAGGGCAAGTGATAGCTTCACACCAGAAGGGAGTTTTTGAAGGATACTCTTTTGGTTCTCACGGACAAGGTCTCGAAGCTGCCGGCGCATAACCTTGGCGGAAGGAATTTCTGGCATTGATGGTGCTAGCCGGGCGTAGGAGATTAAATCACGGAACTCGGTGTGCTCAAGAAAAAGAAAGGGTAGATGCGATACAGTGAGGAGCTGAGCAAGCTTCTACTGCCAAACTCGCTCATCGAATCTTTGTACTGTCGCATTCTGCGCCTAGATGTTGAGGTCAGAACTAGGATGCTTACTGTCAAAGTCAGGTCTTGGATATACCGCATGCTCCAATGCAAGCTTAATGTTTGGTTTCTTTCCTGTAGCTAAGGCAGCTTTCCGGCAATTTATCCCATTATAATGCTTGTTCATTGAAGATGTCCCTGAGTGAGCCGACGCAGGGTGATCAAGCACCTTCCGACATTGATGGCACATAACCCCAGGCTTTCCATCTTTTTCAAACGCTACTTGATCAAAGTTTTTCCAGCAGTTTGCAGCTCGTTTTGCATCCCAAGATATCTGTCTCTTTTTCCCAAAATCAGTCTGAAGCCACCACTGCACGAATTCGTTGCCTATTTCCGGGGAGTATTATTATTATTATTATTATTAATCAAGTTTATTGTCCGTACCCAGCCCTATTGGCTATGACAGACCTCTGGAAGCCTTGGTGAGACCCTAAAGGCCTCACCCCTATCAGAATCATACATACAAAAATCCAAAAATAAATCACTATCTCGTCCCCATGTGGCCGATATGCCAGGGACCTTTGGGCACTCTCCCTAGGCTAATCCTCCCGGAGATCCCTTATAGTTCCAAACCCGTGGGCACACCTAATCAGTACAAACTCTGACTAGCGTGCCCTCACCCCTATTCATCCTCCAATGTGACACCTAGGCCACCTTCCTCCAACGTATCCCACCCCCACGCATCACTAGACTCAGCCTCTCTGGCTGTCCGCTCCTTATCATTGAATAGGTTGGCTTCAGCCACGAATTGCAGCAAGCCCTGCGTCGCTCTAGGCTCAGCAAATAGCCTAGCCTCGGGGTCTTCCTCAGCCGCTGTAGGCAGTGGCACGCCTGCTTTTTTGAGGGCTTGATAGAGAGTTCTTCGTCCTGCACGACGTCCACGGCACTCAAAGAGTACATGCCTTACTGTCTCATGAGGCTCCTTGCAGGCCTGACACTCAGGCGATTCCCGTTGGCCTATCCGGTATAGATAGGTACCAATTGGGGCATGTCCTGTCTTTAACTGGTAGTATCGACTAGCCAATCTTTTCGGAGCTTTTCCTGCCACTGGGTCAAGGTTCCAGCCTCGAGGCATCTTGTAGACACATCCATCTCTATGCCTGCCTTGTACAGCATTGATTTGAGCCCATTTAGATACTGCGGCTCTCCTTGCTTCCGTGCAAGCCCTTCTAACGTGCGCTAAAGATAGGTGCTCAAAACCAGGCGCGGTTTGTTTACTAGCTGCACGTTTAGCAGCTTGATCAGCCTGCTCGTTCCCTTCAATCCCTGAGTGGCCTGGGACCCATTGTATTGTGACTGGCTGGCCTCTCAAGGCTAGTTTCTCAGCTGCCTTGTGAGCCCTAAGAACAAGGGCTTGCCCAGGGCCTGGCCTTGTCGATCTGAGGCGATCAATAGCATTCTGCGCGTCGAGGAACACCCAGATAGGACCAAGAGGCTGCCTTTCAAGGGCCCATTCAAGCGCTGTAGCCACTCCCATTAGTTCCGCGTCAAAGACCTCATGTCCATGGCCCATTGGCACTTCTACGTGTTCCTAGGGACCCCCAGGTACAGCTTGTAAAGCTACTCCAGCTCCTGCACGTCCTGTATCGAGCCTGGAGCCATCTGACCAGAACGTTGTTCCAGCACGCTGTTGGTTAGCCTCCGTTAGAGCCTCTTCATTGTCAAGTACTCGGATTGAGCCTGGGAAGCTTTTGAGCTCATATTGTTCAGTTCTCTCAATTCCTCCAGAGGGGTCTCTGCTTAGTCGTTGAGCAAGGTGCTTTGCAAGCCTTTGGTCTAGTCGATTTAGCATCTTGTTGTCTCTAGAGGCCCATTCCTGGTCGTCCAGTGGTTGCTCTCCAGGTTGTGCGTGAAGGTCACCATGTCTGAGGGTGACTAGAAGTATCTGCGCTGTAGGATGTGTGTCAGGTAGGGCCAGTAGCCTCGCTGTGTATCAAGCTACTCTAGCGTCTATTAAGACTGTCGCTGGCTCTAACGCTGCCTCTCTGATTAGGGCTCCGATTGGGGTTTTTGGGAACATGCCCGTAATACCTCTGGCTTGCTTATTAATTAGAATCTGGATCCTTTGTGCCCATGTTTTCTGGCCTTGCCACCATATCTTAGCACCCCACAGCAATTGGGCTTGCACTGTAGCCTTCTGTATGCGCCTCACTAATGCTGGAGGTAACCCATTAGCTCTGCAGAGTGAGTTTAACCTGATTATCGTATTTCTTGCTGTCTTAATTCAAGCGTTGTAGTGGCTCTTCCATGTAAGTTGGCTGTCTAGGAGTATCCCGAGCCACCGTACTGTAGATTTGACAGTTGCTAACTCGCCTCCAACCCTAATCCGGGCTTGAGATATGTTTTGAGCCACTTGACGTCTGTGTCATCTATAAAAGAAAGCGGCCTCAGTCTTTTTGCGATCAAATTGTACCCCGTTAGCCACCCCCCACTTGATGGCTACTTCCGCGGCTTTCTCAAGGATCCTACAAGCCTCCTTCACTGAGCTTGCGGCTGTTATTAGGCCTTGGTTGTCCACAAAGGATAGACATCGAACCTCCGGCACACTCCTCTCAATGGCTCTTGATAGCCCATGAACGTATAGAACAAAGAGAATGGGTGACACCGGAGAGCCCTGAGGTAACCCAGAGCTTATCGGTACTTCCTTTCCCATATGTCCATCAATCACAAGAGTGACTCGCCAGTCAGATAGAAATGAGATCACCCAATGTATAAGATCTCCATCCACGCTAGCCTCTCTGAGCACCTCTACCAGTTTTGCTAGGATGACATGGTCAAAGGCCCCCTCAATATCCATAAATAGAGCTGCAGCTAACTTTCTATTTGCCCAAGCTTGATGGATCTCCTCCACTAGATATGCCACAGCATCAATTGCACTGCGTTGCCGACGGCCTCCAAATTGACCATTGTGGAAGAGGTCTTGAGCCTCTGCAAAGTTTGTAATTAACTCTGCAACAAGCTTTTCAATCACCTTGCCTAGACACTTCAATAGACTTATCACCCGATACGCACTAGCCAGTGTGTAGTTGGTTTTGCCGTTCTTTCTCAGTAGAACTCCCTTGGCTGTTTTCCAGACATGTGGATGTATCCCAAGCCTGAGGCACTGCCTAGTCAGGCTAACCACACGCTCCGAATCTAGATTCCATAAGAGCCTGATAGCCCTGAAGTTCAGTAAATCTGTACCTGGAGCTTTCTCTAGTCCCTGGCTAAAGAGAGCATTCTTGACGGCTTCTTCATTCATCAGCTTGTGGGCAGATCCTGGCTCAGGAAGCTGTAACTCCATGTTACTGTTTGGAGCCTGTGGAAAAGCACGGTGTCTAAAAACCTCCTCCTTCTTGCTAAAGGTGGCTGCAATCACCTCCCCAGAGGCCTCATCAGTGAGAGCTGGTGTGGTGCCTTGTGTTTGTGGTTTAGTATAGCGTAAGGCTGCCCAACACTGTTTCTGATCTGGTAGAGAGCCCTCAGACGTACCCTGAAGGAAATCCTCCCAGCACTCTCTTTTAGCTCTCCTGATCAGTGAATAGAAGCCCTTATGTGCTTCTTGATGCTCTTCCTCGCTTATCTCACCAGCTTAATAGGCTTTACGCGCCTTGGAATACGCGCTTCGTTCTGCCTCAATCTCACTGTTCCACCACCGCTTAGATCGAGCACAAAGCTTGATCTATTTGCAGTGCTTGTTCAGGACCTCTGTCAACGCTCTCTCAATCCACTCTGCTTCACGTTTCACTTCCTCTGTTGAGGTTGTGTCTGTTAGTATTGGTTGAGTCTTTGCTAGTTCGTTCCAGGTGTCTTTTGCCTCCTGCAGAGCCTTTTTGTCTCCTAGTAGAGCCTCTATCTGCCACCCTGTGACTTCTTTCCTTGTGGGCTCTGTACTTGCAGTTGTCGGAGGTTCCCAGCTAGCCCAAATCATAACGTGATCTGATGGTGTGAGCCTCTGGCTTTCGATTTCCCATCCAGATAGAGGGCCAAGGGCTTGACTACTGATTGTGAGATCAATAATTGAGACCCTAGGCTCAGTAGATGTTTCAAATGATGCTGTAGAATCTCTAGGCTTATGAGGCCTTGTTGGCTCGTCAGGGTCGTTATTAATAAAGAGGTCATGCCTCATTATTAGATCCTCGAGGGATCTTGCGTTAACCCTCTGGTCGATATGGACATTCCACATCGGGCTGTGGGCGTTGAAGTCTCCAAGAATGAGGCATCGACCCTCTAGAATTGGTCCCCAATCAAGATCCGTGAGGGCTCTTCTTGTAAGTAGGCTCTCTCCTGAGTATGTATGACGTGCACCTAACCAGTTGTCATAGCAGTTCACTATCCTTGTACGTCTCCCCTGTTCTAGCACGTCAACCACCATAAAATATGGATGGTTAGCTAGATCTGTACGCGCTTCCACCACTAATTCTCTTACTAAATCTCTCCGAATCGCTGTCACTACTCAAGCATGTTCTCGAGGACCCTCAGGCCAGTAGAACAGGAAGCCAGGATGGCTTATCTGATATTTCCCACGTACTGGGGGTTCCTGGAGACAGGCTATCCCGGCACCAGCCTGTAGTGCCGCTTCTAGGGCTGTATGTACTACAGCGCCTGTACGGGCACAGTTGTGTTGTAGTACTATCATAGATCCTCACTTTGAGGCGCTTCGGTGGCTGACTTGAGCTCTGGCTCTAGTGGTTGTTGGCTATTTCTCTCATGAATGTCAGCCTCTAATTGCATCTCAGGCAGCAATTCATCTTCTTCTGGAGTTGACGTCTCCTCCTCTAGAGACTGTCCAGATCTCTCCTCCGAGGTCAGTACTGGTTTTGGAGGCACTACTGCGAATGTCTCATCTAATGGGATGAGGTCTTGTAAGGATTGTTCCCTCATTCTCCGGATAGCCCTTTGACGAGCCTCCCTAGCTTTAGGGCACTTAGGAGATGTAGCCTCGTGTGCACCTTTACAGTTAGCGCACTTGATCACTGTGTGTTTGCAAGGTTTAGCTGGCCCAACCCTACAATCCACTACTGTACATGAGTGCTCTATTGCCTCATGATCACCTGCGCAGATCGCGCATTTAGGAGACCTGCCACCACAAGCTATGAAGCCAGAGTGGCCAATTCCGCAGCATCGAGGGCAGATACTCTCAGGATTTGACTCCCAATAAGGTGCTACTCGATGGTGTCGGCCTCCAAACTTGATGCCTTTATTGATTAGTGTTCGAGCTTCCTCCAAAGAACCTACTGTGATCACAATCGTGGCAAATCTCTGGTTGCTAGCCTGTATAGTCTTGGCTCTTTTGAGCCACGTTGGCTCTCGTTTAAGCCTATATGGTGTTCCCAGCTCAATCTCTTCTTGGGCTAGTGCTAGGCCTTGGTCATTATACATGTAGCGGTCCACAGGCACTGCCTGTACCTTAACACGGTGCCACTGTTCGCTAATCTCCACGGAAATAACTGCTGCATCTGTTTGCCTTACAGCGGCTAGTAGAGTATCGTTGTAGACGGGCACGAGGGTGCTGCTGCGAGTGCCTCGCTCTAGGAGCACTGTTAAGGCCCCTGAGGCCGCGTATCCAGAATCGACTGCTCTTACAAAGTCAGGAAAACCTGCCTTAGCAAGGGCACGGTTAAGGGCTAAGAGGATATCGGCTTTCAATGCAGTAGGAGCATCTTTAGGATATCGTCGTCTAAAGATTAGGCGCCTCTCCTCCTTACTCCGGGTACTTACGGGCTTCAAATTAGTTGTTGACAGAGCCTTCGAGGGTGCCAAGGCTTGTTTCTTATACTGGACGGTTTTCCATCCTCCAGATTGAGTGTTATTCGCGGCAATAGCGGCCCATTTCGTAGGTGCGGGCTTTTTAGGGCCCTCAGGTGGCTGTATGGCTTGCTTCGTAGCCTTTGTTGGATTCTGATATCGCGGTGGAGGCTGAGGTGCGGTTGAGTTTATCGCGCGGCTCTCAGGCGCGGCATCTAGCTGTATTGGGGTGGACGCTAAGCCTCCCGTGGAAGCAGCTCTTGGCGGTGGCCCGTGCGCCGCAACCTCACGCGTTGCAGCGAAGGGGTCGAGTGGTAGGATCTGACGGCTTTGTAGCGCGTTCACGTAAGTTTCAAGGCTCTCTAGCCTAGCGTTGAGAGTAGTAATGAGGCCCTGTTGGGTATTGATTACGTTTCTGGCAGTCGTCAGCTCCGCGGAGAGGTGGTGGACCGCTTCTTGCAGATGGCCGTTGAGGTCCTCGATCAGGCCCATCACGAGGCTATCCTCTGCAGGAGCACTCGCTGCACGCATTGCGGTAAGTGTAATCTTCCTCTTCGGAGCCGCGCTCAATCCAGACCTAGTTATAGGAGTCCGGGATCCTATAGTCAGCCTTGAGGCCTTCCTTTTCTCGAGGATCATTCCTGGGGCTTGTTGGGTTTCTCCAGTCTGTCGTGGCGCTTGTAGAGCGTCGCTGTTGCTCAAAGTAGGTTCATTGGACTGTTTCTGACAGTCTCCAAGTCCTGCAAACAGTGCACGGGTAGTTGGAGGTAGCTGTGACGGTTCCTGGGAGGGTGTCGATGAATCAACCCCAGATCCAGGTCCTATGATTTCTGGATCTCCAGTGGCCCCTGGAGGCCTCTCTGGACTTTCCATGAGGGTTTTTCGATGCTAAGAAGCCTGCAAAGGCCCTTGGAAAGCTCAATAAGCGTGGTTCGTCGTCAAATCAGGATCTCGCTGTTTTTTTTTTTTTTTTTTTCCTCCACCTCTACCCATATTTACTCATTTATTGGTGACCTCACTCAGTCAAGATAGGCAATGTATGTATAGTTTGGCCGCAACGGGTCACCTGTCGTTGAGGTCTTACGCGCAAAGCGTATGACCACAACGTCAGAGAGGGCCCCGTCCGCGCTCCCTTGTGGGGAGGCAATTGTCTATATTGTAATGGCACTATGAATCTATGTACATAGGGAGGTGGGTGGGAAAAATCAAGTCTTGACTGCGTGAGAGATGACGAGCAACTTGCGGAGGGGAGCGGCTGACTCTCGTGAGGCAGTTGTAAAAAGGAAGAACCCCGCAGTACGCAGGACGTTAGGTGAAGACTAATCCGCAGTGCGATCGTCACGTGAGGCAACCCCAATAAAACAATCTCATTGATAGTAACGTCCATCTCATACAAACCTCTGTTGCCTCACCCGCATCTCAATAGGGAATCAGTGCGTATCAATAACAAATGACAATGCCGATTGATATCACATTTATTGATGGAGACCTTTATTCAAAGGATTCCCAATCAATAAGTGACGCCAAGCCGAAAGCTAGGGCTGAGCCGTCACACCCGGACCCAATGCTGGGGCCCCAATAAAACCCATTAAGACCCAACGTGACCCAACTTTTGCATAAATTTGATCATAAAGCTGCTCAGTCATCAAAATTATTATTATTATTATTATTATTAATCAAGTTTATTGTCCGTACCCAGCCCTACTGGCTATGACAGACCACTGGAAGTCTTGGTGACGCCCTATCGGCCTCACCCCTATCAGAATCATACATGCAAAAATTCAAAAATGACTATCTCGTCCCCATACAATACACGGTGATCAAGTGCGCAAACTGCGATGGTGCACACGAGGCCACATCTTCCAAGTGCCCTAGAGCTAGAGAGGCTCGTCAACGAGCTATCCAGAGGACTAGGGAACTTTCCTTACAAGACCTCATCCCTTCAGATGAGATATTCGCGATAGTCCCTCCAAGACCAGTACTGACCCTAGAGGAGAGATCTGAACAGCCTCCAGAGGAAGAGACACTGACTCGAGAGAACGAAGGAGATTTGCTACCTGTGATGCAATTAGAGGCTGATGTTCACGAGTCAGAGCTAGAGCCTACCCCAGCCACCGAAGCGCCTCAGAGCGAGGAGCTATGATACTGTTACAACACAATTGTGCCCGTACAGGCGCTGTAATGCATACAGCCCTAGAAGCAGCACTACAGGCTGGTGCTGGGATAGCCTGTCTCCAGGAACCCCCAGTACGTGGAAAATACCAGATAAGCCATCCTGGTTTTCTGTTCTACTGGCCTGAGGGTCCTCGAGAACATGCTCGGGTAGTGACAGCGATTCGGAGAGATTTATTAAGAGAAATAGTAGTGGAGGCGCGTACAGATCTAGCTAACCATCCATATTTTATGGTGGTTGACGTGCTGGAACAGGGGAGGCGTACGAGGATAGTGAACTGCTATGACAACTGGCTAGGAGCACGTCATACATACTCAGGAGAGAGCCTACTTACAAGAAGAGCCCTTTCAGATCTTGATTGGGGACTAATTTTAGAGGGCCGATGTCTCATTCTTGGAGATTTCAATGCGCATAGCCCGATGTGGAATACTCACATCAACCAGAGGGTCAACGCGAGATCCCTGGAGGACCTAATAATGAGGTATAACCTCTTTATCAATAATAACCCTGACGAGCCAACAAGGCCTTATAAGTCTAGAGGTTCTACAGCATCATTAGGGAATGAAACTGCTGAGCCTAGGGTCTCAATTATTGATCTCACAATCAGTAATCAAGCCCTCGGGCCCTTATCTGGATGGGAAATCGAAGGCCAAAGGCTTACACCGTCGGATCATGTTATGATCTGGGCAAGCTGGGCGGAGGGTAACGGCGATTACAGAGCCCACAAGGAAAGAAGTCACAGGCTAGCAAATAGAGGCTCTACTAGGAGACAAGGAGGCTCTGCAGGCGGCAAAAGACACCTGGAACAAACAATTTGCAAAAGCTGCTCAGCGAAAAGACAGCTGCGGTCACAATCGCATAATTTATCATTGATCTGCAAGTGTTAGACTAATTCCATGTGACAGATCCAGAAGCAATAAGCATGTATGAAAGCGCAGAAACAGCAGCTCAATCAGCGCTTGCAAATGACAAGGACACTGACGTTGGAACACGTACGAATGCACAAGAAGATGACAGGCGCTCTAGGTCAGCCTCATTATCAGTAATGACCAATATTGACACGAACACGAGCCTTGGATCGAGGGATTCGGAGCTAGCCAACAGGGATGCTAGTAGGGGACATAAGGGTCGGATTTGCGAAGGGTGAGATTTGTGAGTTCTATAGAATAGTTGGAATATGAGAAAACCGTACAGTTTGTATGTCATGAGTGCGAAGATGTGTGGGTTGAAAGATATGAGGATATGTGGTTTTGAAGTGAATTGGTTATTTATTTTATTTGTTTGATATGTTTGCATTTGTTAGTCTTGTTTCCTTAGCTTCCGTTCTCTGTGGCACGCCCTTATGGCGCACCACTCGTGGCTGTGCTGCGGATTTCTTGGTGCCTGCAGGCTTAGGCACAAACCTGGATAGCGGCTCTTTAGACCGTGGCTAGCTACAATTCTTCTTCTACTACTACTACTACTACTACACATCCTCGCAACTCACTGTAAAGAATTCGGTGAATGGATCGTATAGACTCAGAGGATTGATATCATTCAGTAATAGTGATTAATGATCAGTTGGTTGTTAGTATTGATAAGGAGTTGATTCGATGCGTTGATTCTCTGTGTATTACCTTGTCTACTCTTTTTCTCTAGTTACATACAACTCAGGGTTTGGAACTATAAGGGATCTCCGGAAGGATTAGCCTAGGGAGAGTGCCCAAAGGTCCCTGGCATATAGGCGATATGGGGACGAGATAGTGATTTTTGAATTTTTGCATGTATGATTCTGATAGGGGTGAGGCCGATAGGGCGTCACCAAGACTTCCAGTGGTCTGTCATAGCCAGTAGGGCTGGGTACGGACAATAAACTTGATTAATAATAATAATAATAATATTGAACTCCAAGAAGAATGTGACCAATACATGCAAGCTTTTGCCAAGTTGCACCTCTAGACTAGTGGTTGGGGAGGTAGCGAGGAAGGCACACCAAGACCGACCTACGCGCCAAAATCCACCAAGTTACCCAAAGGAGCGAAGCTTTCAGACGGTGTCGATCCGACCTTTAAGTCTTGGTTAATTGATGTGGAAGGGACCCTAGAGAGCAATGCGGATTACTACCCAAATACTAAGGATTGAATCCTTTTTGTAAAAAAAGATATACAAGGGTCAGGCAGCCAAGCATTTGATGCCCCATCTCCGCAAGGACTCCCCTCATCCCTTCACCAATGCTAACGACATGTTTTTTGAAGACATTAATTGAGTCATCAATGCAAAGGCTAGATACTGTGCTCTCCAGATGACTGGCAAGATGAGATTCCAGGATTTCCTAACCAAATTCACTCATGAAGCTCAAGAATCCGAGACCGACATTCAATCTTGGAAGGAAGACCTTTACAGCAAGTTCAGTTTTGAACTGCAGTATAAATTGACTGACAAACAGCCCTCTTTTCAGCTAGCTCCTCTGGGTCCTTCTTTGCTTCTTGGCTCCTTTTGTGACTGCGCCCATACCTTCTCGGGGGTGACTGTGGTTCTGCATCCTGGGTGCAGAAGTGGACTCGAGCCAGATCCTTGGTCTCTATGAGCTTATCTCTCCGTTCAGCATCCTTCTGATGAATGTTGTTCAATATTGGTCTCTTCAGAATTGACCTTGATCGATCGCCTATTCCTACGCCTATTGAGCTTTGCAAGGGCCTTTGCAGGCTTCTTTGCATCGAAACACCCTCATGGAAAACCCAGAGAGGCCTCCACGGGCCGCTGGGGATCCAGAAATCATGGGACCTGGATCTGGGGTCGATTTCTCGACACCCACCCAGGAACCGCAACAGCTGCCTTTAAATGCCCCTGCACTGTTTGCAGGACTTCAAGACAGCCAGAATCAGTCCAAAGAACCTACTTTGGATAATAGAGATACTCTACAAGAGCCACGACAGACTGGAGAAACGCAACAGACTCCAAGAACGACCCTCGAGAAAAGGAAGGCTTCTAGGCTGACCATAGGATCTCGGACCCCAATAACTAGATCTGGATTGAACGCAGCTCCAAAAAGACAGATTACACTTGCCACAATACGTGCAACAAGTGCTCCCATAGAGAACAGCCTCGTGATGAGCCTGATTGAGGATCTCAACAGCCAAACGCAAGAGGCTGTCCAACAGCTCTCCGTCGAGCTTACAACCGCAAGAAACGTGATCAGCATGCAACAGGGTCTTATTACCACCCTCAACGCTAGGCTAGAGAGCCTAGAGACTTACGTGAACGCGCTACAAAGCCGTCAAATCCTACCACTCGACCCCTGTGACACAACGCGTGAGGTTGCGGCGCACGGGCCACCGCCAAGAGCCGCTTCCACGGGAGGTTTAGCGTCCACCCCAATACAGCTAGATGCCGCGCCTGAGAGCCGCGCGATAAACTCAACCGCACCTCAGCCGCAGCCGCGATATCAGAATCCAACAAAGGCTACGAAACAAGCCGTACAGCCACCTGAGGGCCCCAAAAAAGTAGTTGGAACCGCCGCGCAGACCACCAAACAGCCTGAAACTACCGCTAAGCCACTGACCAAGCCCGCACCTACGAAATGGGCCGCTATTGCCGCGAATAATACCCAATCTGGAGGATGGAAAACCGTCCAGTATAAGAAACAGGCCTCAGCACCCTCTAAGGCTCTATCGATAACTGACTGGAAGCCTGTGAGTACCCGGAGCAAGGAGGAAAGACGCCTCATCTTCAGACGACGATATCCTAAAGATGCTCCGACCGCATTGAAAGCTGATGTTCTCTTGGCCCTTAACCGTGCCCTTGCAAAGGCAGGTTTTCCTGACTTTGTAAGAGCAGTCGATTCTGGATACGCGGCCTCAGGGGCCTTAACAGTGCTCCTAGAGCGAGGCACTCGCAGCAGCACCCTCGTGCCCGTCTACAACGATACTCTACTAGCCGCTGTAAGGCAAACAGATCCAGCAGTTATTTCCGTGGAGATTAGCGAACAGTGGCACCGTGTTAAGGTACAGGCAGTGCCTGTGGACCGCTACATGTATAATGACCAAGGCCTAGCACTAGCCCAAGAAGAAATTGAGCTGGGAACACCATATAGGCTTAAACGAGAGCCAACGTGGCTCAAAAGAGCCAAGACTATACAGGCTAGCAACCAGAGATTTGCCACAATTGTGATCACAGTAGGTTCTTTGGAGGAAGCTCGAACACTGATCAATAAAGGCATCAAGTTTGGAGGCCGACACCATCGAGTAGCACCTTATTGGGAGTCAAATCCTGAGAGTATCTGCCCTCGATGCTGCGGAATTGGCCACTCTGGCTTCATGGCTTGTGGTGGCAGGTCTCCTAAATGCGCGATCTGCGCAGGTAATCATGAGGCAATAGAGCACTCATGTACAGTAGTGGATTGTAGGGTTGGGCCAGCTAAACCTTGCAAACACACAGTGATCAAGTGCGCTAACTGCAAAGGTGCACACGAGGCTACATCTCCTAAGTGCCCTAAAGCTAGGGAGGCTCGTCAAAGGGCCATCCAGAGAATAAGGGAACAATCCTTACAAGACCTCATCCCATTAGATGAGACATTCGCGGTAGTGCCTCCAAAACCAGTACTGACCACAGAGGAGAGACCTGGACAGTCTCTAGAGGAGGAGACGTCAACTCCAGAAGAAGATGAATTGCTGCCTGAGATGCAATTAGAGGCTGATATTCACGAGGGAAATAGCCAACAACCACTAGAGCCAGAGCTCAAGTCAGCTACTGAAGCGCCTCAAAGTGAGAATCTATGATAGTACTACAACATAACTGTGCCCGTACAGGCGCTGTAGTACATACAGCCCTAGAAGCAGCACTACAGGCTGGTGCCGGGATAGCCTGTCTCCAGGAACCCCCAGTACGTGGAAAATACCAGATAAGCCATCCTGGCTTCCTGTTCTACTGGCCTGAGGGTCCTCGAGAACATGCTCGAGTAGTGACAGCGATTCGGAGAGATTTAGTAAGAGAATTAGTGGTGGAGGCGCGTACAGATCTAGCTAACCATCCATATTTTATGGTGGTTGACGTGCTAGAACAGGGGAGGCGTACGAGGATAGTGAACTGCTATGACAACTGGTTAGGTGCACGTCATACATACTCAGGAGAGAGCCTACTTACAAGAAGAGCCCTTTCAGATCTCGATTGGGGACCAATTTTAGAGGGCCGATGTCTCATTCTTGGAGACTTCAACGCCCACAGCCCGATGTGGAATGTCCATATCGACCAGAGGGTTAACGCAAGATCCCTCGAGGATCTAATAATGAGGCATGACCTCTTTATTAATAACGACCCTGACGAGCCAACAAGGCCTCATAAGCCTAGAGATTCTACAGCATCATTTGAAACATCTACTGAGCCTAGGGTCTCAATTATTGATCTCACAATCAGTAGTCAAGCCCTTGGCCCTCTATCTGGATGGGAAATTGAAAGCCAGAGGCTCACGCCATCAGATCATGTTATGATCTGGGCTAGCTGGGAACCTCCAGCAACTATGAGTACAGAGCCCACAAGGAAAGAAGTCACAGGGTGGCAGATAGAGGCTCTACTAGGAGACAAAAAGGCTCTGCAGGAGGCAAAAGACACCTGGAACGAACTAGCAAAGACTCAACCAATACTAACAGACACAACCTCAACAGAGGAAGTGGAACGTGAAGCTGAGTGGATCGAGAGAACATTGACAGAGGTCCTGAACAAGCACTGCAAACAGATCAAGCTTTGTGCTCGATCTAAGCGGTGGTGGAACAGTGAGATTGAGGCAGAACGAAGCGTGTATTCCAAGGCTCGTAAGGCCTACCAAGCGGGTGAGATTAGCGAAGAGGAGCATCGAGAAGCACGTAAGGGCTTCTATTCACTGATCAGGAGAGCTAAAAGAGAGTGCTGGGAGGGTTTCCTTCAGGGCACGTCTGAGGGCTCTCTGCCAGATCAGAAACGGTG